TGGAAGACCTAGAAATAACCAAAAACACAAGACACAAGCAATAACACACAGGGAAGTCATGGCAAGTAACTCACTTAAAATACTAATGATGGAGAAATGACGCCAACAACAAGTAAGAATCGGTAGAGAAATTTAGAAGAGGTTCTCGCTTAGAAATTCATAAGGCAGAAATGAAGTTTCTCTGCCTAAGTGTTTCTATTTATACACAAGACGGTGGAATGGTGTACCCATTGATGAAAGTCGGACAAGTGGACACAAGGAGATTGAGGTGATTGTTGAATGCTTTAGACATCCAACTTTCCGTGCCTAAAGATCCCCCACAGGATTTAAAAGGTCGCCCATACCCATTTCACTTCTGATGTCAGATCCGAAAGGATCATGCGTGGACCTCACCGCCCTCAGAGAGCCCAACGCCTAAGTGCTTCATCAAATACACTAAAAATATGTACTTGCCTACTACTCTGCCACCATTTCCTTGACCACAATACTCAATTCTCTCACCAACGGACTAGAAACAATAGTGGAACATTAGTGGAAGACCTAGAAAGAACTAGAAACACAAGACACAAGTAATAACACGTATGGAAAGTCACATCAAGTAACTCACTTAAAATACTGACAACAGAGAAATGACACGAATGACAACAAGAATCGGTAGAGAAATTTAGAAGAGGTTCTAGCTTAGAAATTCAAAAGGCGGAAATGAAGTTTCTTTACCTAAGTGTTTCTATTTATACAAAAAAAGTGGAACGGTGTGCCCGTTGATGAAAGTTGGACAAGTGGACACAAGGAGACTGAGGTGATTGTTGAATGCTTCAGACATTGAAGCTCAAATGATCCCATCATGATGAAAGCAGTTGCTCTTGCATAGCCAAACAACATATTGTTTTTCCCCTCTTTATACGTGGCGAAAGTCCTCGATCAATGGGACTACTTAAGGACTTGGGGGTCTTGTGTATATACCAAATACAAAGAAGGCCTACGCAAAAGAGTCGAATAACTAGCCCCCATCATTTATGAAAGTGACAAGGCCTGAAAGGCTAGAACAAGGCACAAAGAGGCCCTTATCCATGCTTAAGGAGGCGCACATGGTAAAAAGGTTGACCATGCCCATTTCACTCATGCAGTCGATCTCGAAGGAATGACTCATGGACCATATCATCCTTGGTGCTCTGAGCACTTCGGTGCTTCATCTAGACGTCCACGTGCTGCTTACTTGAAAGGACCAATTATCCCATGAATATTCCACTGAAGTTTGATTCCTCCGAAAAAGGAGACACATGTCTGCCTACAACTGACCAATCACCGAGAAGGTGCCATGTCACTAACGAACCTTCACTCCAACATCGAAACAACACAAGAAAAGAAGCCATCTTCTCAAGTACAAAATAGGCGTACTTTTCAACCTTAAAGATAATATAAATTTCCTCCATTTTGAGTGCAGTACTTTTCATAGCTTCTTTTAAGAAAGCGCTAAGTTAGACATTGGAGGGTGGTTAATGGCTCTCTCGCCACCATTTTGTAGTGACCATTCTTTGTCTTCTTGCACTTTTTGGTAGCTGGAATCTCACCCTTACTTGGCCACTCCGAGTAACACCAAAAATACATCTTTAAACACCCAAGTCAGCTGAAGAACACTCTCAAGGGAGAATTGACTGGGGGTGTGACAGGACCCGCCCCGGAATTTCCCCTTAAACCGAGGCGGACCCCGTCTTGGTGCCAACATCACACCGATGCCGGGCCCACTTACTAAAACCCCAAGACATCCTACCAAAATTTTGGCAGAGTCTCCCCTGTAAAATGCTCAAACCCAACCACATTCAACCTGCATAATTTACATAATATAATTCCCAACTGCCAGCATGCTTTCAACATACAACAATTCAAAATAAAGTGGCCTCCGGCCTCAAGTAACACCTAACATGGGCGATAACAGAGCATCTAACAGAATTTGATTACAACAACAGTAGAGTAGAAGGAATTTACACGAATCCTATCTACAGATGAAATGTTTGGAGCTCGCAACTTGCTTGAGCGCTTCCAAAAGCCACTACTGCCTGGGGGGCGCAAAACAGAAATATGTGAGTGGACAAAAATAAAGTTTGCATTTAAAACAACATAGTAACCCCACCATGTAAAAATAATGCTCAAGCATGCAGTTTCCACATCCATAAATCAAATACTCAAACATAAAATCTCAAAGTCCAATAACTCTCAAAAATCTCAAACCACAACTCCATTCCCACAAGTATGCAACTCTCACCAACCCATACATATGTATACATATATAAGTATATATATATCTATAATATAACGTATACTTCTCTCCATACTAATGTACCGGGGAAGACAATCCAACCGGGGGATTGTTGGCTGGTACGCAGGATTTTCGAACATGAACCCGCGTCCAGGGATGAGTAGTCCAACCGGGGGACGGAACTCCATAGCTCACACGCCGGCACTGCCAACGACACGTGTAGCTCACAAATCTCATATCAAGTCCTACGCGCGCAGACAGTATCATCACCCCACCGGCACTGCCAACGACATGTGTGATGATACTAAGCAATATACATACTCTTCCCATACACCGGCACTGCCAACGACATGTATGGGAAGTGTCTCACACACCGGCACTGCCAACGACGTGTGTGAGACCAGCAATCTCATGGCCTTCCCACCCCACCGGCACTGCCAACGACGTGTGTGGGAAGCCTAGTAACCAGGGAATGGTACTCACCTAACATACTCATACATCTCACAACCATCCCTCAAACTCATATCTTTCCACAATCTCACAACAACAACTCCTCATACTCTATACATAGGCAATATAGATAGACATCCCAAAATCCATATAAACATATCCATAATACTCAAACATAGCCATACTCAAAATATATTGCCAATACGTATATGAATATCCAAATCCATCAACCAAATACTTAATAAATCACATTTACCATTTAAAAACATATGCACAAATCTTTTATCAATAAAACCATGCAAATGCTTGAAAACAAAGTCCACTCACAGGTAATCCCACGCTGCCCGGCCCCGAGAGGGTCCTGCCTGCTGCGAACGATCGACCGAAGTACCTATTTCGAGATACGAACCCTTGATTAATATAATACACTTCGAAACGGGAATTCACAAAAGAGAATACTTAAATCCCCAAGATCCCGGTGCGTGTACGTCCCAATAGGATATCCTAAGGTCCGGTTACAGGTTTGGGAATCGCTTCCCATCCTACGGTTATCGTTAATCCCACAAACTTCGAATTATTGAATCGGAACATCCGGGGCTCCGATTCACGATCCACGAATTCCTATAGGATTCTAAGAGTACCTAAATCAACATACTTCAGTTTGGAAACGATCCAACGGTTAGAACTTATCGAACCCGAATAACGCACAATATGCGAAATCCGTTCGATAGTCAAACGACATCCAAATTGAGATCCGTAAAATCCTATGCACTCGTGACAACCTAATGATCTCATCAGGATAAAAAGCAACTTCAACAGCCTTGCCCACGCGCCGCCACACGCGCCGGCAGCGCGTGGGTGTGTAGAGAAATTTCCGGCGACGGAAAATCTCCACACCAACGCTCACCCTTCCTACCCTAGCTTCTTCTCAAGGTCAGGATCACTTTATTCAACTACCACGAGGTCCAATTCGCACGGGAACTGGCCGGAATTTCAAATTGAAAACCGGCCAAAACCTAGGTTTCCAATTCGGTTCCAAACTCAAAATCGATCCAAACCTACCCCAAAAACAGCTAGAGCATACGGAGAGGGTTCGAAAACATACCAAACTCGACGGAAAAACCGGCCGGAATCGCTGTGTTGTCGAGGTGAAAACCGAGAGAAAAACCAGTCGAACCGTCGGCTGGAATCGGGTTTTCCGGTCGGGATAACAGGTGGGTTTTGATCGGGACTTCACGACGAGTCGAACGGGATCGGTCTCGAGGACGGTCGTGGACTGTGGCGGCGGCGGCACGGTGGTTTCCGTTCGGTTTGCACAGTGACGGGGGAGGGGAACTATCGCACGCAGAGGGAGGAGACGCGGGAGAGAGAGAGAAAGTGAGGGGTAAATGTGAAAAATCTAATTTTACCCCAAACTCTTTTCAAATTAATTACGGTTCCGCCACCCAGCTTATTTTGATCGCCAAAACTTCATTAAATCTTCGATTCAAGCCTACCGCCTGTCTACGGTTTCGTCTCAGTACCACCTACGCAACCAAACCACTCGTGGTCCCAAAATCCTTCCGGATAAGAAAATGACCAAAATTACCCTTAACCCAAGAGTAAATTAATAATTCTCTTAATTTAATTAAAATAGGAATAAATTTGGAGTCGGGGTGTTACAGGGTGACTTCATCCTAATTGCTTATGCGAAATTCACGCATCAGTAATGCACATTCTCATTCCTAAATTGTGAGGATTATATTGATGATTTGGGAATCAATTTTGATGCATTAAATCAAGTGGCATTGTCAAACAAGTGGGTTCTTTCTCGAGCTACAACTCTCAAGCAATCATATTTTGATCTCTTTCTTACGCTTGGATTGGCCACTTGGGATGCTCAGAATAGTAAAATAAGTTAGCAAAAGGACGTTACCCCTGCTATTGTTTGTCATGGAGTTGTGCAATTAAAAAAATTTATGCGAACGAACTCAATAGATAGAGGTGCTGCTCTCCACCATTTGAAGACATAATTGTGGAACAAAACTGCATTTGGTAGTCTCAAAATCAATATGGATGGGGTTCGAAAGTCAGGTGGCACAGAAAGGGGAGTGGAGATAGTGGTTCACAATTCAGATGGGCATTTTGTGGCAGGTTGAACAATACACTATGATCATGTTTTTCCGGCCCTTTAGGTGAAGGCAATGGCATCCAGGCCTGATGCGGCTTTGGTGGTGGAAAAAGGCTTAAGTTACACAGTTTTTAGAGTGATCCTCTTCAAATCGTCTCAACTCTTAAGAGTCCCTTCATTGATATGTCCTTTGTTGGTCTTGTGATGAACGACCCAAGAGCTTGCTATCACAAATCACTTGAGAAGTTTTTACCCATATCTGCTCGACTGCAAACAGAGTGGGTCATGGTATTGCACTTTTTTCTCTTCTTCAGGTGGTGGCAGTAGGGTTTAGTGTTGCTTTAGGGTTTTTGTTATTTTGGGTTAGTGAACTTTATTTGAGATTATGCTTAATTGTAGTGATACGGGATAGTAGTTGTTGTTATGTTTGCTTTAGTTCGGCTTCTTTAGCATGTTAATTTTGTTGCATTCTCTCGCTTGGTGATTTACATGTCTTGTTGATGCTTTAATTGTATCATTGAAGTTATCTAATGAAGTTCTGAATTTTTATTAAAAAAGAAAAAAAGAATTGAAGTTCTTATTTGATAGAAGTTTTAAAAAAAATGAAAATTTTGAATTTTAGTGACCAAGTGTGCTATATATATATTTTTTCCTTTATCATTGTAGGTATTCATGCGTATTCGTATGCAAGGTTTGCACGTAAGTGATCTCTCTTCTAAAGTTTCTTCTTTCTATAATGTTTTAATGAGTTACTAGTGTCTTGGTACCAAGGTCTAAAATATCGATGATATCGGAAATATCGGTAGTCCAAAAACATAGAAATTTCAATGGAAATATTAGGATATTATCGATATCGATAAAAATTGAATAAAACCCATGGAAATTGTAAGAAAAACTTATAAATTTTTATTGAAACTTTGGAAAATGTTTATTTAGTCAATTATCTATTAGTTTGTCACAAAAAAATTAGAAGAAAATGCATTGCATGATGGATTTAACTGATTTAAGTTGATTATATAGCAAAGCTGGCAAAACACTGTGAGTGCAGAAAATATGTAGTAATTAATGAAAAAAGATTAAACACACCACAATCATTTATATATAATGATTTACTACAATATTTTATACTTCATACATTGCATGGTAAGATACATGAGTGACTTAGTACCACATACAGTTCTTATGAGGTTCAAATTTTCACTATCTTCATCATCTCTATGTGTAGAGTAAGTGTATTGTGAAGAGTAGTCATCAAATGATAAATCCCCAAAATAGTTTTGTATGTAATTGTTAACATGCCACCCATATCAATATAAATATTTTAGCATATTATCACAAAAACATAAGTGATATGGTGATTAAGGTGTCGAAATGAGTAAAATGGGAGAGGTTTAAGTCCCCTTTGTGTGTTTTTTTTTCTCCCTTTTTTTCCCTTTTTTTTCCTTTTTTTTTTTCCCCTTTACATCGATATTTTTGATATTTTTGCGATATTACACCAATATTTTGACAAAATATTGCTGAAGTGTGAGCGAAATTATCAACATCGATATTTTCCGATATTATCGTCGATATGTCGATTTATATGATATGTATATGGATATGTTCTGAAATATCCGTGGTTCGAAAAAACCGAAATATCCTCAATATTTCGTCGATATTATCGATATTTCAGACTATGCTTGGTACACACTCTTTCTTTTAATCTTTATGTGTATTATATTTGTAGTTTTAATTATTTAAACAAACGAAAAAACAACAAAGGCTGAGAGATGGAGGTAAATGTCACATCCTGAGTGGGTTTTGTGTTTTATATTTTTAGTTTGACTTAAATGATAAGCATTTTACCATTTTACCATTATAATATTAAATTATTAAGGATATTTTTTGCTTTTTCAATATTTTACCATTTGAGGCCTTTGCCTTTATATATAGATTCACATTAACACCCTCTTAGGGTTTGAGTTTTTGCACAAACCCCAAGGTTTCAAAATGTTTTGACAAAACCCCTTGTTTTATTTTTCATACAAAATCTTTATATAAAAAAATTCATACAAAAATTTGAGTGCACATAATTTTTTCATTTCAGGGTAATTAACTCCTTGAGGTTAATTAATTTTTAATTTGAAGAATCTTTTTAATTATATCAATAATTTTGTATGAAAAATTAATGGAATATGTGAGAATGTGAAGGTAAAAAGTTCCACATTGGAAAGTTGAGAAACCTAGCAAGGGCCTATATGGAGTTGGGCTACTCTCCCCATTGTCAATTGGTTTTGAGGTAGAACCTCAACTTCCTTCATAAGGAGTTTTGTGAAAATAATTTGAAACATCAGGGAGTGCCAATGTAATTTCCCAAACCTTAAGGGGTGCCAGTGTAATAACTCAATGCAAAATGTAATTGACCTATTATCATGAGTTGAAATAAAAAAGACACATCGCTCACCGCAAAAGAACTGAGAAAGAATGAGGAAAGCAAAATTGCGGATTAAATTTCTAATTTCGGACTGGGGTTCGTTCAGTGTGGCAGCCAAGTAATTAGTACTGCAAGTATGATTTTGCTATTCTGATATAAACCACCTCAAATGGTCAAGCATTGTTCATTTCAGAGCAAGCTGACAAACTAATTAACAAAGTAAAAGCAAGGCCAACGGGTAGTCTCTGTGAAGTTGATCATCTTATTACTATATTTGGGCTTTGCACTTCTCAAACGTCCTCAGGTCTCTTGATACTGTCAACTTTTATTGTATTTTTTGCAGGAGGTAGATTGATACTTTGCACTTTTATTGACATAGGTAAGGGCATATAGGCATATATCCGGTGTGCCTCTTTCAATCTGTGGATATAAAGCACCAAAAAAACGTTTATTTACTCATGATTAATTGGTAATGTTACTGCGCAGGACTTATTATTTTGAAATTTAAGTTTGGAGCTCCATTTGTGATTTGGCACCTGATCTATAAATGGCGGAGAAGGAAATTGTCAATGCATAGCACCATAGAAGACTTTCTGCAGGCTGATAACAACTTCATCCCAATAAGGTACTCTTACTCAGACATTAAGAAGATGACTGGTAGATTCAAGAACAAACTGGGTGAAGGTGGCTTTGGCACTGTATTTAAAGGAAAATTGCGCAGTGGTCGTTTTGGAGCAATTAAGATTTTGGGCAAGTCTAAAGCTAATGGGCAAGATTTCATAAGCGAGAGGTAGCTACAATTGGGAGGATTCACCATGTTAATGTGGTGCAACTTGTTGGTTATTGTGTGGAGGTATCAAAGCGCTCTCTAGTCAACGATTTCATGCTCAATGGGTCGCTTGACAAATATATTTATTCAAAAGAAGGAAGTATGCCCTTAAGTTGCGATAAAATGTATGCGATTTCTATTGGAGTGGCTCAAGGGATTGAATGTCTGCATGAAGGTTGTGATATGCTAATTCTGCATTTCGATATCAAGCCTCACAACATTCTTCTTGACGAGAATTTCAACCCAAAGATTTCTGACTTTTGGGGCTAGAAAAACTATATCCAACAGATAACAGCGTTGTCTCTATGACGGCAGCTAGGGGAACAATGGGATATATGGCTCCTGAGTTGTTCTACAAAAATCTTGGAGGCGTTTCGTACAAAGCCGATGTCTACAGTTTTGGAATGTTGTTGATGGAGATGGCAAGCAGAAGGAAGAACTTGAATGCCTTGGCAGAGCATTCAAGCCAAATTTACTTCCCTTCTTGGCTGTTCGATCAATATACCAAGGGCTTTACTTGGAGATGGGTGATGTCAATGAAGATGAAATGAAAATAATTAGAAAGATGGTCATAACAGCCATATGGTGTATACAATTGAAACCAAGTGATCGTCCATCAATGAAAAAAGTCATGGAGATGCTTGAAGGGCTTGTTGAATACCTATAATGCCTCCCAATCCCAAGCCTTTTATGTGTCCACAACAGACGCCGATAAGCGATCATCAAAATATTCCAAATCTGGCATGTTCTAACTTGGAGCTAACATGACCTTTTCAGTTCAGGTCATGATCAAGCATTTGGTTTTTTTTTTTTTGGTTTTTTTTTCTTTTTTTTTTTTTTTTTTTTAGACCCTCTGTTAACTAGCTTGGTGATGATCAACTACTATGGAATCTGCCGTTTTGAACAAAAAAGAAACAGAGCGTTTCACATATGTAGACCACAGTTTTAATAGACTTGTTTCATACAAAGCCCAAAATGGTGTTCAGAGTGTCAGAGTAATGAGGTATAACTTTTTGTTTTCCAAGTTTGAAGAGACATGAATCAGTGTGTGCACGCCCAAACCAGAATGATGTGAGCCATTTTAAAATTTACCTTCACCAGTTGCTTCTGTTTTTCATCAAAGACTCTCCGACGGTCAACTCAATTGAAATTGTGCCTATTAATTGACCTTCCTGATGAAATCTTTCTAAGGAAGAGGCCAAAGGTCATGGAAGCTAGAGAACTGCAAAACGAGGAATCAAAAACAAAGTTCAATCTTTCCCCCTATTTCATTATAATAAACAAATAAAAAGGTTCAATGGTTGTCTTTCTAGGCATTTTAGAAAGTAGTCGCGGATGATTCAACATCCCAACCCCACCAACCTCTCGAAATTAAGCTCTCACTCAACTGGGGGTTGCGGGGGAGGGCCCAAATTTTTTAAACTCTTGTATGTTAGCTTTCCATCTCCGACGCAAGATACTCTCTAAAATACTAGAAGAACAATATTTCTGCATGACACATTATTTGGGGAACTTCGAAACTTCAAAGATCACATGATGAAGCAAGCAGGACAACGGCAATTTTATGGAAGCTGGTGAAGGACTGTCATGTTAAAACTTGAAGCAAGATTCTTACGCAATAGTTTATGCGCACAAGTGATGCATAATATTGGATTTGGCAGCCAGTAATTTGTGTGGCAGGAATAGGTCCACTGTTAGGGTCATTGAAACGCCCCTATTTCTAAATTCTATGTAGTGCTGGACCATGAGGCATGTGCTGGTCAAGTACAAACATCAAGAACTATATGATCATTCTTGATTGCATACATAAGTGTGTTTACATGTAATGATGTAATGTATAAGTACACATGTTACTCCAACTCAGGAATTGCTTCTAACTGAATGTTTAGATTTCTTGCAGCCGTACTTCCATTGGTTCCTGCAACACCTGTAGAGGCAAAGGGATTGGGAGGCACGGTTAAGCTTTCTCCTCCTTCCAACATCTGAACCACGGCTCTCATTGAAGGGCGATCCACTGGATGCCATTGGATGCACCAGAGCCCTACAATTGCAAGTTTCTTTGGAATTTTTCCTTCTCCTTCTTCACCGATATGGATGCATAGGTCATCTCCTTCTTCTAGAAGATTATAAATCCATTCGGGATAGTAGATTTCATTTGTGTTCTCCGTGGCTGAACCGACATTCTTCCTTCCTGCTACCATCTCAAGCAGTAACATTCCAAAACTATACACATGTGACTTATAGGACACATTTCCAAAGTTACTGGAGAACACTTCAGGTGCAATGTAGCCCATGGTGCCCCTAGCTGTAGTCATTGACACTATGCATTGATCCTTGGAACATAACTTGGCTAAACCAAAATCAGAAATCTTTGGAGTGAAGTTGTGGTCTAGCAAAACGTTATGAGGTTTGATGTCAAAATGGAGGATTCGCTGATCGCATCCTTGGTGAAGATATTCAATTCCTTTGGCTATGGCTAGAGCAATATCTTGCATCTTATCCCAACCAAGGAAACTGTTCTTATTGTCTGGTGATGAAATGAAATCCTGCAGTGAACCATTTGGAAAGAACTCATAAACAAGAGCTCGTCTAAATCCATCAGCGCAAAAGCCAACCAAGCGAATGACATTGACATGGTGGATATGACCCAGTGTTCCCACTTCTTTGATGAACTCTTCCCCATCTCCCTTAGAACTATTGAGGACTTTCACAGCGACAAAGAGTTCAGAAGAAAGCACTCCTTTATAAACAGTTCCATAGGCTCCTTCCCCTAACTTGTCCTTGAAGTCATTTGTAATCCTCTTAATATCTGCATATGCATATCTGCTAGGTTTGAGAGCTCTGTAATCGTCTAAAAATCTTTCAATCTTTAACTGATTCTCCTTTTCTTTTCTATCAGAACTATAGACACGATAGGCTGCAACAACTAGGAGTAACACAACAAATGAACCCAGAGATGCACCTGCAAGTTAACCTTTGTAAATATTACCACGATCTCGTATATACAAGTGAAACAAACTGCAACTCCAATTAAACAACTCACCTGTAGCCACCCATTTTCTTTTCGTACCTGAATAAAAAAAAATACACTGTCAAATAAGTAATTAGAATGAGCTATTGCTTGGAAAATATCCTTTAAATAAACAGTGCTGCTACTTTGCTCTAAACTTAAAAATAAGTAAGCAAAACATGGATTGCAGATGATAATATCTCATTACATGAAAGCATTGTATTATTTGCATCTGCAGACAAGTGACCAGAATAGCAGAATATTAAGAATCTGTAACAATTCAAATATATGTGACCCAATTAAATATATGTTAGCCAAGTTAACCTCGAGGACCACGAACACAAAGAAAAATAAATAAATAAAATAAAAAATACCACAAGGATACAACTTGATAGATTCATCAACCTCAAGGCGTTTTGTGATAAAAAGCCAATAAATAATGCTGCTACTCTGCTCTCAACCTCCAAGTAAGTGAGTAAGCAAAAAGTGACTAGTATAGCAGAATATTAAGAATCTGTAATAAGTTAAATATATGTGAACCAAACTGAAATTTATGTTAGCCATACCTGCTTTACTGAAGTCCACACATTCAATTTCACTTTTGGTTCCATTGTTCTTCAATCTACACATCTTGCCCCTTGCCTCACACTGTCCACAATTTGGTTCAGACCACTCCAAATAAAGATTGGCAGGCTCGTATGAAAAATATGGAACTGATGACAAATTATACATTTTTGTACAAGACAGTAGGGGCAAGTCCCGAATGCTTTTGGAAGAAACAACAGAATAAACTTGGTAGCCAGGGCCACTGAAGCAGGGGACTGGTTCATCTAATTGCCTCTCAGCTAAAGAGCAATTGAATAAGGTAAGATCAGTCATGTAATTTTTTGAGAAGTGGAAGGGAGAGATTGACTTGTTGAAGACTTTCAAAAGCTTCACCAGAAGACAGCTTTCTGGGTCATATAATTGGATTGCCTGAGCCTTATAATCTATGCTTTTGACTGGGAATTTGAATGGAATTGGAAGCTCAAGAATTGTTTCATGCTTCTCATTGCATGACAGGACAAACCCAGGAAAGACACAGTGATCTGGGTGCCTGCCTTTGAGGCTGAAAGGGAAATGGACAGCTGGGCCTTTATCTCCACACTTCAATTTTTTGCAGGTATCTTGGTGTTCTCCAAGCACTGTGGAGAAAGCCAGAAAGATTAAGCACAAGCAAGAGGTGACCCTAATTTTTACCATATCTAACTAACCCAATCGTTTCTTTCTTCTGTGCTGCAGAAAAAGAAAATGGTATCTAAATCTTTCTGTGACTCATATTTCCAATAAGATGTCCTCTCATTATTTAATTAACCCAATCGTGTTTGGGATCTTACCAGGAAAAGAAGAACAAAAAAATACGTTGTTTTGGATGAAAAGACTATAAAAGTCAACAGTTGACTTAGAGGTCCCACGACATGTGACATTCTTGATGAATCAAATGTTGCATTTCTTTAAAAGGAATGCTAGTAACCTTCTCTCTAATTTTCTCCTTTTTTTTCATGACAAGTGTCACTTTCCTTACACTTAAAACAACCTCATTAATGCATCATACAAACTAGTTTTCGTTTTCCAAATTTACCCTTATTGAATGTATTAACTCTTTTTAATAACAAGCTAATTTTTTTACAACTTTCTTACCACCTTGTTAAAAAATTAAATAAGAAAATAAATACTGAAGTTTTTATTTTGTATTTTTTTCAAAGAGGACGTATGTTTTGTTAAACACAAAATAATGATAATATCACTTTCATAATAACAATGTCATGAAACAAACTTTTTTTCTTCTCATTTAATTTTTAACAATATGCTAAGGAAATTGTAACAAAACTTGGACAAGTTGAAGGAAATATAAAAGCTAATACATTTAATAAGGGTAAACTTAGAAAACAAAAACTATCTTGTGTGATGCATTAATGATATTGTTTTAAATGTAAGGAAAGTGACACTTGTCATGAGAATAAGAAAGAAGGTCTAAAAGAGAAGGTTAGAGAGAAGATTGCTAGCATTCCTCTTTCTTTAATCGTTTGTTTACTTTGTCTACGTTGACCATTATTATAATTATTTTATCATGGAACAAAGAATGCAATGAAACTTCCAAGGCTGCTGTTTGAAATGAGTCAGCAAGCACAAAACTAAAGATAACATAGTCACGACTCACAAGATAATCTCGCTTCACCCTTTGTTTTCACACGGCACCAACCTTACAAGGGGATGACCTGCATTATTCTATTGTGGTTGGCTGGTACTTGGAGGACAGGTGCAGAGTAGATGAGACGGCTATAAGAGCATCCACAATGATGCTCTCTATTTCTTAGCTAAAATTTAGCTAAAAATATAAGAAAGCTATTTTAGGAGCTCTCTAAAAAATTTCAACTCTAACTATACTCCCTAATTTAGAGAGTCATAAATGTTATAACTCTTTTTTGATTGGTCCATCTTTATTAAAAAATAAAATAAAAAATAGTTAGCATTAAATAAGGGTTTGAAATACTCATTAAATAAAGCAACATTAAATTATAAGGAGCCACTAGGAGTCCTTTTTCTCCTCAGATTTAGGAAGTCCTAGAAGACTTCCTATTTTAGGAGGTGGATAAGGAGCATGGTTGGAGTTGCATTTTTACGATTCCTTTTCAAAATTCGTCTAAGAAGGTGGTTTAGGGAGCCCATTATAACATCTCACATCACTCCAACCGATATGTCAAAGCTGATGTGGAATGAAGGCTGGAGGTTGAGATGTTATTTTTGACATCCTAAAAGCAAGATGTCAAATGAATATTTTATTATTTTTTCTTTTATTTTCTGTTAATTAAAAATGAATCAACACTAAAATGTAATAAAATAATAATTTAATTTGACATATCGGTGGAGTATAAAGCTGTATAAGATGTCAAATTGCCACATCAGCCATCAAATTTAAATTTGATGTTTGATATTTGACATCTCCCTTGAAGATACTTTAAGGAGCCACTAGGAGTCCTTTCTATCTCCTCAGATTTATGAGCTCCTAGAAAACTTCCTATTTTAGGAGGTGAATAAGGAGTGTGGTTGGAGTTACATTTTTACTATTTCTCTCTAAAATTCGTCTAAAAAGGTGATTTAAGAAGCTCATTATAAATGCTCTAACGACGTTTTGGTGTGAATTTAATAGATGGGTCCAATAGAATTTAATAGATGGGTCCAATGGAATGGAGGATATTGAAAACTGTAAGACGCGGAATGAAAATAGCCAAACACCTGTCCGTTGACTGACTTTCTGACATCAATAATACCAATTTGAGCGGACGGTACAGACCTTGATAGATATCTCCAGAATATGCGTGTGGGCTTAGCATTACCTGCCCGTTGACTGACTTTCTGACCAAGGTTTACAATGGCATTACCCGCTGTGGACGGTACAAAAACTGATAGATATCTCCAGAACTTGTAAACCTCTCTCTCTCTCTCTCTCTCTATGGGAAGTGGAACAAGGCCCTTTACCTTGTCTTCATGGGTCTTAGTTGCAGCCTTCTTAGGTATTAACTTATTATCCAGTGAAATTTGTAGCGCTAAAGATATCTACAGGTGTGCTCCTTCTTCCTGCGGCAACATCCACAACATAAGCTACCCTTTCCGACTAAACAGTGACCCAGAATACTGTGGGGACTCGAGGTATACGTTGCACTGCGACAACAACGTTACGGTATTGCATCTACATTCTGGGAAAATACTTGGTGCTGGCCATCAACTACTATTACACATATATCCGAGTCGTAGATCCTGGCCTTGAAAAGAATAATTGCTCCTCCATTCCTCGCTATCCTTTAGCCAACTCTAACTTCAGTCTGGGGGATCTGTATTATCCGTCAAGTCAGTCTGTAACTTTTTTCAGGTGTGCAAATCCAGTGAATTCATCTCTCAACGTAGTGATTGCTCAATGCACTAATAATCTGAGTAGGACAGGTTATGTCAACATTCACGATACAACGACGTCGGATCTGGAGGATGGGTGCAGTATAGAGTGGACGACTATGGCGAGTGAATCCTTGGACGACCAAAATTACCAAAACGTTTCTCACAGATACATAAACATACACAACGCTTTGACGGATGGCTTTTTGCTTTATTATCGTAGCTCAGGTGTTGCCTTTGTTGAATGTGGCCCACACCAATGGATCCCACGTGGTTCTAAGTGTAAGCCAGGTACGTCTTTATTTTTAGTCATATATATATGTATATATATTATATACATATATATATATATATATACGTATATACAATTTGAGTATGATTCCAGTAGCAAGGAACAATTAGATTTTAGAGATTGGAATAATGAAAGAACGAACACGTGATGAACGCATATAGTGTATGGCTTTCACTATCAGAGCGAACAACTATGAAAGAACGAACACAGCAAATAATGCTTATATGAAATTACTCAAAATAGAGACAACTGAAAATAACAACTTTTATTATACTCACAAGAGTTTCAGACAACAACTGCTGAAGTCTCTTCGGATACAAGAACACTCAGTGTTTACAAAGATGATTTCTCTAAATTGTTTAGAGAGAATCTTTAAAAAAACTGAATTGTAAAATGTAACCTGCTTACAACTGAGGCTGAGGCTAGCTTAAATAGAAAGAAACAACTATGTTTAAGTAACTATAGTAACCAAAAGCAACTATGGTTATTTCCACTGTAGAGGAACGGGAAAGAACCAATTCAACTTTCAATTTTGTCTTTTAAGAAGGAATAACTTTTCTTTTTGCTTTACTCAGGTAACTTTGCTTTTATCCTGGATGAAGTGTCGGGGAATAATGACTGTAGAGGCACGAGAAAGCAGGTGGCTGCTTTAAGATGCTTCAATCATATTCTCGGGGCAATTATTGTGTCTGCAACTAGGGGCCTAATCAGAATTCAAATCATAGGCATCATAGGGGTCCTGGCTGTCTTCATACCAAGACTTAGGCTTAGCAGGGCTCTGCATGGGCTGGCAGCTAGACGACGAAGGGGCAGTCATTTTCAATGTCCTCATCATCATCCATTTGAGAGGCTTGAATTATCAACTGGCGAGCAATCTCTTGGAGTTCAGACTTCGATTTTCCTTCAATTGAAAGGGAAGATCGGGTTGAACCAGTGGGGGAGGCCGGATACGGAATAGAATCATGGGGCAAATCATTGTAGACATATTTGGCAATTTTGTCGACTTCGAATTTGTCCTACCATTTAACAGAGAATTGGCGGGCAAAAATTATGGTATCTTTGGTTACTTTGTAGGACCATTTGAGGATCCAAGGAACTTTGTATTTAGCAACAAAAAGTAACTGTTTTGGGAAGAATAAATCAACTTTGGAGAATTTGGCTTTTTTAGTGAAATGGCGAATTAGCTCATGGACTGAAACACGCAGAATTTCATCAACTGGACCATGTTTTTCCCACCAATGGAGGAACCAGTAGGGAAAGGAGTATTTGAACTTATTGTCAAAATTTATAAACCAGGAATGACTAAAGTCCTCAGATTGGTGGAGGAAAATAGAATACCAGGCTTCAATATAATCAGAATAATTATATTGCAATTTTGACTGAAGGGTTTTCAACTCATAAGGGTGGCTACTGAAAGAATCTTGACTTATAACTTTGTGGATATATAGGGAATGATAAAGGATGATCTTAGGGTGATCGCGATCCGTTATCGGCTTAATTTCAACTGACTGATTTTCAAGTAATATATCTCTATAATACTTGAGAGACTTGTATGGACTAGGAGGCATATAATGAAATCCTGGTGGAAATAGTGTCTGGCTATGGCAACTGGATCAGAATTAATATCATAGACATGCTCAACAACAAACAGGTGAAAATTGCTTTTGGGCATATAGGGAGATGTCTTTTTGAAGGAAACTGAGGGATCAGCTGAGGGATCAACTGAAAAAGGATCATAACTGGAGATTAAGGTCGACTGATAACTGGGGCGAATTTGGCCAATTGTGGAACCTAAACTAGAGAATCTATTAGCAACTGATATTGGTGTGGCAACTGAGATTGGAGTGCAACCAGGAAAAGGGTCCAACTGTTTGGGTGTTTCTGGCTTATTTTGACTCATGGATGGGGGGAGGATTTGGAGCGACTGGGATGGCTTGGGTTGTTTTGTGATTCTTTTTGCTTATCTTTTTTGGGTGCCATTGTGCATCTGCAGGAATTCTCGAGTAAGAAAATCAGGGATTGAATTCTCACTTCCTCTCAAATATTCAATATCAAAATCAAATATACTTAAAATGCTTTGCCATCGTGCAAAAATCTGTTTAGATGCAATGTTTTGAACATCTTTTTCTAAAACATGTTTTGCAGATTTACAGTCAACTCGTATTAAAAATTTTGATTAAGCAAATCATCTTGAAATTTACTAATACATAATACAATAGCTAATATTTCTTTTTAATAGTACTATAATTATATTGCGACTGGGTCCAAAGTACCGGAATGAAAGCGAACAATCTGTTCTGGGGAATTTGGACAGGCTCTTTGTTTGAGGATACCACCATAACCTATGTCAGAGGCATCAGTTTCAACTATCTTAAAGGAATCAACTGAAGGAATACCAAGACAGGGAAGTGTCTTGACATGGGCTTTGATCTGTTTGACAACTTCAGTATGGATGGTTAACCATGGGGGAGGATTACTCTGCAATCTATCAAACAAGGGCTTACATTGCTTTCTCAGATTTTTGTAAAAGTCAGAAACATAATTTAGAGATCCTAGAAATCTCTGGAGTTGACTTTTATCAAGAATTTGATCAGGAAATTTATCAGCAAACTGAAATGACTCGATCGATTGGGGAGATTTGTGACTGGCAAATATTGAAACCAAGGAATCTAATGTTGGTTTGGAATAACTTGATTTTCTTGGCAAAACAACTAGACCATTCTGTTTGACAATTTGAAGGAATTTATGCAAATGTTTCCAATGCTGTTCTATTGACTCAGAAAAGATGAGAACATCATCAATATAGACAATTGAGAAATGACTGTAAGGATTAAAAATCTCATTCATAATATTCTGGAATTCACTAGGGGCATTTTTCAGACCAAATGACATTACATTCCATTCATAATGACCGAAAGGAGTGACAAATGCAGTCTTATATCTATCTGACTCATCTATTTGGATTTGCCAGAAACCACTCTTCATATCAAATTTGGAAAAAACAACTGCTTTTTCTAATCTATTAATCAGGTCTCTCTTATTAGGTATGGGATACCTAATCCATTCTAAGACTGAATTAAGTGGCTTGTAATTGATAACTAATCTTGGGACTCCTCTTTCTAACTCAGCGTTTTTCTGGACATAGAAAAAAGGACATGATCAAGGGGACTTACTTTTGCGAATTATTTTCTTTTGAAGCAACTCATGAATTTCTTTTTACAAAACTCCATTATTTCTTGACTCATCTGGATTGGCCTGGCTTTAGTAGGAATGTTTTTCTCACTAAAGGTTTTGATATAGGGAAGACAAACAACATGTTGTTTTCTATACCAAAAAAGCATTAGGCAGGTCGGAGCAAATCTCATTTTTCAATTTATTTTCAAACTGCTGAATTTGCAACTGTAAAGATTTATCGCTAATCTGTTGTTCAACTCTCTTTGAACTTAATTTCTTCTTTAAGAAAATTCAACTGGTTATTTTTTCTAATAATCTGTACTGATTTGGACACTGATTGCTTTTGCAAAGCTTTCAGGTTATGCAACTTTGGTTTAGACAGAAACTCAAATTTAACCTTTTCGCCTAAATAGGTAGAAATGACACCATCATAGTCTACATGGAAGGGATACAATAAGGCAATAAAAGGTAAACCCAGAATGACTTTGTCAGTGATATTCTTGACCAAGACAAATGAGGTTTTGAAGCAAATCTTGTTTTGACAAACATGGGCTTTTGGTAACTCAAAATTCAACTGAAGTGATTTTCCTGAAGCAGTGCTTAAGGATTCTCTAGACTTTTGGTAGAACTTAGTAGGGATTAGACCTTCCTGAATACAGTTAAGATCAGCTCCTGAGTCAAATAGGACAACTGTGTTGAACTTAAAGTTTTGGACAAATATTGTCACTTTCGAATACCATTTTCTAAAATTGACTTGTTTGATCAAATTCACAACTTGTTGCTATCAGAAGGTTTGTCATCAGAATTGTGAGGACTTTCTGACTGGCTTTTGGACTCAGAAGACTCTTTTCCATAAGACGGACTAAATCTTGCTTGATTGCATAATTTTCATTTTGTAATTTATGACTTATTTGTTTTAATTCAACTATTTCTTTTTTAACCATTTTTACTTCTAATTGCAGATCTTGTAAGGTAATTTCTTTCTCTTTAGCAAATTTTTCTAAAGTGGTATTTAAACTAATCGGCTGGGGAACAGACTGACTTGGGCTTTCTTGCCAATGACTTTTCTTAACTTCTTTAAATTACTCAGGATTCTCAACTTTGCTTATTAAATCTATTAATAATTCTTCTTGTTCTTCTTGTTCTTCTTGTTTAGTAAGAACATAAATGGATTTTAATCTATTACAACATTTATCTTTACAACCAATTTGGATATTAGGTGAGCTGGACTGTGAATCTGAAGACTGGTCAGATTTAGACTCAGAGCTAGCCACTATGGTTTCATCATTGCTTGTTTCAGAGTCTCGCAACTCTAAAATCTTTATCAACTTTTCTTTTTCTTCATCTGTAATTTTCAACTGTTTAATGGTATCCTTTACTTTGCACTCAGAGGCATAATGACCAAACTTTTGACATTTAAAACATTTGATTTTGGTTTTATCATTATTTTTCTTGGAGTGATTATTCTTTTACTTGTTGACCAATTTTTCTTGGGGGAAAATTTCCTTTTTCTATAGAACTCATGATTATCATCATTATGTCGGGAGAATTGTTTTCTACGCGAATAATGACGATGTTTTCCAATGTGACTGGGATAACTAGGCTTATTTTTCCTGGAAGGAGGGATGCTGGCAAGACCATACTGTTCACAGAAATTTCCTAATTCATATTTAGCTGATTTCCTATTGGACTGTATTTGTCTACCAATTTTAAAATCAATACACATTCTCATACCAACTTGGTTGATTGTACTTATGATATTTCCATATGTTAAGCTATCCCAATCTATATGGCCTTGTTCATTACTCAGGGTCGTGCGTATTTTGTGGGCAAACAAATTTGGAAGACCATTAACAAACTTTTCTTTCCAGAAAGGTTGATTACTATCATCCCTAAGCATGACTCGAGAGATGAAGACATCTTTGTACCATTTGAAATCAAACAACTTAGGGCATTTAAGATTACTAAGCTGGTCATGGATCCTGGCAGTAGTATTACTAGGGGTTCCAATGAAATGCTCAATTATTGTGTAAAACAAAGTGTTGACTCCGTCTTCTATACCTTGACCTATTTGTTCGTCAAATATAGGGAGACCATCTTCATTAAGTTTTACAGCATGAATAATCAGATTCTTGGACTCAGGGGTTAAGTGCTTATCCCACCAATACCTGAGAGTACCGGTAAACCCAGTAACTAACAGGGGTACAATCTCAGATTGTCTGAAACTGTGATTGGTGATGTAACTGTTGGCAACCATGGACATATGTTGTAACTTATTAAAGATTTCTTGCTCAGACAGACCATCAATATTCCATTCACACAATTTATCAGAAGAAACTGAAAACTGGGTTTGGAAGTTTCTTTCTTCAAACTGGATATCTGGAGGAGTTGGTCTAGGGTACCAATTTTTGGTTAAGCTAGTGGGGGCTTATGTGTCTATCTAATCTTTTGATTTTTGGGTTCAACTTGGACTTCCAGATTTTTGAAAGCATTTTCTATTTTTGAAATATTACTAGTTTTGGATTCTGTTGTCTCAGGTTCAGACTCAGAAGGGTTCGTGGTTGCAAAAGAATCTAGTGTTTTAAGACCAGATTTTTCAGCTTGACTTGGGGTCAACTGTTCTAACATTTCTTCAATTTTATTTATTGTAGGTTTAATCTTAAGTGTGGGGCTTGACTTAAGATCCTGGAACTGAACTATTGGTTTTTCAATTTTTGTTTTAAACTTAGTTTCTGGGGGACTTATCTTGTCAATCTTAGTTTCAATTGTATCCAGTTGTTTTCCTATGACAATTAGACTCTGATTGGTATAATTATTCTGCTCAATTAGTCTTCTATTAGTATCATTGCTTTCAAAGGCTTTGAAGGGGCTAGCAGGAATAGGTATTCTTATGATTGATGACTATGGTGTCAACTAGGGGATGACTAGCTTCAACTTCTGTTTTGTCTACCATTTTCCACTTTTCTTTAGTTAGAGTTTTTAGCGCATTAGACATGTAGCGGCTTTCAATAAAATCAAGGTAGAAAATTTTGACTTTGGCTAACCGCATATAATCTTTCCATTCATTAAAGATTTTTTGACGACGTTTACTATTAGGGTAAGCTTGGTGATAACTATTTCTCCTATGCTGATTTTCTGGGGTCTTGAGATGATGATTTAAGCTTTTCCAATTAATCTCAAATTTTTTATTAAGGGTTCTAAGTTGATTATCTGTGGCTGCAAGATTTTCAACTAAGAAATCAGATTGTGTAGGTGACTCAGGGGAATCAGACTTGTCATCTTGGATTGGTACCTTGCCGTAACAAGGTTGGTTTACCTGAGAGGATTTTCTAAGGGACTCAAGTTTGAAATCAATCATGGCCTTTTCTAACTCTAGGTCTCGTTCTAGAGTAGGGGATGAGGCAGCAAAGGAGTGCCTAGCAGGGACATGGCTTTGAGATTGACCGGGGGTTGACAACTGTTGTAACTGGACATTAGACTTCTTCAGGGGCTGGTTTTCAAATCTAATTTTTATTGTACCATCTAGATATTGTTGGATATAGTCTAAATTGTTTAGACTATGCTGTATTGGAGCTGGTTGGCTCTCGGTGACTAGGGTCCAATCTTTGGAAGGGCAACTTCTGACCATTTAATGGTCTGGGGAACTTGGATATGGGCATCTGCTGTATGACTTTGGATTAAAACAGTTTGGTCTTTTGGGCTTTTATTAAGGGCTTGGAAATTCATATTAGTACCTGTAACTTTGTAATAAATTCTATAAACCAAGGCTAAAGGTTGGGTTCCTGGGAAGATATTATAACCTTCAGTCTTAATGTTCAGAGTTAAAGTTCTCAGTATATGTGGATCACTGAGACTTACTGTGAAATTTGGATAACAATCAAAATGTACTGGGCCATTACATAAACTGGACTCAATGACTCCTAAGGTGCTGTCACTAAATTCAGTGAATCTAGCATCGCGTAAACAAAGAAGAATAGAGGCTTTTAATCCTAATCTGGTTAGGGGCTTAACTGCAACTTGAACTAGACCAATATGCAGAAAGTTATTACCATCATTCTTATGTTTCTTAATGGACTCAAGATTAAGCAACTGGCAGGTTTCATGTTCTTTACTCAAAGCATATACTTGTTCAACTGTCTTAACATGTGTTGTGCTATTAATCTGGATCAAACCAATTCAATATATTGAATTGGTTCATTACCAGGCTTCAATATATTCCTCCTGCCCCAATAACTTACAACATATTGAATTAACACATGTAGTTGTAACACACACATGTTAATTTAGTGGAGGAATGAACAACTATATATATATATATATATATATATATAGATAGATAGAAAGCTTCAATTAAGGGATTCTTAAATAAGGAATACCCTTACCCATATATACATTTTATGGGCTTACACTTTGTATTGTATTTCAAAAATTGAAACGGTCTATCTTTTATATACGCCTTCAAAGATTTTCTCAGCAAAAAATCACTTGAATCTTTTGAATCTAAAACCATTAGACCACTTAATTAATGATTATCATTTTTCTTGAAGCACATAAATGTGATTTTTATCATGGTACATAAATGTGATTTTTCTAGTATTATATGTATATATTACGGTTGTTATGTGGCAAAGTTACAGCTGTGCTATTTTTGTTTTTCTTTGTTATTGTAGGTAGTTTTGTTTTGGATCTGTTGAAGCTGATTTACGGTAAATGATCTTTCTTAAAGTGTTTTGTTTTTGTTTTTGTATTAAAAAAAAGGGTGCAAAGTCTTTTGTTTTTGTCTTTGTTAACTTTTGTTGTATTTTGCAGATTATGAGGCGCAATTCTTTAGCTCAGGTAACAGCTTCTATTTCTTTAATTATTCAACACTGTATTTTATTTTATTTTTACTTTATTCTTTTTCCAAACACATAGTCGGAAGTCCTTGATTGATTTTGTGGACTTTTGTCTTATTGCTTGCAGGTGTTCCATGGCGAGGAATTACGCTACTAATAGCCATTATCTTCGGTAAGAGTGTGTTTTAGCAATTCAATTTCACTTTTTACACTCCTTTACCACTCACACATGAAGAGCCCATGAGGTAATTTACGAGCAATTATAGAATGCCAAAATCATCACCCTGAATTGATTAGGAAAAATGAAGATGATGAACTGCACAATAATTTACATAGCTATTTAATAGACATAAGGGATCTGATAAAGTGTAAAAAGAATGCATCAAAAAGCTATTCAGTTTCTGTAGTTTTCTCATGATTTTTTTTTCGGTAATGCTCTTGTGCAGTACTACATCTCATGGTAAAATTTATACTGGCTCCATTTGTGATTGCGTTTTTGACCTATACATGGCGGAAAAGACGTTCGTCAATGTATAGCACGATCGAAAATTTTCTACATGATGATAACAATTTTCCACCGATAAGGTACTCTTACTTGGACATTAAAAAGATGTCTAACGAATTCAAGAATAAGTTAGGTGAAGGAGGCTTTGGCATGGTATTTAAAGGAAAATTACGCAGCGGCCATTTTGGAGCAATTAAGATGTTGAGCAAGTCCAAAGCTAATGGGGAAGATTTCATTAGTGAGGTAGCTACCATTGGAAGGATTCACCATGTTAATGTGGTGCAACTTGTTGGTTATTGTGTTGAGGGTTCAAAGCGCGCTTTAGTATATGAGTTCATGCAAAATGGATCTCTTGATAAATACATTTATTCCAAAGAAGGGAATAACTTGCTAAGTTACAAGAAAATGTATGACATTTCACTTGGAGTAGCTCGAGGGATTGAATATCTACATCAAGGTTGTGACATGCAAATTTTACATTTTGATAAACAAACACCACTAGAGAGGCAAACCTAATAACAAAAGTCAGACATCCACCAGTTTCTGAAGACCTAACAGTGCGTGCACCAACCTAGAAATCAGAAACAACAAACTTCAACTCTGCTCATACTAAAGGGCTTCTTCTGCAGCAACCGCAGCCATTATCTCATAAACTTCTCAGACTTTCCAAGCAGCATTTCAATCTTTGCCTTTTGAATTGGCTGCCCCCTGCATCCTCCCTCATGTCAATTGTAGAAGTCGTGATCTTCTTCTCGAAAGCCAATCCATTGTTCTTCAGAATCTCAGCAATGGTAACAACAGTAGCAATAGCCATTCCAAGGGCAGAGAGCTCCACCTCATTGTTCTGCGCCATGTACCTCTTGGCAAGATTGACATAGAAGAAGAGGGGCTTTTTGGTATTTGAGACCTGGATGCGATTCTTCTCGTTGTTGTATGATGAGTCCGTGATTTGCAAGTTTTTCACTCCCTCTATGACACCTTCCATTGTTGTTTATGCTTCTTTCTTCTTCTTCTTGTTTTGCTCTGCAAAGAGAGAAGAAAAACCCTAATCTCCTCACAGTCCCTCCGAAATTTACCTGAAATTTATAGGTGAGGGTTATTGTTTTTGATTGCTTGTTTGTTTTTTTTCTTTTGGTTTAATTTTTTATTTTTATTTTTGGTAATTCTAAGTTTTTTGAAGGTGGGTTTGGGATTTGTAGTGAGTGAAGTGGTGGACAGTGTGATTTATTTGATGTTTTTTTCATCTTTTTTTTCTCTATGATTTACTGGGAAAATTTACTGTTTGGATCTAAAATTCTTGAGAATACTGGTAATTTGTTCTTGACTTTTTCTGAAACTTTTTGGTGGAGGTCGACAAAGGGTGGCTATGGGAGGGAGACATGTTGGGATTTTTTGTTTTCAGTTTTTTGGTTTTGAAAAAATATATATTTATAAAAAAAATTATTATTTCATTTTATTTCTAAAATGCCCTTCACGTGGACTAGTTGGAATGGGTTGTCAGGGTCTGTGATTGGTCCCACAATTGACACATCAACATTTAACGTTTGACCAAACGGTCAATCTAACGGATGAGGTGAATTGGTCATATTTGGATACGTTGGGTATGAAATTGATGAAATTGAAATCTTGGAGCCCATTTCGATACTGACCCTAAACCTCTATGAACTAAAATGTAGTTAATCCTAACTTTTAGAAACTACAAAATATAAGGCGCGGTGGGACATTTACCCCATACGAGAATCAGGAGTCTTCGTCTCCAGTTTGTCGGCACAGAATTCCGGCGATGAACAGTTCTGTCGGGAATGGTTGTCGCAATACGCTGGTCGCCCGATGAAATATCTATTCTTCGCCCCATCTATGTATTTAACCCGACGAAATGTTTTGTCGCGTGAAACTTCCGAGCAGCACGTCGTCGCCTGAAAGCGGTGGGCACAGTAGCCCGTTATGCAAGAACCCCACATATCATCAAGCTAGATGCAGATGGATTGAATTTAACAGATGGGACCAAACCAATGGTGGATAATGATGAACTTGTTAGATGCAGATGGAAAATGGACATATCTAGAATCAGTATTATAAGTCCGTTGACTGACTTTCTGACATCAATGTGTATTACAAGTCCGTTGACTGACTTTCTGCAGTGGAATCAGTTTGAACTTACCCACTGAAGACTTGAAAAGTAAACTCCAAGTTTTTCTTCCCATTGGAAGTCTTGCATCAATGAGTACCCCCACCACGTTGATTTTTTATTTCTTTCTTTTCCAAAATCATTGACATTTAGCATCTATGATGTGAGATTTCTTTTTCTTTGTTTTCCAATTGTTGAAATTTTCATGAAATTTCAAAGGAAAACTACAAAATTCCAAGTCGTCGAAATTACGTTGTCTCAACTTTTACTTCCTGAGAACTTGAAAGAGAGCATTAACGAGTAAACAAAATTCCAAAGTTTTGGAAAGCAATTGATATGATATCTTTTTCATTGGCTCTGGATTTTGAAGGAGTGTTGAGTACCCCAAACTCCTTAACAGTGAGACTTCACCTTTTCCAAATCATTCAAGATTCATGATTTCCAATCTCAAAGTATATATATATATATATATATTTTTTTTATTTGTTAAATAATTCATACAATTATATTTTTCATTCCTCACTTTGTTAATTTGTTCAATATTCATCCATTTTTATTGAAGATGGCCCCAAAACCATTCTCAATTTTCACATGCAGGAGAGGTCAAAATGATTTTAAATTATGTATGTGAAATTTTAATTTTTTAGGTCAAAATGTTTGGAAAAATAAATCATGAATGTTGAAGCAAAAATATTATCAAGAAAAATTAACTACCAAAAAAAAAGGTTAAACCATTCTTAAACAATTTAATAACACATGCGAACTCAAATTATGAGTCTACAAGGTTGGAGAAAAAAACAGTTTGAGTTCGGGCAATATATGAATAGTTGTATTTTGTATGGTGGAAATTTGAGTTTAGCCCCAATATGGGGTTGGAGATGGTCTAAAGGGTATAAACCCAGACTTTCATCCTTCAAAATACAAATATTCATGTATTGCCTAGCCTCAAACTATTTTTCACTCAACCCTACAAACTCAAATTTTTAGTCCATAGCCTTATTTTGTTTAAAAATAGTTTAACTCTATTGATTTACTTTTTTGTGTTTAATATTTCTTGAGCTAATTTTTGTTTATAACTTGATAGGCAATCTTTCAATATTTTCCAAGCATGGTATAACTTGAAAGGCCTATTCAAACCCTTGTTATCATTCAAAAAAATGGTTTTTTGCATGGACGTCCTATGCACGAGTTAAAAGAATGAATAAGTTAAGACTTTAATAAAATTTGTATCACAAATTTAAAGCTTGAACAAAATGGGTACTAACCACATACATTAGATCTACTTCCTGTTGGCTGTGCAAATCTGACGGCCTCGCCTTTAAGGTTGAGGGGATATGCACCAACATAGGTCATCCTATTTTGTGTTGGATGAGTGTGCGCGGTTGAGCCAATATTTCCGTTGAAATTGCTAAGAATTAATCATGGCCTTTGATCGTATAGCCATTGGGAACAAGTTTGAATTGTGGCCATCTGATTCCAACGACAATATTAATATTGACATCCACATGCCCCTAGGTGTGGCTAACACAATGGTCCACAAATTTGACTTTGCACAGGAGAGCAAGTGGCTTATTTAATTGGGCAACACCAATTTTCAGTCCAGACAAAAGGTGGAATGCTATTCCACCTAATATATGGACTGGATTGATATTTCACTTGGCCCTATACATGCGTTGGAGGCTCCATCCAGGCTATATTGCTAAAATTTGACATTTGGCCCTCCCCATTGGAGATGGCCTTATTTATGATGAAGATGTTCCTTCCTAGATGAAATCAAGTGGCTTATTAGATGCAGATGGAAAATGGACAAATGCATATGTGGAATTAGTATCACAAGTCCGATGACTGACTTTCTGGCATCAATGGTCCATTTGAACTTTCTCACTGAAGACTTGAAAAGTGAACTCCATGTTTTTATCCTAATGAAAGTCTTAGCATCTATGAGGCGAAATTTTTCTTTCTTCTTTATTAATTTTTTTTTTCTTTCCAATTGTTGAAATTTCAGTGCATGTTCCGAAACAATCATTCTAATCGGTGGGGCCAGGTTTTTAGTATAAGGGAAAAGTCCAAAATTCCAAGTTGTTGAAATTACATTATCCCAACTTTTACGCGTCATTTTCCTAAGAACTTGAAAGAGAGCATTACAAGTAAACAAAATTCCAAAGTTTTGGATAGCAATTGATATGATATCGTTTTTTATTGGCTCTGGACTGATTTTGAAGGAGTGTTGAGTAACTAGTTTGGTCTCCATTGAGGTTGTTGGAGTGCTAGTTGTTTTGAAAAGTTTCGATATCTCAAAATCAATTGGAGAGAAAAACTTGGGTAGGGAATTCCTTACCTTATGGCCTGATTAGTGACATGTACTTTATAAAATATACATTTCATTTAACTTGGTAAACCCTAAAGTATCTGATATCCAACTCCCTCAATTTAGGCTAGAATTATTACATGTTCAACAAGTTCGAGCACATATGTAGTTAATATTACTTACATTGGTGCGTATACATATACTTATACATTTTACTCTAATTCAGGAATTGCTTCTAACTCTACGCGTCTTGCTGGGATGCTTGCATGTGTTGTTGTAGGACCTGCAGAGACAAAAGGATTAGGAGGCATGGCCAAGTTATCTCCTCCTCCTAACATTTGAACCACTATTTGCATAGACGGACGATCCACCGGGTGCCACTGGATGCACCAGAGCCCTACAATTGCAAGTGTCTTCGGGATTTTACCATCTCCGTCATCTCCAATATGGATTCGTAGGTCATCTCCTCCTTCTAGAAGATTATAGATCCATTCTGGGTAGTAAATTTCATTTGCGTCCTCTGTGCTTGAACCAATATTCTTCTTTCCTCCTACCATCTCTAGCAACAACATTCCAAAACTATAGACATCTGACTTGTAAGACACAATTTTTTGCCTTGCCAAAGAATAAAGAAATATCTTATGTCCCTTGAATAATAATAATAATGAAATATCTTATGTCCCTTGAATAAAGTATCTAATATCCAACTCCCCCAATTTAGACTAGAATTATTACATGTTCAACAAGTTCGAGCACATATGTAGTTAATATTACTTACATTGGTGCGTATACATATACTTATACATTTTACTCTAATTCAGGAATTGCTTCTAACTCTAAGCGTCTTGCTGGGATGCTTGCATGTGTTGTTGTAGGACCTCCAGAGGCAAAAGGATTAGGAGGCATGGCCAAGTTATCTCCTCCTCCTAACATATGAACCACTATTTGCATAGACGGACGATCCACCGGGTGCCATTGGATGCACCAGAGGCCTACAATTGCAAGTGTCTTCGGGATTTTACCATCTCCGTCATCTCCAATATGAATTTGTAGGTCATCTCCTCCTTTTAGAATATTATCACTACTACAATTTACTATTTGCGCGACGACGCAAAATTTGTCGCGTAAACAATTCTTGCGCGACGAAAAAAATCAATCATAGCTCAAAATATTGCATATAATAATTTTATAGTTAAAAACTTGCACAAAGCTTAGAAGAAAAACCCACATTTATTTTATTTTGCTTCAAAACCTTGCGCGACGAAACATATCGTCGTGAAAGAAAACCTAGTGCAACGGTAATCATTATCATCGCGCAAAGTTAGGTAGAAAACCGCGGGTTATTTTTTTTGGCGCTAAACACTTGTACGACACCAAATCTCGTCGCAAATGAATACTTAGCACGACGAAAATATATATCGTCGCGTAAGAAAACGTTGGATTTTTTATTTGGCGACACATACTTGTGCGACAGAATTTTTTGTCGAGGGGTAAAGTTCTATGTCGGCACATCCATGCACGACGAGATTTAGAGTTTGCGTGATGAAATTTTGAGCGACAAAATTTTTTTTCCATCGTGCAAAAGTCAAATGTCAACAAGTATTTGTGCGATGAAATGAACCACTTGCGCGGAGAAAATGATATTTTTGTGCCACGGATAATGTTTTTGTGTGACGACACCATATTCTTCGTGCAAAATCCTTCTTCTTATAATCTGGTTTTCTTGTAGACAGCATGTGTAGAGATTTATTTAAAAAAAAAAAAAAAAAAAAAAAAACAAAAGCTGCGCCTCTACTAGACCTTTGCTTTTGCTGGGAGTTCAGTACGTTCATTGGATAAGTATTTGTTGTCGTTAGTTTAAAAGAATTAATGTAAATTCATACTAACGCTGTTAATTTCGTTCTCTTTAGGGATATTTGTAATTAGCGATTGGTGGAGAACGCTTGAGAATGTATTTTATTCGCTTTATATTTTATGAATATAAAATTAATTACACTATATTAAACTTAGTTTATTATGTTTATATTTTTTTTGTGAAATTATATTTATATTATGTTGTTAAATTGTGCGTGACGTAGCACAATGTGTTGTAATGTACGAAGTTAATTGAAATTAACTTCGTATTTTTTTTTTGGTAGTAAAACTTAGTTTCTCGTTTGAGATTAGTTGGATTTCGTGCATGAATCACTACTACAAAAAAAGGAAAAACACGGGAAGAAAAAAAAAAAAAAAAAAAAAAAAAAAAAAAAAAAAAAAAAAAAAAAAAAAAAAAAAAAAAAAAAAAAAAAAAAAAAAAAAAAAAAAAAAAAAAAAAAAAAAAAAAAAAAAAAAAAAAAAAAAAAAAAAAAAAAAAAAAAAAAAAAAAAAAAAAAAAAAAAAAAAAAAAAAAAAAAAAAAAAAAAAAAAAAAAAAAAAAAAAAAAAAAAAAAAAAAAAAAAAAAAAAAAAAAAAAAAAAAAAAAAAAAAAAAAAAAAAAAAAAAAAAAAAAAAAAAAAAAAAAAAAAAAAAAAAAAAAAAAAAAAAAAAAAAAAAAAAAAAAAAAAAAAAAAAAAAAAAAAAAAAAAAAAAAAAAAAAAAAAAAAAAAAAAAAAAAAAAAAAAAAAAAATAACCAGATAAAGCTAAGAACATGGCCCTCTAGGCAAATTTGAAAGAAATTAAAAAATATGGAAAGGGAAAAAAAACCCAAAAATAGAAAAACTCATTCCTTCAAAGAAAACCTAAAATACAGTTTAGAAAGTTTACAAATTTCTTTATAAATCCAAATATTTACAATAAATATATTATGGCTTACAATTCAATACCCAAATATTTACCCCTAAAATCCAATTAGGTCTTGAGATCGATTTGTTAGAAAACCTAACCCTCTCAATGTAAATGTGGTCATTAAAAATCTACAAAAACCATCAATTAAAATAAATTTTTAGTGGGGATATTAAGAGAATTAAAAAAAAAACTAAAATTAGTTCAATTAAACTTACAATTCGTTCCACTTTTTATCACAAGATGCGTTGTATTTAGCAGTGGGAGGCCCTCTCCCCTATTTCACCTTGTCACCAACGCTCCTCCCACCACACCAAATCTATTACTACCATCGATCCAAAACGGGGGATGAACATCTAGGAGCACAATAAAGTTTGAAGAATTTTGTGAGATGGGGTTTGTGTAGCGACTTTCTAAAAAAACTATATATACACCAAACTTTGAGAGTAATAAATCACCTAGCATGCCATATTTAATCTGAAATCAAAATAAAGCGGAGCATATAAATAAACTAGGGATCATGCAAGTCTCCTTTGGGTCCCAATCTTTCATCAGTCTATGAAAGTGTGCACACAAGACTCTCTAAAATCCGATTTGGTCACAAGATTATATGTTCATACCCTTGGAAGCAAATCCGTGAAACCCAGAATTGTTTCAAGTAGAAGTGAGTGGTTCCCTTTTTTATTGGCTCTCTCTTTGCTGTTGATTCTCCACTTTGTAGACTCTTCAAAAAGGACAAATATAGCACCTCCCCGCCTTTTCATCCAAGGATTGAATAATGAGAAATGAGTAGACAACAGTGAGAGTGGTGCGAGCACGCTCCCTTGATGTGATGTTCACAGGGGTTTAGGAGAAGGCTTGATGTTTTTTCCTCCAATTCCATTATCACACCAACTGTGAAAAACCCCTGGCTGATAGTATTTCCATGCACACACACACTTAATAGGAGCAAAAATGTCACAAAGTGCTAAAATGCCCCCAAGCCCTAGTGTAGCCACACCCCCTTTTTGTTGTCGTCTTTTGTTTATCCTTGGTCCACACATTCTCTCCTTAATGTGTCGCAGCTAATGCTGCCTAAGCCATAGGGCACAATCCTTCTTGCAATTTCCAAGTCATATGGGACCTTTAATTACAGTTTCATAACTTTAATTGCTAATAATTATCTAATCAATTTCATTCACTCTAGTGACTTACCTAATTTATCATTCCATTGTCTAACAAGGTTTGTCCTGGTCCTCCTTACGTTTTGACCGTGTCAAGTGTCCGGGATCCAATTGTTTTACCCTTTGCTTTCACATTGACTTCGACCAGTCCAAATCATTCATTCTCTTCATATTTCATCAATCATTCCTTTTCGGTGTGCGATCTATAGATCTAATTAGCGAGGCATGGTATGAATGATCACTCGACTCAAGTGTGAATTGTCTCCCCCCTCCATACAATTCTCCCTTTGGCGATGCTAATTCTAATTATTCCTTACAGGGCTTCCACAAGCCATGCGTGCACCTATATTAGGTCATGGCTACTAAGCTAAAAAGAATCACTTTAGCGAACCTAGTCATTTTTGGTTATTACATGCAAATTCGAGTCCTTCTATAATTCAATACTCCCCTTAGGCTCCTAGTCTCGGGATATGGTAAACTGTGTCAAGATCCCTATATGACATCCTTGTTATATGTATTCAATTTGATGAACTTGCAAACGTTCTTTGTTTCACTTTCCATCCAATACTTTGGCCAAAGATTCACGAATCATTCTTTAGAAGTATTCTCCTCTTCCTTACTAGAGCAAGATTTCTTGTTGTACATTCACCTATCTCGTGTACACATTGAAATCGTGAGGAACATCTTTAAGTCACATCATTTTGATACGACCTTATAGTGCTTTGAAAGAGAAACAACAAATCAAAAGACCACTGTTATGTCTCAATTCTAAGATTAAATTTACGCATATCACCTTAGAATTCTTTTTTGACACTTGTGAGTAAGACTTCCCATTCAGAATTCTAGAGTTATCGCCGTTTTAGGGACTCCATCTTCTATAGAGCACCTACACATTTTGTCTCAATGTCCTCTACACTATGACTTGAGACTAGTCATCCGCCCAATGAGCAACATAATGTGTACTAGTCTTTACGGTCACCATTGTTCCAATTTGGTGATCCTAGACCGGGACCATTTTAGGATATGATATTTATATGTATGAAAGGGTCTCGTGCATCTAATTTTCTTTAGGACCCCCTTTTCCATTTATATCTTAATCCATGGACTTATTACTTTGTAGGAAGAGAAAGTTTTTTTCTTTTTAACAAACCTCCCCACTTCTTAGAGTCAAATCCAAGCACAATACTCTTCATTTGGTTGACTAAGAAATCCTTCATAATTAGACACAAATTTCGTCAAAAAATTTAGTTTATATTAACTCACTCTAGGATTTTTCATTTCTAAGTGCTGTTCACATCTCACTTTGGTCATTCAGTTGGCATGCCTAATCATTACTTAATCATACTTAAGATATTTGTAATTGTAAAGTATCCAGAGATCTTGAAAATTTCAGTTGAACAGCAATGTAGTTTAATTTACCACCCCCTGCTTTCAACTATGGCTCTAAGTAAGTATAATCCTTACTTATTTTGTTGTTGTAATATTAAGTAGTTTTGTATATTGGAGTTATCTCCTCTACTTGTTATTTTTATGCCTTTCAATATAGTATATTGGACAATACTTTGCTATTTTTAATGCCTTTCACTATAATGTATACTGCAACATTATTTGCTATTATCTATTTCTCATACTCAACACATATTGCTTTATCAGAATCGGGAAAGAATGTGGAAAGTTTCATCAAAATTCCAGCTACCTGGAATAAACCATAGATATCCATATTTCTATGATATGCCCAACAAAAAAAATAACACAAAGGGGAGGTGGTGTCGGACGCGTCCTGACACTCATTTTAAAAAAAGAGAAGGATGGAAACTTTGAGAGTCACTTTTAATAAGAGACACGGAAATAGTTAGAGTTTGCTATTTCCACCCCTAGCCGATTTCCCCACTCATTTATCTTCTCAAAACTTTAAAGCCAATTCCCTTTGTAAATTGACTTCTTTCTTCTAGCCGTTGCTAATTGGTTGACACTGAACACTTCACTTAACTCCTAAATCAACACTGTGTACAAAAAAAAAAGTAAAAACAAAAACACAATTAGAATAAAAAAAGGCCCAGCAAAACACTCCAAACCCTCACCCCGAACCACAAACCGACCTCCGCCTCCTCTCTCACCACCCAGCCATTTCAACAGTCTTCAAAACTTTCCAAAACCACGCAATCCCAATTCCACATTTCAACATTCTTCAAAAACACCATCCCAATTTCTAAATTCAATTTTTAGAAACCTCGAAAACTCAATTCCAAAATGCCACACTACTTTTATAACCCAGCAACCTATTCCACAAATTCAATCATTTCAACCCACAAACCCAAGTTCATAATTTCAATAAATTTTCAAAACCCAGCAAGAGGGCCAACCACGAGAAGGACACTTGGATAACACATTGTGCAACGTGAGCATGTAGGGTAGGGTGTAAGTACATCACAGGGTGGTTCTTGTTTAGGTTTTAGGGGAGTGTCGCGGCTGCAAAACTGAAAATCTTATCATTTTTTTTTTTTTTTTTTAATTTGGACCCAACAATGTTAAGTTAGGGTTAAAAGTTTTTTAAGTGAATGTCCAGGTGTCAATAATTAAGGGTATTTTTGGAATAATAGTGGGTGGAAAGATAATACTTTATTTTTTAATATTTAAATGATGGGTGGGAAAAATAGATAGGGGGTGGAAATAGCAGCACCCAATAATTATGATAAGGGGCAACTGAAAAATAAGTGGGATGCACTCAAATTGAGTGGAAATTGTGGAAAGAACTCATAATTAAAGAAATAGGTCTAGGGTGGAATTCGAGCAAGGGTACTATTGATGCGTCTAATGAGGGGTGGAATAATAAATTAAGGTGTGTGCAATATTTCTTTTTAGATTAATCTTTTTGTCTTCTCCTTTTTATTTTATTAACATGCATTTCTATTAACAATCCAGTTGTCTCTATAATGTAGATAAATGCTGAATATGCAAAGTTTCTTAAAAAAAGCATTAATCCTGATATGGAGGAGAAACAAGATAGGATATTCATGAATACCACGGCCACTGGTAAACATGCTTGGGCACCTTCATGTGGTATACTCCCACCAGAAACTGAAGAGGCATCCATGGGTGAAGTTATTCCACTCGAAGGAAGTGATGACTCATATGATTCCAATACAATTGAAACGATTCAAGCTATCAAGAATGCTACAAGGAAAAGGAAAAGGAGAGCACCTGAACAATGGAATAAAAAATAGCAAGATAAGAAAGGAAGAAAAGTTGGAGGTGCTGAAAAAACTAGCTGGCCAAATTGACCGCCTTGTTAATGCAGTTGAGAGTAAGAGCATAGCAACATCATTGATGATGAAAATGCAACTGGGCAATAGTATTCTTGAAGTGATGGAAGTTGTATCATCTTTACCTGGATGTGAACCTACTAACACTTTGTGGATATTTGCGACTCGACTGTTTTTGAATCAAGAGAAGCAAGAGATGTTCTCTACCATGAAGACTCCTAATGTCAAGCTTGCATGGCTAACTTATGAATTTAATACCAATAAGGCAGTTAACTTATGACTTTTGTTGTGGTTATGTTGTTGGATAATTACTTTATTGCAATGAATTATTATTTGGACTAAATTTACATCATAGATTATGGTTAATTGGGAGTGTTGATTATTATAATTATAAATTGCAGGTTTATTTGAAAATGTGGACAATCCAGATGATGAAGAGGAGAAGATTAACCTATCTATATGCGCTTGTGCACGAGCAATTGAATTATATTATCTGAAATATATCATAAAAATCCTTGTATGGATTCTTCAAAACAGGTAATATCTGGTTTGATGGAATTATATATGGGAATGATAGGCTATGTTATACTATGTTGAGGATGGACAAATATGTATTTTACAGATTATCTAATGAATTGCAATCTAATTATGGGTTGAGGGGTTCTAGGAATATGAATTTCATTGAGATATTGGGAATGTTTGTACACATGCTAGGACATGATGTGGGGAATAGATTAGCACAAGAAAGATTTCAACACTCTAGTGAGACAGTGAGTAGATATTTTAGTTACATGTTGGATGTTGTATGTCATATGGCAATGATGTCATCAAACCGATGGATCGTGAATTTAGTGATATTCCACAAGCAATATTGAGAGATTCTAGATATATACCTCATTTTAAGGTAAAAACTGCATCTGTCACTTCTCTCTACTTTTTATTGCTAATTATAGTTATACACATTGAAAATTTTGTCCAACTATCATTTTTAGGATTGTATAGATGGAGTACATGTTCAAGCTTCAATACCACTTCAAGATCAAGTACATTATATTGGTAGGAAAGGGATGCCAACTCAAAATCTTATGGCCGTATGTAACTTTGACATGCAATTTATATTTGCATGTGCTGGGTGGGAAGGTACTGCACATGACACAAGAGTGTTTCTTTCGGTTCTATGCAATGAAAATTTAAATTTCTTTAAGCCACCAAGTGGTAAAAATTATGGTCAATTAACCTTTGTGTTTTTCATTACTTACTTAATTAGTCCAATCATATATACATATTAAGAAAATGAATGTTGTATTTCACAGGGAAATATTATTTAGTAGATATAGGGTATCCACAAATGAGAGGTTATTTGGGACCATATAAAGGCGAAAGGTATCATCTCCCGGATTTTCGTAGGGGAAGCCAACCAATGGGTTTATAAGAGGTATTTGTTAAGGCCCAAAAAATCTATGGTTGGGCCCGAATAATTTCTAGCCCAAGACGATATATATCCGATTTGGAGCACATGAAAGTATGACATACACGAGTCATACTCCGCACGCCATGCTAAATAAAAAAATCCGTCAAGCTAGGAATTGAGATTAAATTATAAAATGCATTTAGCTCTGCAAATCCATGCCAATTATCCTATCAAGCGCCATATTTAAAAGCATGCCAAGCAACATGCCATGCCAAGCGGGAAATTATTATTTCACACCTAATCGCACTACAAGCTTAAGTGGGCCCAAGCCACTCAAATGCCCGGGGCTTGCTTGAGTGGGTTGTGGTATGGATGGTAACGAATTGTCATGGGGCCCATTGATGGGCCGAGAAATGGAAATCTCGGGTCGCTTGGGGGCCTCGGGACTCAAGCCCATTTTCTTAGGCTCAAACGTGGGTAAGCACAAGAGAGGAAATAGCCCAATTGCTTCAACTAGAGTAGCCCAACCAAAATAACCCATTACTTTAGATAGCCCATAAAGCCCAAATATTGGTGAATTTAACCCCTTATTAGATGACTTGGTCTTCTATATTAAGGGCCCATACCATTTGAATAAAAGGAGTCCAAGGCCTTCAGCACTTGGCTGAAGCAGAAGACCACGAAGAAAGCCAAAGATTCACATGTGAGGGGCTACTGGGAGAACAAGTTCTAAGTGCAAGCATTCAAGAAACCAAGGGGTATTGGCACGCAGGGGAAGATGCTATCCCTTAAACTAGCAGGCGCACCCATTTTCTTTCCTTCACCAGACTTGGCCATGAAAAGAGGAGGAAAGAAGAGAAAGAAGATGGGTGAAAATGGAAGCTCTCCTTTGAAGCCGCTGAAGCCTCGAGCTCCCAAAAATCCCTGATTTTGTGGGACTGGGCAGAACTGATTTTTGCCTCCATGAGGTAAGTCAAGAAAGAGGAGAAGAAAGGAAGAAACAGCTTAGCTAGATTGGAAAGAAACCATTAGGGTTTCTTGGAGAAGACCCATTCCCAGCAGCTATAAATAGGACCCCTTATACCCAACACAACACAACCCACAACCTTCAGAGAGCAAGCTTTCTCTCTCACATGCAAACCCAGGAATTTTCGTGCTATCCTTCCTCATTTTCCTTTATTTCCCCTGTTTTGGCAGATGACAGAAGCTTTGACAGAGTCACTGTCAAGCTGCCGGAAACTACGAAAGTCACCCAAAACTCTTCACCATCCTTCTCCCTCTTCATCAAACCTCCTTAGAACCTCTCTCCCTCTCCATTAGAACCTCTGTACCTCATAGGAACCCACATCTCTCTCTCCTAAAGTGCTAAACCCATGATAATTTTTTCTCCCATGCCATGAGTCACTCATGCCAAGCTAGAATATTTATATGTAATTTGTTGTCATTTTCATTGGTGAAGGCAACCAAGGAGTTTCCTAAGGCGTCATCACCCTTTCGAGACATCCTTGGGGCTTGATCTTCGAACTCAGACACAAGGGGACACTTGCATCAGATTGCTCTTTACAGCAGCCCAACCCATTTTCTGCCAGAAGAAAAAAAGCCCCTACAGTATTCAATCTTGTTCACTCTTCTCTTATGAGCGTTATTGAAATAACCTTTGGAGTATGGAAGAAAAGATGGAAAATTTTAAGAGGTATGCCTAATTATCCATTCGACAAGCAAGTGAAGATAGTCACTGCTACAATGACACTTCATAATTATATAAGGAGGCATGCCCAATGTGATAGACATTTTGATGCTTCAAATGATATCTTAAGTGAAGAGATAGGTGGGGATGTTGATGTACAACAAGAACTTCATAGTCTTCATGACAATGGAACAAAAGAGATGAAAGCATTGAGAAATAGAATCGCTACAAGTTTAATGAATGCATCTAATTAGCTTCTTTTATATTGTAGTGATCTATTTGGGCATGTTAAAATTGAACAATTTTTGTATATTTGTTATGCTAACCCTCTCCCCTAATTAAAAAAAGAAAAATATTTATGTAGTGAAGTTTGTTTTCTTTTTTTTAAAGTAGAAAAAGAATGAAGAAAAAACAAACAGTTTCATCATCATGCCCTTTTCGATCATTATACACACTAAAAGCACTTCTGATAAAATTTATCAAACGCCTAACTATTTTTTTTTCACAGTTGATTATTTTTTCGCAACACAGCATAAGTTGTTTTTTTTTATTTTTTATTTTATATTTTATTTTATTTAAAGCACAACAATGCCAAACTATCCCTAAGTAACCAGGTTTTAATTTGAATGACCCAATTTTTATCTTGGACTCTATCTTATGTATCGTCTTTCTTGTTCCAATTATCGGCCAACCTATGGCTATTTACAATGATGCCTTAGATGCCTTTCAACCCATACGACGTGTTTTTATTCGACTTTGATCTCCAAGGGGCAACTTTTTGACCTTCTTCTTTTCCACGCTAATTTTGAACTATATGGAAAAGAGAATTCGAATATTATATATAGGAAAAATACTATTTAAGTATATTACAACTATCCAAATAAATGCATACTTAACAAATGTAAACGATAACAAGAAACCAACTTACTGTCAATTTTCAAACTCCTAATCGCTCATCATACCCCATGTTAAATGTAACTTTGTCCATCCGGTAATGGTGTTGATGGATTGTTCACGTCAACTGCACCTTTCTCATTTAATTTGCTACATTTTCACCCTTCTTGGTCACAACATTCTCACCTTCATGGGTTTTTTTCAATGCCTTGTCCCCTTTAGTTGCATTTACATCTCTATGTCCCACAAGAAGATGTTGTCTTGCATCTTTCATGAAGGAACTCACTTCACTCATTACCTTATTAGTGAGTTCTAACATTGAGCGCTTGACCTCGACTTGTATTATTAGTGTCAAAGCAACAACTTCTTCAACAATTCTTTCAATGTTCACTTCGGATACTTCATTTGTTCTACTGCACATTGAAACAACCTCAACAGTAAGACTATCAAACCTACCTTGCTTTCTAACCCATTTAATCAATTTATACGCGGAATTATTGTCTTATGACACAATGGGATCCAAAACTTTATCAACATATACTTCACTGTGGATAATTGAATCGAAGTAGAATAGCTAGAGGAAAAGAAGTGACCCATTTACATATAAACTTTATTCATGTTGAACGACCTAACACTTTCAAGTAATAAGTTAAATGCATGGTGAGCCCAGTTCTTGCTCTCTATCTTCCTTGGGATCCTCAAGGAAGTTAAATAGTTCCCGATCACTTTACCCCATGTCGTTAAGTCCGTCAAAAAGTCTGTTAAAAATGCTGACGTGGCACAAGTAGGACCCAATCTTTTGTTGAAATGGATATCATGTAAGTACCATGTGTGAAAAAAATAATAAAATATTTTGTTTATAAAAATATTTAACAAAGAGGAAAAAAATTACTTATCTCATCTTCTCTCTCCTTCTTTCTTTCTATGTACCTGACCCCCTTCCCCACCAAATACTTGGGGCAGCCATCACTGCCCCACCTCCTCCCCTCCTACTAAACAACCCCTTCTTCACCGACAAATGAGTCCAAGACAACATCTCCCACTACCACCCCCAAACCCAAATCACAATTAAAAATTCATCTCTCTCTCTCTCTCTCTCTCCTCTCTCTCTCTCTCTCTCCTCTCTCTCTCTCTCTCTCTCTCTCTCTCTCTCTCTCTCTCCCCTCTTTTGCTTTGCATTTGCTTTGATTTGTTGAAATGGATCCATGCCCAATTGCAAGCCCATATTCTCCACCAAGCTCTGCTTTGCTGAAATGAAATCAGTGGTTGGTGGGGGAGGGTAAAGGAAGTGGGTTCCAATTCTTTTGTCCTAATTTCCCAGAAATTGTGGGGTTTGTAAAGTTGGGTTCTTTTGCAATTGAATTGGGCAAACTAGAAAATTGACGAAATTGGAATTTGTCCATAAAATTAGAAAACTCACGAAATGGGAATTTGTTCATACTTTCCTACTGTACCACATGTGGAACTGAGTTTCCAGAAATTGAAGTTCTTGGATCAATTCGAGGGTTGGTACCAAGTTTTGACCTACTGATTCATAAAACTTAAATGAAGTGGAGGTGGTGGTGGATGTGGCTAGTGTAATAGTGGGATCCATCGCCGAAATGAGATGAGTAGGAAGAAGAGGGTGGTGGGAATTGGCCCAATTTTAAAGTCTCATAATCGTAAAGGTCGTAGATCTAGAGCTTGGCAGGGTCGCTGAGGATGTCATAGGCTTTGGAGATTTTGTCGTAGGGTACAGAGAAAGAAAGAGGGAAAGATAGAAGGGAGAAGCAATTTTATATATATATTTTTCCTATTTGTGAAAAAAAAAATTATAAATAAAATATCTAATGATCTTTTTCACACATAACACTTACGTGGCATCCATTTCAACAAAAGAATGGGCCCTACTTGTGCCACATCATCATTTTTAATAGATTTTTAGACGGACTTGACGACATGGGGTAAAGCGAGTCGCAAAACATCTGTCAAGAGGGCACTCTGGGCCACTTTAACTTTCAAAGGGTGAAATGAGGTTTAACCATAGTTTTAAGGAGCACTACAATAAATAAGCCTTTATACTAAGACACTTTTTTTTGGAAACTTATACTAAGACACTTATGCTCTCAAATTTTACTTAAATAAATCAATTTAAAGTTAAAAGAATGTACATATTTTTAACCGTTATGAACCCAAATATCTTAATTCAGCCACCTGCAGGGTGTTTAGCATTACTTTAAAAAAAAATAAAAAATCATAACATGCGAACTCATTTCTCTGTTATAAAAATAGTAAAAGAAAACATGCACCAGCCGGGAATCGAACCCGGGTCTGTACCGTGGCAGGGTACTATTCTACCACTAGACCACTGGTGCTTCTTGCTGGAGAAAAGCTTGTGTATTAATATATACTATAGCCACTAGAGCAGCCTCTTCCAATTTCTTTGTTTCTTTTTTGGTGAAACCTCTTCTAATTTCTTTTGGCAACGCTATAAGCTAATATTTATAAAATGATGGATATAAAATTCAATTTTTAATGTAAGGACCTAAATTTTTCGTCTGTGTTGCTAAGCATGTGATTATAAGATATTTTTTATTTCCTATTGAGAGAGGTGATAATATATTAAATTCACTTACACTATACGAATGCTAAGACTCTAATTTAGGATCTTTCCTTGTGGAGCAATTGCTCCAAACCACTACACTAGTGGGTCTTTTGTACTGATGTGTCAGACTCTCTTGTTAGTCTATGGCATGTGTGATACTTTTTCCTACTCTAGGGTTTGTTCCGTGTAGTTTTCCTAGGAAGGTTTTAACGAGGCCACTGTATTCGTGCCGGTCTTTGTATGCCTTTTGATTTTTGAATGAAATCTTTTTTTGAAAAGAAAAAAGAAAAAAGAAAAAAGAAAAAAAGCATGTGTTTGAATTATACGATATGAAGTCTTTGTGGTTCAACAAACGATATATTTAGACAAAAAGAAAACATAACAAAAGCAGAAAATGAAAACCTAACCACATCTGGCAAGACTATATATATATATATATAAGAATTAAAATTTTCGTGCCTAATTCCAAGGGAACCATATAGCCTCACAAATCAGTTTATAATTTTCGTTCATTCATTCACAACCTAACATCAACAAGATGCTTGTACAGTACAAGCATCTTATAGTTACCCATAAAGAATTGTTGGGTGTCCGCAGCCCGAAGCTTGGCTCAATAATATTGCAGTGTTTTACAATTACTCTTCTCCAAGAATTTTCCAACGGGTTTTTCGTTCTCGTGCATTAGCGCGATGTCTTCCCCCTGCATACAAAATAAATATAAGAGGTAAACCTACATTACAAGGGAAAATAGTATTTGTTTACCTGTACCCCAAGTAAGTGGGTATGCGAGCACTACAAGAAAAAACTATTTTTGGCCGACGACAAATGGGGCAACGAAACCCAATATCATCGCTCGAAATCAGTTGAGGTGACGAAAACTGCACTTCTCTGGTTCTTAAGCTCATTGGTTCACTCTAATTCCAGCACAAATGGTCTCTCAGATTTATTGGATACACTTGATTGCTCTGATTACTTGTTTTTCATTTTTCTTACCTTTCAAAGACATACTCTGTTTTGATTCTTGCACCATTAATGGTATCTTTAGTATTTTTTGAATTCAAGCGATAGTCTAAACTACAAGGGGAATAAGATTTTACACACACACACACACTACCAAGGTGTCATGGGGATTCGAAACCTGAGACCACTATTCTACAAGCTAAGATCATTTTTCATTGGGCTAGACCCCTTTGGTGGTATCTTTAAAGACCTATGGAATTGCTTAATTAAGAGCCCGTTTGATAAACCATTTCAATTTTAGTGTTTTTTTTTTTTTTTTTTTTTTTTTTTTTATGCTAGAGTATTGTGAAAAAAGAAGAGAATGAAAGTGGAAATAAGAGTGAAGATGGAATTGAGAGGGAAGCTGAGATGGCTGAAAAAGGAAAACGTCTCGGCAGCACGAGCTTGGTGAGTAAGCTCATAAACTCTTAGTGAGTTTGTGATGAATGGTCAAATTGGATGATGCTCAAGGTTTTCCAAATGAACAAAAAAAAACTTGGTGATATGTTACATGATTCCTAGAAAGAGAGAGAAAGGGTAAAAATAGAGAGAGTGAGTATTTGTGAAAAAAAATAAATGAGTTTGGGTTTTTTTTTTTTTTTTTTTTTTTTTTTTTTTTTTTTTTTTTTTTTTCATTATTAATAAATAGTTTCTCTTCAATAAACGTCTCCCATGATACCTTGGTAGTGTGCATTTCATTTTAAATAAAGAATCTGTTTAATTTTGTTAATTTTTTAAATAAAAATAATAGTCTAAACTATAAAAGCAATAGCCACCCTAAACCCCCCAAACCAGCCCTCCAAACTGTGTAGCCTGAACCACATCCTAATCCAATATGCATGATAGATCATAGAATACTTTACATAGTTTTCAGTGTCTTAAGCAACACCCTTTAGTGGCAGAATCACGCAACGAGAACTCTCTTTTACGCAATATATGCATTATAAAGGAAAAAAGTTATTGCCATGATATAAGACTTTTACAAATCAATCAGATTCATAATTGTCAACTAATTTATCTATGGCAATACTTTACATAGTTTTCAATGTCTTAAGCAACACCCTTTAGTGGCAGAATCACGCAACGAGAACTCTCTTTTACGCAATATATGCATTATAAAGGAAAAAAGTTATTGCCATGATATAAGACTTTTACAAATCAATCAGATTCATAATTGTCAACTAATTTATCTATGGCATATGGGTTGACACCATAATGGAAAAGTGGGCCAAATTTTCCCCCTCCCTCCAAGTGCACCTGAGTTCGATGTAGAAGACAATCTAAAGGCAACCCAATATAATTCACCCCTCCCCTTCCCTAAGAGCATTTCCCAGCAAAGGGCCGAGGGGGGGGGGGTGTGTGGGGGGGGGGGGGGGGGCGCAAGGACCCAAAATGGGGTTTCCAGCAGCAAAGATCTGCCAAGGCAAGGAGTGGGGCCCAGCTACCTGGGCTGGCCCGAGCGCCAGCCCTAGTGCAATCTGACGTCAGCGCGCTACAGTGCTCCCCTAACAGCTTTCTTCCACGTGGCTCTTTCTGGGCTCTCCGATCCCATTTTTTCCAGCAATCCAACGGCAGCCAATTTTTTGCCCAATAAAAAAATGTAAAAAATACCCAAAAAATATTGAAATTTTTTTTCTATAAATACCAACCAATAGTCTTCACTTTTAACACCAGCAGCCATATTTTTGTAATAAAAAATTGAAAAAAATTACCAAAAAATTCCTTTTTTTTTCTCTCTATACCTTATTTCCATTTTCAACATTTAAGTAAATGTCTTTGTCCTTTTACTTTTATTTATTTTTATACTACTCTATTTACTTAAGTTTACAATGTAAATAAGGAAGTACCCCCCTATTTGGATTCAAATAAAAATACTAGAAAATCAAATTCCCACCAAATCAAAATATGAAAAATCGGTTTTAGTGCAAAATACGATTTAGGCTAAAAATGATGACTCATTAAGTGAATATATACTTCATACTAAAATCCCATAAAATCAAGTTTTCTTATTTGATGTGTAAGGAATAAAAGCCGCCAAAAATTATCTTGAGAAAATGATTATTCCGAAAAAACCATTTTTCATACTTAGTCAATATTGCACCTCCGCTAAAAGTCTTGAGAAAATGATTTTTCATATGTAGGAACCCAAAAATCTTATCTGAAAATATTATCCAAATTAATTGTTTAAGTGAACAAAGTTATGAAAAAAAACAAAAAAATGATTAGTATTTGCCATGGCAAGCCTAAACTGCTGGAAACACACTTTGCTAAGGGGGGGGTAGGGCAGCCACTATTCACGTGAATAGTAGCTGCCCTAGGGCTCCCCTTGCCATGGCAAGGGGCTAACTGGTGGAAGTGCTCTAACTAATGACCAAAAAAAAATATCCATGAGGTTGTGCAAAAGGTTAAAAGGAAATCTTTAAAATGGTAAATCTCCTAATCTCCTCACAAAATACGATAGGTAAAAACGACATGATCTAAAGGTAAAATTAATGAGAGACTAACATAAATTATTAAAAATACATGTAGGTCCTCAAAATAAAGAAGAAGAAAAAACCCCACAAGAATGAATTCCATAAGCTATACACACTGTCTTACAACAGTGTGAAGAAGCTCATGATGAAAAATAGTGGTGCAAAGACACTCAAGGCATAACTCAAGCCGTGCCGCCTCTCTCCGGCACTTAAAGCAACCTGCACCCGGAATATGCAATCTCCTATTGAGGGATCTTGTGTCACCTTAGTCCCCATCCCATTAAAATCACATGCCCTTACATCTTGGTCTTTACTTTGGTAGAACTCATTGAAGGCATAAGAGATTCTATCATGCAGTTCCAAGTCACAAGACCTCTGCTTCCCCAAACTTGTGCAATCCGCCAGTGAGCAAGCATAGTTGAGTTCCACTTGAGCTTTGCTCAAGTTCCTCACATCACTATTCAACACACACCATTGCCTTTCCAAGTACGTCACTCCTTCAACACCTTTTAGCATCTGGTGTCCCGAATTTTGGCCGGCAAGGTCCATGGGGAACTTAGGCTTGCCATCATATCGAAAAATGCCCCAGTGCCGCTCAAAGTCCCCTGGAGCAATACTTTTCTGATCCTCGTCAAAAAGCCCGAATAGGTACACTTCCAAGTAGCCTTTCCTCAGAGGGGTTCCCTCTTCGCTTGCTAGTTTCTTTAGTAGGCCATCATAAAACTTCTTAGCCAATCTGTTATTACAATAACCGTTGCCATCGGTAGGCCATCCTACTTCCCCAATTAAAATGTCCAAGTTAGCAACACCTACCTTTTTAAGTGCCCAAAGAAGTGTGTCATAATTTGCATCAAACACATTGCTGTATTGAGCACCCTTATCTCTAATCGGGCTACCGTTGTCGAAGAAAGCGAATTCTTGGGGAAAACCAGTGCTTTGGTAGAGACTAAGGAAGGGGTAGATGTTCACAACAAATGGGGCCTTCTTGGCACGAAAGAAGTGTAGTATCTCCAACATATGTTTCATAATATCTTTTCGGAAACGCCCGTCTGATGGTTTGTTCGAAGGGGATTCGTAAACATCGGCATTGAAGGGCACTACGCATTTGATTTTTTGTCCGACGCCAGCTTCATCTAGGGCCCTTTGAATGTTTTTCACTGATGGGAAAAGAGTCTTAACATAGCTGCCATTGTAACTTGATAAGAATGGCTCGTTCCCAACAGCCACATAGCTGTAGAAGTTCAAAACACACACCCATAAATTGAACAAGAAAAGATAAAGTCAGTCTCATTTTGAAAAATTAAAGAGATGCAGAATAGCATGCTAGCTACCTTTTCGTTTTTTCTTTCATTTTGAAATTTCTGTCTTTAATCAAATTATCAAGTCCCACTAATTCTTTCGCAATTTGTTTTTATGTAAGACACCAATATCTCACTTTGAGTCTTGAAATTAGGTTTTCTAAAAACACAAAGTTCTTTTGAATTCTATATGATAATGCGTGGTAACATGAGTCAAAACTTGTGTTGTGCGTCATACAATGCTTACGTTATTGAACTGTGAATATGGACCAATCAATCTGGTAAAAATCAACATGATCAAGTGGTCCAATTTCAGTCTGGCAAGAAAACTTTTATGTAATATGTATATTTTTGTTTACCACCTTACCATAACCAAAAAAACAAACAAAACATTACCATAACAAAACCATAATTTTTTCTTTTGAACTACATGTCTTTAAACAGAAAATATTCACTAGAAAAAAAATATTTGCAAACCTGATACTAACGCCCCCTTCATAAAGATGTTCAGTGACATTTTCTTTCACCCATTTTTGGGCAAATTCGTAATCGTGAGAAAGTTTGTCCAATTTGTCATTGGGAATTCCAACCATGACATGCAAACCAGACCCAGCCAAGGCTTTCATGGTCTTAGGATCAGCGTCGAAAAGCTTCACCTTCTTGATGCCATTGACCTTGAGCATCTTAACAACGTCGGTGGGAGGCAAAGGGTGTGACGACATTTGCCCCCAGTTGACACCTAGGCCTCGTACAAGGTCCGTTGATGCCGCCAACATTAAAAGACCCATGCCGGAAACATGTCTCGATGGATCGATGGATATGGCGATGAGTTGCTTAGAAGACACCTTAAACAACAGTTGTTGGACGTGCTATATATTTAGTTAGGCTAGGCTTATGAATCACAGAATTGGGAGGTTGCTTGGATTTGAAGAAATTAAGAGTTTGACAATGGTATTCTCTTGGTCTTTTCTTTTCTGCAATGGAGTCAATTAAGAAGATGGGTTGGGGAGAAGGCCTCTTATTTCTACATACCAAAAGAAGCGTTGAACGTACGTACGCAATTTTAGTTGATATATGCATACAAGGGGTCAACTTTTTTTTGTTTTTTTCTCACATTCTTATCTTTTTCTATTTCATTTCTGGGTCGTACACATTTCTAGTAGTCAAAGCTCTTGGAAATTTGTTGGTGTTAGTGACCCTTAAAACTAGGGTCTAAAATTTAGGTGGTTCGCCTGTAAGTTAAGAGAGTTGCGAAGAAGACAGATGGGAGAAATTCTTGTATGTAAAATAAAACAGACCATTATATTTTAACCTTCTTAATTAATCAAAATTATCATTAAGGATCAAGTGAGTTGATAAGGGACTTGCATTAATATTTTGCATAAATTAATAAATTATAAAAATGCTCTATGAAAAAACTAGGGAAATTAAGAATGTTCTTGTACTTGGGCATTAAGAATTGAAATTTTTAGTTAACGAGGTCTAGGCCAGTAGGAAATGGCCTTAACTTGCATATTAGGGGTCTCAAGTTTGAATTACATGGCATCATAGTAGCATAGTAGTTGTGTGTGTGTGAAATCCATCCCTTTAGTTTAGACTATTGCTTGTACTAAAATAAAATAAAATAAAGAATTGAAATTACTAATCAAATGAGGATAATATGGTAAGTTTATAACTTTTCATATTTAAAAAAAATTAAAATTAAAAACAAAATCAGATAATAGGTCCTATTTTTATGTAATACAACACAACTACCCATGTTATCTTTCTTTTTTTTTTAAATAAAAAAAAAAAAAAAAAAAAAAAAAAAAAAAAAAAAATTGGCAATTCGGGACACGTATATAAATTACATATAAGTATATGTAGTTGTACTAATTCTCTTACATTAAGGTGAAGAAGCTCATCAGGATCAAGAATAGTCCTGCAAAGATGCTCAATTCGGGCCTCACTCCGGCATTTAAAATTTGGATCGGGAACAGGCAATCTCCACTTGAGGCATTTTGTTTGACAATGTTAGCCATCCCATTGAAATCGCATGCCCTAACATCTTGGTCTTTATTTTGAAAGTAAGCATTGAAAGCATAAGAGACATTTCCATGTTGATCCAAGTCGCACGACCTTCCAACCCCCAAGCTTGTGCAATCCGACATCGAGCAAGCGTAGCCGACTTCTGGTTGCGTGTTGCTCAAGTTTCTAACGTCGCTCTTCAGCACGCACCACTGCTGGTCCAAGTACTGCACTCCTTGCACTCCTTTAAGCAAATTGTTCCCTTGCCCTTTTCCGCTGAGGTCCATCAGGAACTTAGGCTGTCCATCGTAGCGAAAGATGCCCCAGTGACGTTCAAAGTCACCCGGGGCAATGCTTTTCTGGTTCTCATCGAAGAGACCAAAGAGGTACACTTCCAATTTCTTTTTCCTTAGAGGGGTACCATCTTCGGTTGCCAGTTTCTTGAGGAGGCCATCGTAGAACTTCTTTGCCATTTTCCCATTGGCATTTATGTCACCATCAGTAGGCCATCCTACTTCCCCAATTATGATATCCAAGTTGCCAAATCCAACCTTTTTGAGTGCAGAAATCAGCGTGTCACAATTTGCATCAAAGACATTTTTGTATTCGATGTTGTTGTCCTTAACTGGCTCGCTACCGCCTTCAAAGAAAGCGAATTCTTTAGGGAAATCAGAGCTCTGGTAGAGACTGAGGAAGGGGTAGATGTTGACAACAAATGGGGTCCTATTGTCGTTAAGCAAACGGAGAATCTCCACAATGTTGTTCTTGATGTCCTTTCGGAAACGCCCGTCTGATGGTTTGTTTGAAGAAGATTCGTAGACATCAGCATTGAAGGGCACTGTGGCTTTGACTTTGCCTCCATAGCCAGCTTCATCAAGCGCCTTTTGAATGTTTTTCAGTGCCGGGTAAGTAGTCTTCACATAAGTACCATTGTAACTTGTTAAGTACGGCTCGTTCCCAACAGCCACATACCTGTAAAGTTAAGTTGCAACACAATACAACAACTATAAGCATATCATATCAAGTAATTAATTTCCTTGAATTATAATTACATATTCTCTTAAACATATACTTTTCAGCCTTAGGATTTTTTGATACAAGCGATATTCTACTTTAAACTAATCTAAACTACAGGGAGGGAGATTTGAACTCAGGTGCAAATAGGAAGCCGCTCTAGCTAACTTGGCTAAACCCGTGTCTGCTTCACCTCTATGTGTTGATGCATTAATTTAATGACAGATCATTTGGTGGCTCTAGCATAATGGTAAAAGCGTAAATATTTTTGAGTTAGCATATTCTCTTTAGTCGCCATTCTCTTGCTGGGTGGTTTCGCAAAAAAAACAAAGTTCTACCCGTAAATTCTACAGAAAAAATAACAAAATCAACTTTCTTTTTTGTTCTATCAAAATGTTATTAAAACCCCATAAGCAAAAACGCAAACCTGATATTGACGCCCCCGTCATGAAGATATTTGGTTACATTTTGTTTCACCCATTCTTGAGCCTCTTTGTAGCTATCAGCAAGTTTTTCCAACTTCTCATTGGGGATTCCAACCATGACCTGCATACCCGACCCGGCCAAGGCATCCATGGTATCAGGCTCAGCGTCGAAAAGCTTCACTTTCTTGATCCCGTTGTCCTTAAGCATCTGAACGACATTTTTCGGAGGCAAAGAGTGAGACCCCATGGAACCCCAGTTGACACCTAAACCTTGTGCAAGGCCCGTCGGCACCAACATTAATATGGAGAGGAGGCATACAAGAAACACGGCTCGAGCCATTTTCTGAGCCGGTTCAGATATGGCGGGCTGTTGAGAAGAGAGCCAAAACAATGGTTGCTAGTGTGATAGGAATTTAGCCGGAGGCGCTTAGGGCTATGAATGAGGAGGGAATGGGGAAGTTTCTTGGGTTCAAAGAAAGAGTTTAAAAAAGGGATGGCCGCAATAGAGTTAGGTACGTAAATGGGTTTGCAAAAGCCATTTTGGCGGTGCCTCTCATTTGTAAATGCCATTGGGAAAGAGTGTAACTAATTCTTCTAATTTTAGTCGGTACACATGAGGCATTCAAACCGCTTTTGCAATAAGCTATCCAATTTTAGTTTCACGCATGGTGTCAAAATTTTCTCAAATTGTTTTCTTTTTCTAATTTTAGTTTCATACATTTCTCTCTAAAGTTCATAGATCTACATGAAATGAGCGGCGCCTTAAAACTAGGGTCTAAAATTTAGTTGGTTTTGTTGGAGATTTGCAAAGATAGGGTGGAAAAAATATACAAATTTATAAATAAACCCAATCCTAGACATGTATTTATTAAAAAACCCAAGCACTATTTAAACATAGAAACACACCCAAAATCAACAATTATATATTTTTTGGGTGTGTTTATAAATGGGTTTTGAGTGTGTGTAATGATGGGTTTTGGATGTGTTTATAAAGTGTTTTGGGTGTTGGGTTTTTTTATAATTTCAGCCCCCATTTTGGGTGTTTTAGTGAAACTCCCAAAAAAATACTCACATATGTACATATGTTCTGGTTTATGTAACTTCTCCTAATTAACTCATTATTTCTCACAACTGTTTCCATGCAGCGACGGAGACTTCAATTCGGGTGGATTGCAATTTGCAGCACACCACCCTTAGTTTTTTGCCTTCTAGGAGTAACTGTTGTGACAAATGTTATATCGGACAATGCGCGTATGGATGACTATCATAAATTTGATTGTTGGGAAAGAAATAAACATAACTTTCAATACAAACTTTTTTGTTAACCAAAAGTTACAACAACAATATTATATATATTAATATGTTCTAACAATTCAAAACCTTTTTATCTTTGAATTTTATACTAAAATTCAATTTGGTCATTAGGAAAAGAATTTAGTTGAATTGGTCAATATTGTATCTTAGCATTGAAAATCTAAAGCCATTTGTCGTTAAAAGAATACTAGCACAAAGTTTATTTAATTACGCGCACGCTACTCGCATCTTATAAAATTTTATTTTTCCTTTTCCAATTATTTTAGGTTTTTTTCAATATTTAAGTCTCTTCAGACATACAATTGTAAAAAATATATAATTGAAAAGAAAAGAAAAAATAAAAACTTTAAAAGACACATGTAACGCGTAAAAAAATGTCTATCACACACGCAAAGCAAGTGGTGCTTATTTGTTAGGAGCATTTGGTTTAAATTAACTTCTAGTATTTTCCTAATATACATTTTTCGCATGATTATTTGTTAGGAGCAAGTGGTGTTTCTTTTTTTAGAGCATCTCCAAGGGAGATGTCAAATACCAAACATCAAATTTAAATTTGATGGCAGATGTGACAATTTGACATCTTACACAACTTTACACTCCACCTGATATGTCAAATTAAATTATTATTTTATTACATTTTAGTGTTGATTTGTTTTTAATTAAAAAATAATAATAATAAAATAATAAAATATTTATTTGACATCTTACTTTTGGGATGTCAAAAATAACATCTTAACCTCCAGCCTTCATTCCACATCAGCTTTGACACATCGGTTGGAGTGATGTGAGATGTCATTTCTAGCTGTTAAAGATCTATGTGGCACTTTTGACACATCAATTGGAGATGCTCTTATACATAATAATATATGTCAAGGTGTCAAACTGGGTGCTCAACTTGTTCAGAATCGGTCCATTTAATAAACGGGTCGTGCCGAGTTTGTTTATTTATGAAAATCATCAATTCCAATCCGAGTTTACGGCCCAAGCCCATATGAACTTGGGCCATCACATTTATCAAAATCATCAATTATGGCCCAAGTTTACTGCCCAAACCCATATGGACTGTAACACCCCGACCCCAAATTATCCCATGTTTTAATTTATTTAAGTGGAATTGAGAAATTACCCGTGGGATAGGGGTATTTTAGTCATTTTCTTATCCGGAAGGAATTTGGGAATTCCGGTTGTACCGTTGCGTAGAGCACGGTGAGATGAGTCCGTAGACACGTAGTGGGCTCGAATCGGAGTTGTAACGAGAGAGATATGATCAAATGAAGCTCAGTGGCATAATCGTAAATATTTTGAAGTGGGATTTTTGGTTAAAAGACGGAATTGCCCCCGTCTCTCACACACTCTCTCTCTCCCGCGCGTCGCTCTCTCTCTCCTCTGGTTCGCGACAGCCACCGTGGCCGACCACGTTTTGGCCGGCCGTTCGCTCGTCCGGCCACCAAAGTCGACGGGGCCGGTACCAAAATGACCGGGCCGCCGTCCTCTTCCTACCCCAGCCAGGTCTCGCCGTCAGCCGTCGAGATTTCGCCGGAAAATCGAAGAGAAAAGCTCGGTTTCGCCCGAAACTTCGCCGGCTTCGTTCTCCGTCGTCCGGCCGCCATTTTTGGCGATCAAGGTATGGAAATTCATCCCTTCTGCATGATCTAGCTGATGGTTGGGTAGGATTGTATTGATTTTGAGCCTAGATCATCTGATTTTCGAGTTAGGGTTCGGCCGGATTTCGGGATGAGATTCCGGCCACTTCCGGTCAGTTTTTGGGGTACGTCCACGAACAAAAGTGACTCCAAATTAGGTGTATTACCTAGGGTAGGAGTCTGGGCTCACGATTTGGAAGTTTTCCGGCGATGGGTATCGCTTTGGACACCCACGCGCTGCCGGCGCGTGTGGCGGCGCGTGGGCACTGTAGCTGAGGGGCATTTTTGTCCCATTGTGATCCTCTCGATGTCACGAGCGCGCAGGTGTGCTCGGATCTCAATTTGGGTATCGTTAGAGTCCCGAACGGATATCGCATATCGCGTATTTTCCGGGTTTGCTGGGTTTGGACCGTTGGATGGTCCTGAGATTATAATATGTTGATCTAGGTATTACCAGGATCGTGTAGGATTCGACGGATCGTAAAACGGAGTCCCGGATACTTCGGAAATGCCAACCCTGGGGTTAGGGTTTAAGTATCCGTCCGATTGTGCGATCGTGAGCAATCCGACCGTCCGATCTGGACCAAACTTGCAGGACATGTGTCCTAGAGCTTGTAGAACCTCTAGGAACTATCGGATCGGAATTTGTAGGTTGTGGGCCCCGCAGGCCCGTTTGACCCTAGGTTGACCGTGAGACTCCCGAGATAGTCTTACCTTTCCTTGAGGGTTAGGATGACCTTAGTGACAGGTCTTGAGCGCTGTTGAGTTAAATGGATATTGTGGGTTTAGGATATAAATTGGTGAATTTAAATGGGGGGAGTTTATGGAATATTTTGTTGGTTGATGTTATTGTATGATTAGAAATTATATGATATATTTAATTAATTGTGTGGACGTGTAATGATATATAAAGAGATTGAATGTTAGTTTACAGTGCTATACGCACTACCCCACGTACCCCTCATATTGTGATTAGGCTCAGGCCCAAGTGATAGTATGATGGCTGGTGAGAATGTAGCCAGGCCCAGTGTGAGGTCGCACGCGTCTTTGGGTTAGCCGGCGTGTTGACAGGCCCCGTACGTGGCCGGGTACGTCCCGACGTATGAGTGGGTGATATGATGGTATAAGGGCTGGTGAGAATGTAGCCAGGCCCAGTGTGAGGTCGCACGCGTCTTTGGGTTAGCCGGCGTGTTGACAGGCCCCGTACGTGGCCGGGTACGTCCCGACGTATGAGTGGGTGATATGATGGTATAAGGGCTGGTGAGAATGTAGCCAGGCCCAGTGTGAGGTCGCACGCGTCTTTGGGTTAGCCGGCGTGTTGACAGGCCCCGTACGTGGCCGGGTGCGTCCCGACGTATGAGTGGGAGTTATGATTGTGTGAGGGCTGGTGAGAATGTAGCCAGGCCCAGTGTGAGGTCGCACGCGTCTTTGGGTTAGCCGGCGTGTTGACAGACCCCGTACGTGGCCGGGTGCGTCCCGACGTATGAGTGGGAGTTATGGTTGTGTGAGGGCTGGTGAGAATGTAGCCAGGCCCAGTGTGAGGTCGCACGCGTCTTTGGGTTAGCCGGCGTGTTGACAGACCCCGTACGTGGCCGGGTACGTCCCGACGTATGAGTGGGAGATATGATGGTATAAGGGCTGGTGAGAATGTAGCCAGGCCCAGTGTGAGGTCGCACGCGTCTTTGGATTAGCCGGCGTGTTGACAGACCCCGTACGTGGCCGGGTGCGTCCCGACGTATGAGTGGAGCTATGTGATTGTGTTTGGTGTGTTGAGATGGATAAACCGAGAATGTATGAATTTATATGGATGGAATGGTTAATTGATATCAGGAGCCAGGATTGATAGGAAAGAGCTACGTGTGGCTTGATCCCTTAGTAGGGTACGTAGGCAGCCTGGGATAGCGCCTAGGTGCAGCCACGACTTAGACACCACTTAGGTGGTTTCATTGTGTATGATGCGGACCTCGTGGTTGGTCCCGAAACTTGGTTGAATTGAGACTGGTCCGGTGGACTGAGTGAGCGAAGGTGTGCATAGTTAGATTTTGAATTTGGTTCTGTGCATGTTTGATGCATGGAGTTATTTTAAAAGCAGTGTGAGTAGTTCTGCTAGAATCATTTGAAGGCTGGAGGCCATTTATGTAAATTGTTTGAGATTATAGTGTGCGTGCTGCTGGTTGGGTTATAAAATGTGTTTTATGCAGGTGGAACTTTTGGGGAATATTCAATTTACAGGGGAGACTCTGCCGAATTTTCGGCAGAAAGTCTCGTGCCCTTAATCCTCTATGGTGAACGAGGACGTAGATTTAAGGAGTAAACCCGGCGTGGGTGTGATGCCGGGGTCTCCGCAGGGTTCGTCTCGGGTTCCGGGAAATTCGGGACGGGTCCTGTCATGGACTCGGGCCGTGTTCGTGTCAGGCTACTAAACGGGCCAAGATGGACGCACGCCAAATTTGATTTATGTATTGCATTTTTGTTTTTTTTGTAATTTTTTTTTACAACTTCATTTAAATCTTTTTTACAATTATGTATATAATAAAAAGATTTATTATTTTTTGAATAAAGTGGGCAATAACTTTTTTAAAGTACATTTAAATAGAAAATGACTATAGTATTGTTTGGATTTTAAAAACTGAAACTTGAAAAACAAAGTCATTATTTTATATAAAGAAAACATTAAAATTTAATACATATTATTATAGAAAAGAAATAAACTTGAATTTAAGATATAAATGTAATAATATTATGTATTATTTTTCCCTAAAATAAATATTATTTAATAAATGTGCTTTAAACGGGCTTGCTCGGCCCAACCTATTGGGTCTAATTATCTTGTCCTCGCACGACCCAAAGATATGGGCTGTGTTGTGCCGGACCTTATTTAAGCAGGTCGCACTCATGTCGTGCCAGACCGGTTCAATCCATTCGACACCTCTATGTCAAGGACATCACTTCTACTATCAAATTTATACCCAATAATAACTTTAAAAGACAATTGTAACAAAAAATATAATTGAAAAGAAAATAAAAATAAAAACTTTAAAAGACACTTGTAACGAGTAAAAAAATGTCTATCACACACGCAAAGCAAGTAGTGCTTATTTGTTAGGAGCATTTGGTTGAAATTAACTTCTAGTATTTTCCTAATATACATTTTTCGCATAATTATTTGTTAGGAGCAAGTGGTGCTTCTTTTTTTAGAGCATCTCTAAGAAAGATGTCAAATACTAAACATCAAATTTAAATTTGATGGCGGATGTGGCAATTTGACATCTTACACAGCTTCACACTCCACCTGATATGTCAAATTAAATTATTATTTTATTACATTTTAGTGTTGATTTGTTTTTAATTAAAAAGAAAAGAAAAGAAAAAATAATAAAATAGTCATTTGACATCTTACTAAAATAACATCTCAACCTCCAGTCTTCATTCCACATCAACTTTGACACATCGGTTGGAGTGATGTGAGATGTCATTTCTAGTTGTTAAAGGTCTATATGGCACTTTTGACACATCAGTTGGAGATGCTCTCAAGGGAGATGTCAAATACCAAATGTCAAATTTAAATTTGATGACTGATGTGACAATTTGACATCTTACACAGCTTTACACTCCACCCGACAAGTCAAATTAAATTATTATTTTATTACATTTTAGTGTTGATTCATTTTTAGTTAAAAAGAAAAGAAAAGAAAAAAATAATAAAATATTCATTTGACATCTTGCTTTTGGGATGTCAAAAATAACATCTCAACCTTCAGCCTTCATTCCACATCAGCTTTGACACATCGGTTGGAGTGATATGAGATGTTATTTATAGCTGTTAAATGTCTATGTGGCACGTTTGACACATCGGTTGGAGATGCTCTTATACAAAATAATATATGTCAAGGTGTCAAACTGGGCGGGCTCAGCCTGTTCAGAGTCAGTCCATTTAATAAACGGGTCGTGTCGAGTTTGTTTATTTATGAAAATCATCAATTCCAATCCGAGTTTATGGCCCAAGCCCATATGAACTTGGGCCGTCACATTTATCAAAACCATCAATTCTGGCCCGAGTTTACTGCCCAAGCTGAAACGACCTGACCCAATTTCCACTTTGGAATCAGGGTCGAAACCTGTTTAAAACTGACACTTGGTAACCGTGGGTCGTAAATGACCAAAATGAAAACAGTAACATAAACCCTGAGCCCCTAACTTGTTGCTGCGCCTGGTAACTGTAGGCTGCCTACGTACCCTTACTGAGGGATCAAACCACACGTAGTTTTTTCCTCTGTTCCTGACCTGTAACTGGTTTGTTTTACTGTAAACCTCACTCTAGGGCTAACATTTCTGGAGTATCCGAGACTCCGTTTTATGATCCGTCAAATGTTATACGATCCTGAAATTACCTAGACCAACATACTGGAGCATGATTACGATCCAACAATTCAAACCTGCTGAACCCGGGAATCACCCACTAGGCGAGATCCGTTCGGGGTTCAAACGTTATCCGAATTAAGGTCCGCGAAATCCTACGCGCTCGTGGGGACTAGGACATTATTCTAGGGCTGACTCTGGTCCCCACCCTGCTTCCCACACGCTGCCACACGCGCCGGTAGCGCACGATGCTTAAAGCGATAACACTCCGCCGGAAAAAACTCTAAACCACAGCTCAAGACTTCTACCCTAGGTATAACACCCTATTTGGGGCCACTTTTGTTCTTGGATCTACTCCAAAGACTGGCCGAAAGTGGCCGGAACTGTGCTCCCAAAACCGGCCAAACCTTAGCTCGAAAATTAACATGCCAAACCTAGAAATTCCTTAAATCCTAACCAACCAGCAGCTAGAGCACGGAAAATAGCTAGAAATCCATACCTTACTCGACTGATTTGGTGGCCGAATGACGGCGTACGAACGCAGGGAATTTCTGTCAAAACCGGTGACTTTTATGGCAGATTCTGGCGGTTTCCTGCGGTTCTAGGCGCAGAGACCGGTCGGGAAAGGAAGAGGGAGCTGCATGGCAATGGGTCTGGGTCTTTTGCGTCTTAGCGGCTGGTAGGATGGTGGCGAAGGTTATGGGGGAGGAGAAGAGGAGGGAAGAAGATGAGGAGAGAGGAGTGGGGGGAGGGGGGAGTCGACCGGGGGGGGGGGGGGGGGGGGGGGGGGGGGGGGGGGGGGTTGGGGGTTTGTTTTTTTGTTTCAGGAGAGAGAGAGAGAGAGAGAGAGAGAGAGAGAGAGAGAAGATGAGGGTTTTAAAAATCTGACTTTCCAAAATTACTATTTTGCCCTTGAACGTATTTTGACCGTATCTCCCTCAATACAACTCGGAATCGAGTGTACTGCATGTCTACGAACTCATTTTGTCGCGCTCTACGCAACGGTATAATTGAAATCCCCAAATTCCTTTCCGGTCAAAAAGTCAACTTTTAAACTAATAAAATATTTTAGGGGCATAGTGGTCTTTTATTGGAATAAATTAATAATTAAATATTAATTAAGGACTGGGTTGTTACAATCTAACCCCGTTATAAAAATTTCATCCTCGAAATTTACATACCCATCACTCGAAAAAATGAGGGTAGTGAGCCTACATCTGTTTCTTGGGTTCTCAAGTCTGCTCTTTTGAAACTGCACTCACCATTTGCATCTCAATAACTGTATCTATAAGGCAATCAATAAAATATGAGGGCCATACATTTATATCTGAATACCTGAGCTGGCTTAAGGAAATATAAAACTCTGAAAAGATCTGCTAATTAACTGAATTTCTGATAAACTTAAAACTCTGCTTCCATTAATATGATATTTAGCTAAAATCCCCTTTTTCCTAGGAGTGTCCGACACTTGGCTAATGTTGGGCACAAAAGACTAATTTGCCCTTTTAACTAAAATTAAATGAAATTCATATGCGACTTCTATCGAAAATTCGACAAAGTCTCCCATATAAACTGAACATTCCCAAAAAACATTTCATCTGTAAAACAAGCATGTATATTTATATAACTCATCTGTCAGCATGCATTAAATCATATCCAAGCAATCAAACATCATAATATTCAGGTCTAAGGTCGTAACAAACCAAATAAATCAATCTGCTAATCAATCTCAACTTTCAGCTCAGCAATAATACTTTGGTAATCTAGCTCAGCAGCATGAAATTTAAAATGTTTAAAAGCATATAGTAAGGTACTGAACTCATGCATTCCTACTTATACACAACTTACTAAGCAGTAATCTTGCTGAAAAACATTAAATATATAGTTCATCCTGCTCTGTAATCCTTGCTGGACTCAGGAGACATCTGGTCAACCCGATCCGCAATTCTGGCTCTCACAGTCTGGATAACTGTAAGACTCGTGGGGCAAAATATGCTAGTATTATTGGAACTGTTTAATACCATATCCAATAGTAAAATATGAAAGCCAACAACTTACATGAAATAAAATAAAACAACTTAAATAAAATAAACTAAGATAAATTAAAGCAAACTAAACTAAAATAAATAAAGTCCATAAGTAAATACGTATATATATGCATATATATACTTCATCTATTACTTGTAAAACAATTGTGATGTCTAAATAAATAATGGTAGCTGTATAAAATCCTTAATTTAGTTTTAAAACATCTCAAAACTTAAATCCTCTCCACCTAGGTGTACCCCCATATCTGATCCGTCAATATCTGATCTGTCAATTCCTGATATCCGTCAATTCCTTTAATACCGTCAATTCCATATATCCGTCAATTCCATCCTCGCAAGCCTTGGAAACACAAAGTTAACCGAGCCGCGTCCTCGCAGGTCTCGGAAACACAAGGTTAGCTGAGCCGCGTCCTCGCAGGTCTCAGAGATAACACTTTAATCTGAGCTGCAATCCTCGCAGGTCTCAGAGACACCAAGTCCATCCGAGCCGCATTCCTCGCAGGTCTCAGGGGACCATTAGTCAGCCTAAGCCGCAATCCTCGCACCACATGGTTCAGGCGTCCCCTAACTCATGGGGCAAAATAACCAACTGTCTCAAGGCAACTGGGGGGGTACCCTGTGGTGGGTTTGAAAACCATACTCTGTTATTTACATAAACTTTCAATAAACTGATTCTCAACTGAACTTAAAATATATCCATATATATATATATATATATATATACCAAAATCTGATAAAAACCAAAAGTTTCCTTTTCAACCACCAAATATATGCATCAACTACTTAACTAGTTAATTAACCACCTTGCTCTCTGCTTGCATATTATTCCAATATTATATTTATACTCTTATAACACAATTAATCATATGAACAAATATAAATAGGTGATGAATAAACAGATAATTAAATGCTCAACTTGCTAAACCTCAGTTCTCAACATACAAGTATATATATATAAACATGTATAACAAGTTTTTCAAATAAAAACCTCAACAAATTTTTCAACCATAAGAAATGTCCAGCAATTCTGAAAATAAGGATGCACAAGTAAAGCAAAGTCTACAGGAAGTTAACCTAATGCTCTGATACCAATTGAAACGACCTGACTCAATTTCCACTTTGGAATCCGAGTCGAAACCTGTTTAAAACTAACACCTGCTAACCGTGGGCCGTAAATGACCAAAATGCCCTGAAAACAGTAACATAAACCCTCAGCCCCTAACTTGTGGCTGCGCCTGGTAACTGTAGGCTGCCTACGTACCTTTACTGAGGGATCAAGCCACACGTAGTTCTTTCCTCTGTTCCTGACCTGTAACTTGTTTGTTTTACTGTCAACCTCACTTTAATGCTGACATTTCTGGAGTATCCGAAACTCCGTTTTACAATCTGTCATACCAAGTTGATAGGACCCGACCCAAATTTCACTTTGGAATTCGAGCCGAACCCTGTTCGTGAACGACACCTGGCGGGTGCCGAGCACAATTGATTTGGTTGCCCTTTTTCTGATTAGAAACTTAATTCCCTTAATTCCTGACTTCTACCGAAAATTCAGCAGAGTCTCCTATGTAAATCGATCGTTCCCAAAATTTACACCTGTCAACAAGCACTTAAATATATACACCAACTTCCAGTATACAAAAATAAGTAAGTTCCAACAGTTAAATACGTTCCAGGGCAATGTCAGAGCAACTATACAACTTTATTTACAAAGGAGATAACCACTTGTGAACCAAGGAACCCTACATCAAAATGGGGAAGAGCGGGAAGCGGGAAATGCCCTGTGATGGCTCTCGGATACACGTCTACAGCCTGGGAGCGCAAAACATTAAAAAGGTGAGTGGACCAAAAACAAAGTTTAGAAAATACATATGAACATACTAACCCCACTGTAAAAGCAATTATAAAAACTAAATCATTCTCTTCTGTATATGCATACTGAAACCAATGCACTCATATATATATATATATATATATACACCAATCATGCTCATAGTCAACATCAATCTCTTAAAAGCATTGAAATCAGTTTAAAACTACCACCTAGGTGTACCCCTTTGTTTCCGTCAATTCCTGATATGCCGTCAATTCCCCTCGCATCACCATTGGTGATACGTCCTCGCGGGTCACGGTGACACAAAGTCAATCCAAGCCACAACCTCGCAGGATTCAGAGGACCTTGGTCAACTTAATCCGCGTCCTCGCTCCACATGAGTCCGAGTACCATAGGACTCGTGGGGCAGCTGTTAAGCATGCTGACTAAACCGAAGGTAACTGATAAAATCCGAAGGCAACATCTGTATATCTGGGTACCTAAGGTGGCTTAGAAAATAACAATAACAACAATAAGCAAAGTTTTTGAAAGATCTGATAAATAACTAAATTTCCGTTAAGACTGGACTCTGCTGCCATTTATCTGATGTTTAACTAAAATTCTCTCTATATCCCTAAAGGATATTCCACTCGGCATCATGCAAACCATAATATTTAAAAGCATGTCTCACTAATAAAACACTAGTATTTGAATAAAACTTATTCAAGATCAAATACTAAAACTAAATTGCATAAATTCATTTATGAAACAAAAAGTCCACTCATGGTTGGTCCGAGCTCGCTGGACCTTTGGAAGGTCCCTCCTGCGGGTCAACTGGTGCCCGAGTGCCTGATTCAAATACCATAATAAAATATATTAATAAAACTGCTCAGTATAAATATTTAGATAAACCCCTGACCCCCGGCTTCTAGAAGTGCGTGCATCAATTTGAAGTTATTCATATGCCTACATTACGTTCCTTTAATCCTAGGACATTCGTCCCGTGAATCTGGTTTCGATCGGACGGTTAGATTCGTCACGATCACACGATTCTAAACCCTTAACCCTAGGGTTCGCGATTTCGGAGTATTCGGGACTCCAATTCACGATTTGTCGAATCCTACACAATCCTGGCAAGGTCTAGATTAACATATCTGAAAGTGATTACGACCCAACAGTTCGAAACTATTGAACCCAGATAACGCACACTATGTAAAAGTCCGCTTAACACTCAAACGACGTCCGAATTGAGATCCGCGAATTTCTATACACTCGTGAGAATACGAGGATCATTCTGAAACTGAGAGTGGTCCCCTCCAGACTGCCCACGCGCCGCCACAAGCGCCAACAGCTTGGGTGGCTTGAGAAATTTCTGGTGGCCGGAAAAACTCCAAACCGCCGGCCCAAACTCCTAACGTAGGTAAAACACCCAATTTGGAACCACTTTTGTTCTTGGACCTATCCCAAAAAGTGGCCGGAATCCTACCCTCAAAACCGACTGAAACTTAAGTTGAGAATCGAACGATCTACGCTTGAAATTTAGGTCCAAGAACAAAAGTAGTTCCAAATTGGGTGTTTTACCTAAGTTAGGAGTTTGGCAGACAGTTTGGATTTTTTCCGGCCACCAGAAATTTCTCAAGCCACCTAAGCTGCCAACGCGTGTGGCGGCACGTGGGCAGTCTGGAGGGGACCACTCTTAGTTTCAGAATGATCCTCGTATTCTCACGAGCGTGTAGGAATTCGCGAATCTCAATTCAGACGTCGTCTTAGTGTTAAGCGGACTTTTACATAGTGTGCGTTATCCGGGTTCAATACTTTCGAACCGTTAGGTCGTGATCACTTTCAGATATGTTAATCTAGACCTTACCAGGATTGTGTAGGATTCGACGGATCGTGAATCGAAGTCCCGGATACTCCGAAATCGCGAACCCTAGGATTAAGGGTTTAGAATCGTCGATCGTGTAATCGTGATGAATCTAACCGTCCGATCGAAACCAGATCCACGGGACAAATGTCCTAGGATTAAAGGAACGTAATGTGGGCATATTAATAACTTTAAATTGATGCACGCACTTCTAGAAGCCGGGGGTCAGGGTTTTATTTAAATATTTATACCGAGCAGTTTTATTAATATATTTTATTATGGTATTTGAATCAGGCACTCGGGCACTAGTTGACCCGCAGGAAGGACCTTCCAAAGGTCCAGCGAGCTCGGACCAACCGTGAGTTGACTTTTTGTTTTCATAAATGAATTTATGCAATTTAGTTTCAATATTTGATCTTGAATAAGTTTTATTCAAAGACTAGTGTTTTATTAATGAGACATGCTTTTAAATATTATGATTTGCATGTTGTCGAGTGGAACATTCTTTAGAGATATAGTGAAAGAGAATTTTAGTTAAACATTAGATAAATGGCAGCAAAGTCCAGCCTTAACAGAAATTCAGTTATTTACCAAATCTTTCAAAACTTTGCTTATTATTATTGTTATTGTTATTTTCTAAGCCACCCTAGGTACCCAAATATACAGATGTTGCCTTCGGATATGATGATGTCCACGGACATCCAGGTTGCCTGCAGATTTTATCAGTTGCCTTCGGTTTAGTCAGCATGCTTGACAGTTGCCCCACGAGTTCTATGGTAACCGGCCTCGTGTGGAGCGAGGACGCAGATCAAGTTAACCATGGTTCCCTGAATCCTGCGAGGTTGCAACTCAGATTGACTTTTTGTCACCGAGACCTGCGAGGACGTGTCACCAATGGTGATGCGAGGGGAATTGACGGATATCAAGAATTGACGGAAACAAAGGGGTATACCTAGGTGGTAGTTTTAAACTGATTTCAATGCTTTTAAGAGATTGATGTTGACCATGAGCATGATTGGCATAGTTATATATGTATATATGAGTGCATTGGTTTCAGTACGCATATATAGAAGAGAATGATTTAGTTTTTATAACTGCTTTTACAGTGGGGTTAGTATGTTCATATGTAATTTCTAAACTTTGTTTTTGGTCCACTCACCTTTTAATGTTTTGCGCCCACGGGCTGTAGACGTGCATCCGAGAGCCACAACAGGGCATTTCCCGCTTCCCGCTCTTCCCCGTTTTGATGTAGGGTTCCTTAGTTCACAAGTGGTTACCTCCTTTGTAAATAAATCTGTATAGTTGCTCTGACATTGCCCTAGAACGTATTTAACTGTTGGAACGTTCTTATTTTTGTATACTGGCAGTTGGTGTATATATTTAAGTGCTTGTTGACATGTGTAAATTTTGGGAACGTTCAATTACAAGGGAAACTCTGTCGAATTTTCGGTAGAAGTCAGGATTTAAGGGAATTAAGTTTCTAATCAGAAAAAGGGCAACCAAGTCAATTGTGCTCGGCACCCGCCAGGTGTCGATCACGAACAGGGTTCAGCTCGGATTCCAAAGTGGAATTTGGGCCACACGTAGTTCTTTCCTCTGTTCCTGACCTTTAACTGGTTTATTTTACTGTAAACCTCACTTTAGGGCTGACATTTCTGGAGTATCCGAGACTCCGTTTTACGATCCGTCAAATGCTATACGATCCTGAAATTACTTAGATCAACATACTGGAACATGATTACGATCCAACGATTCAAACCTGCTGAACCTGGGAATCACCCACTATGCGAGATCCGTTCGGGGTTCAAATGTTATCCGAATTAAGGTCCGCGAAATCCTACGCGCTCGTGGGGACTAGGAGATTATTCTAGGGCTGACTTTGGTCCCCACCCTGCTTCCCACGCGCCGCCACACGCGCCGGCAGCGCATGGTGCTTAAAGCGATAACACTCCGCCGGAAAAACTCTAAACCACGGCTCAAGACTTCTACCCTAGGTATAACACCCTATTTGGAGCCACTTTTGTTCTTGGACCTACCCCAAAGGCTGGCCGGAAGTGGCCGGAACTGTGCTCCCAAAACCGGCCAAACCCTAGCTCGAAAATTAACCTGCCAAACCTAGAAATTCCTCAAATCCTACCCAACCAGCAGCTAGATCACGGAAAATAGCTAGAAATCCATACCTTACTCGACTGATTTGGTGGCCGAATGACGGCGTACGAACGCCGGGAATTTCTGTCAAAACCGGTGACTTTTATGGCGGATTCCGGCGGTTTCCGGCGGTTCCAGGCGCAGAGACCCGTCGGGAAAGGAAGAGGAAGCTGCTGCGGGTCGATTGGGTCCGGTCTTGCGGCTTGGGGTGGTCGGTGGCGGAGGTTATGGAGGAGAGAAGTTTCGGCTGTAGGAGGGAGTCGACCTTGGGGGGGGTGGGTTTGCGCGACAGGAGAGAGAGAAGATGAGGGTTTTAAAAATCTGACTTTCCAAAATTACCATTTTGCCCTTGAACGTATTTTGACCGTATCTCCCTCAATACAACTCCGAATCGAGTGTACTGCATGTCTACGAACTCGTTTTGTCGCGCTCTATGCAACGGTATAACTGAAATTCCCAAATTCCTTTCCGGTCAAAAAGTCAACTTTTAAACTAATAAAATATTCTAGGGGTATAGTGGTCTTTTATTGGAATAAATTAATAATTAAATATTAATTAAGGACCGGGTTGTTACACAAGCCCATATGGACTTGGGCCGTGTTCGTGTCAGGCTACTAAATGGGCCAAGATGGACGCACGCCAAATTTGACTTATGTATTGCATTTTTGTTTTGTTTTTTTGTAATTTTTTTTAACAACTTCATTTAAATCTTTTTTACAATTATGTATATTTGAATAAAGTGGGCAATAACTTTCTTTAAAGTACATTTAAATAGAAAATGACTACAGTATTGTTTGGATTTTAAAAACTGAAACTTGAAAAACAAAATCATTATTTTTATATAAAGAAAACATTAAAATTTAATACATATTATTATAGAAAAGAAATAAACTTGAATTTAAGATATAAATGTAATAATATTATGTATTATTTTTCTCTAAAATAAATATAATTTAATAAATGTGCTTTAAACGGACTTGCTCGGCCCAACCTATTGGGTCTAATTATCTTGTCCCAACACGACCCAAAGATATGGGCTGTGTTGTGCCAGACCTTATTTAAGCAGGTCGCACTCATGTCGTGCCAGACCGGTTCAATCCGTTCAACACCTCTATGTCAAGGACATCACTTCTACTATCAAATTTATACCCAATAATAACACGATTCACAATTAACTCATATCTATTCAAAACAAACCAAATGTGTCACACACTGTCCTAGAATCCTAATACAACGTCTTTGAAATTATAAGACAAAACCCCCAAGCCAAGGATAGTGTTAAGATGCAAGAACATAAGTCATCGGATGGTGTGGTTTATGTGAGTCAGAAAGGCATTTTGATTTTTGTGAATGGATGAACACCGGTGGAAAGTGAAGCTTTTAATTCATGATAGTACTCAGACCATGGTTAAGATGTCCGCAATTGTTACCATCTCTCTTTTATACGTTTCTTAATCGTGGCAAGTGTTATCATGCATAAAAAGCTGAACTTTCTATTGATGTTCCATCAATTCACGAAGATCAAAACGACTCTCTCACGAACGGAAACTCCGCCAATCGAATGGCTCATGCTCTCTCATATCATAAAAACATTAAATTTAATTTAATAACATAATAACCTATTTAAAAAAAGTTAATCGAGTATAACCTACACCCCGGAAAAACCAAAAACCACATAACGTACATCCACAAAAAGTAATTCAAAATTAAGGTATATTCCAATTAAATAGAAAAATAGCAAGCCCCAAAAACAACGAGGTAAAACAGAAGTTAATTAGATAGAAATCTTTACCCCGCAAAACTATTCCAAATCAAGAAAGGCCGTCAAAATTTAGTTTAACGAACAATTACAAAGCACCATAGGGACTCCTCTTGAGAGTTCTTAACAAACAGTTTTGTTATAAGATCATTCTTATAGCTTTCTTTATTGTGAAGGAAGTAAGAGGCATATGAGCTGGATGAATGAATGAATGATTGAGAAAGGGGTTTTTGCCTCTTATTTCGAAACAAGATATCATTCTCACGTTCATCATATGCTGCCTTCCATACCTGCCAATACATGAAGGATGTGTGTGCACTGAATTAGTGTGCACAGATTTGGTGTGATATGAGGTGGAGTCAAAGTAGGAGAAAGTTGCGACTGAAACGGAAGAAAACAACTAGGAGAAAGTTGTAACGGTGTTGCAGATCGCATTGCACGTTTTGGTCTTAGTTAGGATGATCTTTTTTTTTGGTCTAACGAGCCACCCCTTTGGTTACGGGACTATCCTAATAGTTCTAGTAATGTTTGACTCTTTTGTAGTATGTGGCGTGTGCGGTAGTTTTTCCTCCTCTGAGGTTTTATCCATTAGAGTTTTCTTCAGACTCGTCTGTAGTTTGTGGCGTGTGTGATACTTTTTCCTCCTATGAGATTTTATCCATTAGAGTTTTCTTCAAAAAGGTTTTAATGAGGCCATTTGTATACACGTTGTATTGTTTTCTTGATGTGTTAATGAAATCTTTTTTGTTTTTTCAAACTAGGGCTGAGAATTAAGGACTGCATTTTTTTTAATACTTTCTGAACGAATCCGGATCCTCTATTTGGATTTTCTATACTAGGATCTGGTTGACTTTTTCTATATGCATTTTATTTCATTAAAATTTAATCCAAATGATTCAGAGTTGACACATCATTCTCAAAACAAAAGTAACCCAATTAAATTGTGAGCATACAATTAAAACCATTTGGATGGAAGAGCAAATGTGAATTAGGTCAATTGACTAGGGTAGTGAGCCAGTCCCAGTACACCCAAGTTTGAATTTCCTTCTCATAAATTAGATTAGAGTGGTTATCGATTGTATTAGAAGCAATGTTTTCAAAAGCGAGGCGTAGAGGCGATGCGTTTTTAGTCTCGTTTTGCAAGGCGTAAGTCTTTTGAACGTTAATTTATTTTAATAACAAAAATTTATAAATAATACAATACAACTAAATTGTAGTCTAATTCGTATTGAGCCATAATAATCTATCAATTATAAGTACATTTAAGCATAATAATTAATCCCCAAACATAATATTAGGTTATAGTATATATAGGTCCATGTTAAAATATTTATAATTTTTTTAAAAATTAAAAAATAAAAAATAAAAAGAAGAAGAGATATTTAGTAATATACCCATTATTAGTACTAAAACTATAAATAAACCATACACCATTTAATTTCTATAAACAAACCCAAAAAAATGAAAGCTAGCTGTATTGAATTTAATTTTGATTATTAAATTATTTTGATGCCCTATTGAGTGTTTTGAGCTTTTTTATGAGGTTTTGGGGTTGAGTTTGTTTTAAGAAATCAATGACAGTTTTGTAATTTAAAAAAAGTTAAAAGCCTTTTTGTTATATTGTAAATGGGTTTTGGGTTGTGTTTCTAAAGTCCATTTCATATAGTTTTTTTTAATTTAATTTAGACTCCTATATTGAATAATAATAATAATAGTAAATTAATTTCTTTTAAAAAAAAAAAAAAAAAAAAAAAAAAAAAAAAAAAAAGAAAGCACAGCATTGGGGGCGTTAAAGGCTGTTCAGTGGGGGAGTAAAACAAACACATTTTAAAAAAATAAAAAATAAAAAAGGAATTTTAAAAGTTAAAACGTGCGTTTAACTTAAAACCAATGTTCAAAGAAACCAAAACCTCAAAACGACGTTGTTTTGAAGAAACCTATTATAAAAAAATTCACGCGACTTTATCTTCTTCATTCACGCTGCGGCTTGCTGTTATTTTTTTTCCCTTCCTCACCCACTTCTAACCAGAAGACCACAACTACGGCTCTGCTCATTCGTACTCTACTCTCCCTATCTCTTCTTCCTTTCAGCAATGTTTATACAATAATAATTTGGGTAGAAAAAAAAAGAGAGCTTTGTTTCTTTTGAAAATATGAAACTGTTTTTCTTGAATTTTAATTTTGGTGCGAAATATTGTTCGCAATTTGAGTAATTGTGTGATTGATTGGTTGGTTTGGGCAAGGTATTGGACGCCAATGGGTCCTCTGACGCTAGCAGTGGATTCAAAAAGCTGTTCAGGAACTTCATCAAGTAAACCCATTTTCTCAATTTCTGCTTATATATGAACAATATATACAAATATATCTTAAATTTGGTATTTATTGATGTTTTTATAGCATAATATATCACTCTTACCTTCAGTATTTGTGAAGCAACACGTTATTCAACAATGCATTTCTGGGTGTGATATCTTCTTGACATTGTTGAATGTTTAAGCTTTACTACTCACTACGTGTGAAATAAATTACTTAGAGGTTTATTTTGTAAGTCTGAAACGTTCAAAGCCCACTAATATTGGATTTGTAAAGTCCATTTTTTCAGTAGGAAGTAGCCTATTTTTATTTATTTAAAATTTCTCTGCAATTATAATTAGGAACTCCTATAAAACAGTTTCTGTAACCTCTTTTCAAGTCAACATGGATTGAGCATCACATTTCATAAATCATTTTTCTCAATTGTGTATGAGTTCTCCAGAATTTTAGACAGTAATCTACCTAAGCTCTTTGTCTTGATGATGCAGAATTTTATTTATGTTGCCTTGGAATTTTATATTTGTATGTTATTGCTTTTTATTTATAAAATAAAATAAAATAAAATAAAGGATATGGTTTTGCAGATGAATATAGCAAGAAAACGCAGTATGCTCCTATAGGAACACGGAAGTCTTTTGCATCAGTCAGCTTGCATGAAGATAAGCCATTTGATTTCTTACGCACTTTATTGGTACGTTGAATAGTTACAATTGAATATATTGATTAATGTGGAAGTTACTTGTTTATTAAATTCTAGGCTGCAGTTCATTAAGCATCGTAATTAAGTCCAGTTCTTTGAGTTGATGAATGCATTGAGGGACTGCTAATCTTTGAATATTTAATGTAGGGTAAAGATAAGTTTTGAAAGTTGGTTATTCGCTCTCTCTCTCTCTCTCTCTCTCTCTCTCTCTCTCTCTTTCTAATCATCATTGGATATGCAATACTCCCCTTAGCTTTATCATGTACATTTTACTTACAAAAATGTGGAGTAGAGCTTATAGGCTTTGTCACAAGCTTTTGGTTAGATGGAGGCAGGGGCGAGAGCAATATCATCTATCTCTTGGATTATGTTAGGCCCAGGATCTTTAAATACTGCATTCCTGCTTTAACTAATATGGATGGATTTTGCAGAGGGTGTTATAGCAGGAGGTACAGCTGGTGTTGTTGTTGAAGCAGCTCTATACCCCATTGATACTATAAAGACAAGACTGCAGGCAGGTTAACTATGCAAATGCATTCTAGTTTATTCATGTGTTTAAAATTTGATAGGTATGCACCTCTGGTTCTCTGGCCTGTTGATTATGGTTAATCTTTTTATTTGATAGAAACAGCTACAATAGCTCAGGAAATCATTTACTAGATTTCTTGTTAGTTTATTCTGGTATTCAGTTTTTAGGTCTTGAAGTTGTTTTATTTATTTATCCTTGTTCGCATTTGTTTAGTATCTGCATGTTGCAGAAGTTGTTTGTCTAGAAGCCCATGAAGGGTGCATCCTGTACTAGCTTCTTTGTATACTTTTCATCTTTCTTTTGTCAATCAAGTTATTTATGAATACTGTTGAACTTTGGGACAGGTGCTCGTGGTGGAGGGAAAATAGTCTTGAAGGGCCTTTATTCTGGGTTAGCTGGAAATCTCGCTGGTGTCTTACCGTAAGTACCCTCTGAATATGGGGTTAAGTGATTTAACATCAATTGGAATCATGCATGTTTATTGTAATGGCTCCATTTGTATGCCATGAACATGGGTAGTGGAGAGCATTAATGTTTCAGATAATTTTATTAGTTTATGATTGTTTGGGACTTTCATGAACACATATCTCCTGGTCTAGGTATTGTCAATATATGGGGCTATAATAATTTGTTGTCATATTTTTCTGGATTAAGTTGAGTTCCAAATTTTGGCTTACCATGCCAATTTACACAAGCTATTGCAGCATGCTTTCAATATCACAATTTTTTTTTCTTTTCCTTTCATTTTTCTTTCCCTTATTTTAGTTAATTCTATTTAGTATTAATGTTGTGGGTCTTGAAACAAATAAACTTTATGGATTGGGAAATCTAAATTAGACTGATGGAGATCTTTTTCTAAATTAGTTCCTTCTATATATGTGGATGTTTGCATTTTAAGATATGTGCGATCATCCTCTCTGGCACTACCCTCCAATCCAAAATTTCAGCTGCTGGGATTCTACTTTTATTTGGCTATAGTTATATAAGCTCATCATGTATTCTGGATCACCCTATAAGTTATTTATTTGAATATGTTTGAGCAATGTAATTTGTGATTGATAATTATTTACTTGTGTACAGGGCTTCTGCAATTTTTGTTGGAGTGTATGAACCTACGAAGCAGAAATTGTTGAAGATGTTTCCTGAAAATTTAAGTGCTTTAGCTCATTTTGTAAGAGAACTGTCTGTTCCTTTTGTTTTGATGCATGCCTTCCATCAATAGTCTAGTATACTTTACATTACGTGGTGTGCTTGTGATCTACATACTATATGGAATCAGCTATCAACATATTTTTTTAGAATATATCTTTTCCTTGATGATATGGTCCAATAATCCTTTGTACCTATTTGGTTGGTTGATCGAAATCCCTTTTTATTTTTATTTTTTATAACTTTATGTAGACAGCAGGGGCTTTTGGAGGCGTTGCTGCTTCACTCGTTCGTGTTCCGACAGAGGTAGAGTAATTTACTTGTGCACTTCCATGTTTAATATTTGCTTTAGTTGACCATATTTCTCTTCAACATTTCTCAGGTTGTTAAGCAAAGGATGCAAACTGGGCAGTTTACATCAGCCCCTGATGCTGTCCGCCTTATTGCTTCTAAAGAGGGTTTCAAAGGATTCTATGCGGTGTGTATTCCCACCCAGGGACAAATCAAGTCTCCATTTTTCTAGAAAATGGATTTCAAGTTCCTTAACTTGGTCTTTAGTCAAAGGGTTGAATTAAATGGCTTCCTTTATGAGAAGGTTTCTGTTGCTGTTTTGTTGTCTGTTTCTGTTAGTATGATAGATGTGACATTTATATGCAACCTGGATTCATTTTAGTGTGACCTTGTTTGCGTTCTTAGGTGGCTTAGTTCAGATGGACTTCTTGTCCATCTCGTTTTTGTACTTGTATTCTCTCTTTCTGTAATGTCTTCAATTTCCTATTAGGAAATGCAACCTCGATGACAATTTTTATTGCACTTCTAAAGTTATTTCAATTTATTAACTTTCACCATCATTTTTTATATAGTAGGGATACGGATCGTTGTTATTGAGAGATTTGCCATTTGATGCAATTCAATTTTGCCTATACGAGCAGCTTCGGCTAGGTTACAAAGCGGCGGTAAGCTTCTCACCATCTCTCATATTATGCTTGCAGACTGGAGTGAGCAATTGATGGAATTAATGAATGCTTTCTAACGTTTTCCATTTAATGCCTTGACTTCATAAGATGATGGTGATGTTTCAAATTTCAATAGTGAGGATTTGTGCAACCATGTTCACCATTTTGAATATTGACATTATCAATTAACAAACAATAAATATGTTATAACTAGAAATCTGTCCCCCATTGAACTACTACAGCTCTCCAATTATGCATAATTAGAGAAAAGTGGAATGCCTTTAAACTCAGAAGACCAAAATCTGATTCTATCACACACAAAGGCTCGACTGCCTCCCTTTTATAGCGGTAAGGAATGCTTCTTTTTCTTTCCATATACAGGACCCAAAATCTGATTCTTTTTCTTTCTTTAGGCATAACGCACCAATGGGGAGTGTTAGGTCATTCTTCTTCTCTGAGCCAGATCCTAAGTATTAGCCCTACCATGAGCAATAATCCATAATTATGAGGCAGTCGTTCTTTGACATATGTGTGCACTGTGTATGTAATATGTATGTGTGTGTCACTGTCTGTATATGTATATGAATGTTTTATATCTGTATTTTCAATTTCTTTGTTTTGTTATCTGTTATCAGTTTTTTATCTGTTTTCTTTTGTCAGGCAAAAAGAGAGCTCAACGATCCTGAGAATGCTATAATTGGAGCTTTTGCTGGTATACAGCTTTTGACTCTTCAGTTTCCATTCAGCTATATGATCCCAAATATGGTTAATTTGTCTCCTCACTTTCAGTTTTCATTTTGACATACTATGTATTCTTTTATGTTTATTTATTTATTTATTTTTGCTTTTGGGGATGAGCAGCCTTGACTTCATTCATGGAAGAATGTTGTTCTTTCTCTGTTATCATGAACAGAAACAACCTCATTCTGTGTAATTTTGGGACACCTGTAGATGGCACCTCATTCTCCCTTGGTTTTTACAAATTAAACTCGTCATACTCTCTGTTGGTCATATGAAATCTCATACATTGATTGTCACTCTTGTAGGCGCACTAACTGGAGCTGCAACCACTCCTCTTGATGTGATTAAAACCAGGCTAATGGTTCAGGTAACAGCAATCCGCTATCCTGCTTCCTGTTATTCTTCTCCTCTTGATGTTTGTACAAATGTGTTCCCCATCGCAGAGCCTGAAAATTTTGTCAGGCATACATTTGAGGGGCTTTAATTATTAAAAAAGAAACTCATACCATATTATGTACCATGTGTACGTATGCACCGTAGTTTAACGGTTATGTGGTTTATTTGCTTGCTTGTTCTAAGGGATCTGCAAACCAGTACAAAGGAATCATTGATTGGGTTCAAACTATTGTGAGGGAAGAAGGACCTCCTGCTCTTTTGAAGGTAGTGAGAAGCATGGGTCATGATATGATCATATTAGTTGGTTATTGACTTATGCTGTTTATTGTTGTGTTTACCTCAGGGCATTGGGCCAAGAGTTCTGTGGATAGGCATAGGTGGATCGATTTTTTTTGGTGTCCTTGAGCGTACAAAGCGGTTTCTTTCTGAGAGGCGACCAACACTACCTGAAGACTCAAAGCAGGATTAAATTAGCATTTAGATAAGGGTAATGCTAGGGAGACCATCTTTTTGTACCACAATTATATACCATCTGATGTGGCATGCCAAATCATTTAATACAATTACATATATTTTAAATTTTCATTCTCCCCTAATTAATGCACTGATCCCATAAGATTTATTTATTTATTTATAATCTTTCCTCTTCTTCCTCCTCCCTCTCACCCTTTTCATACAAGAAAGGAAAGGTAGTTGAGTTTTGATTCTAAATATTATATTATTTAAGATTTACAAGAACAGTATAGTTAGATTTCTGAGGGAGATCATGAAGTTATAAAGTTTTTTATCGGATTAGTAGCCTCTTTTCCACCACATTTTAGGTTTTTTTTTTTTTTTTTTTTTTTTTGTTGGCTGAAATTGACCATTAGTTGCAGGCCGTAAGAGACAAAGAACAAAAAATGGCAGCCAACATGAGGAAAGGGGTTGATTCTGTGTTTAACACCCGTGAAAAATCCGGCAATCATAAAATTGTTGTGGAGAAGAAGACAGTGTAGGGAGAAGGAAAAAGAGAGAATGAAGATAGAAAGACTCCTATCGGTAATTGTGCTGTAATTAGGGGATAATAAAATAGATTTAGCTATATTTAATGACTTTTGTGCTTTAATTAGGGGAGAATAAATTTTTTAAATATATGTAACTATATTAAATGATTTGGCATGCCACGTTAGATGGTATACAATTGTGGTACAAAAAAGATGGTCTCTCTAGCATTACCCGATAGATAAACTAAGAGGCTTATTTATCGGCACTTGAACAGTTTTTTTCTATTTTGTTTCAAATGTAAAATTTTTATGATAAACCAAACTAAGCTTCATGTTTTTGTGTTTTGTTTTGTTTTTTGCATTAAGCTTCATGTTCGTAGATTGAAATGTTGGTGCTACTAGCTCAAAATGGAGCCTGTCAGTTGCTTCGAAAATGTTAATATTTAGCAATTCCGCATTTAATCCATTTTAGATTGGGGACTTTACAGTCCAATCCAATTAACATTGGAAAACGGGATACGGATGGAGGAAAAAAAGTGTTTCGGTTTTATAATGTACTAACTATAATTCCATAATGTGACCTCAATTATTATAGTTATCAAGGTTTTTTTTCAATCACAAGTAGTCTTGCAAAATTATCATATTTCATCCTTAAATTTTTTTTGTGACATTATTGGTCTTTAAGGTTACTCTTTGTACATCACTTTTGTACCTACCATCAACTTCTGTTTAATTGATGACGTGACACATATGGAGCTCACACATCTAATGATATGGAGCCGCGTGACAATATTTTAAGGGATATAATTTTTCCACTCCTATTTATTCACTTACACTCCATTTTTCTTTCTAATACTTTTTAATCAATTTTGTTCATTCTCTTTCCTATTCTACCCTTACTCTACATTAATTTTTTTTTTTACTTCACTTTTATATATTTTTTTCTTTATACTTAATTTTTTAATTTGCACTCTATTTTCAGAATTTTTTTTTCCCTTTAATAGAGTAAGAAATTAAGTTTTTTTTTCCCCTTTAATACTGAAAATGAATTGTAAGTTAGAAAATTAAGTATAAAGAAAAAGAAATAATATAAAAGTTAAGTAAAAAAGAAGTAGGGTAAGGATAGAATAGGAAAGAGAAAGAACAAAATTTATTAAAAAAGTATTAAAAAGCAAAAGGAAGTGTAAATGGAGAAAATGGGAGTGGGAAAATCAACTCCCTATTTTAAAGCTTATCCATAAAAACTTTAAAATAAAAATATACTATATTTTTTATTTAAAGTCATGTGGCTCTATATCATTAGATGTGTGAACTCCACATATGTGCAACATCATCAATTTAAGAGGCTGACTGCAAGAACCATATTGATGTACAAAGAGTAACCTTAAGGACCAATAATGTCAACTGGTAAAAAAAAATAAAAAAAGGCTTAAGGATGAGAGGTGATTTCACGAACCTCAGGAGCCATTTGTGATAAAAAAATCTTTCTTCAATTTCAAATTCCAATACGGATGGGATGGCATTTGAAACACCCCTGTGACAGAAAAAAGAACTGATAATTCTTTTTTAACAGAAGCTAGTTCTTTGCATAACAAAACAATAACCATATAGTGAACAGTAAACAGATATGGAATACAACAAGAAAGGCTCATTCATTGATATGGCGAGAAATACAACTGCCAAGTTTTGTTTTTTTTTGTTTCGTAGATACAAACTGCCCACTGTGAATAAAAGAATAGGTGATAATAAAGGATGAAGCAAAATCACACTGCACAACTTTGCTAGAATAAACTAATGATCTAATCTAAATGCTTCTCTTCAATCAAAACTCGTTGCTGCTTCTTGCTGTTGGACTAAGCTGAAAAAGAATACAACAATCCCTCAACTCAAACCTGTTAACTAATTTACAAACTGTCCCGAATTTACAACCTGCTGCTGCTACTTCTATTTCCATTCATATCTTTCTTCTTTTCTTCCTCCATCCTATCCCGTTTCCTCCTTCGGACAAATCCAGTTGTAGGTTCACATCATTGTAACATCGAGCCATCTTGGCTTGCGCATCATCGCCACCATCATCGTGAACATCAGCACTAGTTATAATCTTGGAATTAATATTAGTATCACATCATGGGAGATAAGCACCCACCATGGCCTTTCCTCAGTACAAGTGGTCCCAACATTGTCGGGGACCCTATCTAATGACTTCATGCATGCATCCATGACATCCCCAAAGCCAGTAGCCACAGTAGCCAGCTGCAACCGCAGCTTCAAATCTCTAGTCCTTTTCAACAAGCTCTAAATGACCTCCCCAGATACTTAGCCCATTTCAGCTGGCAACCCCCCCCAGTTAGCCAAACTGAGAATTGAGACTGGTCTCCTCTAGCCGCCACCTCGGCCCTATAAAATCTGCTAGATCAGCACATAGAGGGTTGGAGAGGAAGCACAGCCACAAATTCAGCTACAAACTCTTCCAGTACTTCCGGTTGAGCAATCTGGTTCCAAGTACCAAAGCCACTCACTCGGCTGGTTAAGACCATAGGCTTCAGCAACAATTAGGGCCTCTTGGAAAGAGACTGCTCAACAAGGCCCGCCTGGCATGGTTTCAGATCGGTACAGCCACTGAAAATCAGGCATTCGAATTTGAAAGAGACACAAGGGAAGCCGAGCGCAAGCTCTGCGTGTTTTGTTTCCAGCATCAATGGATTTGTGAACTTCAGCAGCTTCAATGTAATAGCGCATGGAGTCTAAAAGGTCTTCATTCTGATCCTTGTCATAATGGTCTGAACCACTGCTCCGATGAATGCTCTGCTCGTGACTCCAAAGAGCAGCCGTTTCATGTTTATGTCAAAATGATTGTAGACCTGTGAAAATGAAGTGTAAAGATAAGAATAAACATAAGTTATAAATATATTTTATAGCCTGGATTAAGGTTAAAATGGCTAATTGGTCCAGTATTACATTGACCTAATAACACTGTTCAATCTGAAATCTCCACATAAACTTGACAGTACTTTATAGGTTGTGAAGGTTATAAAAAACCTTGACTGCATATACTAACCATAGCAAACGCATCAAGGTCATTGGATTAAAATGCTTCAGTGATGTGAGAACCGCATTCGAAACCTCTGACAGCCTCAGCAGTGCCAGCATTTGCATCTGCAGCGCTGAATACTTCTGAAGAAGAAGATCAAGCTGACCATTTTCAATAAGAATTCCAAGAATGAAATTGAGGGCATGGAAGTTTCCTACTCCCAGTTATGAGACGGGCCAAACATGAAAAGTCACCCTCAGACACATAGCCTAACCCTAGTAGCGGCAAGGGCTACAAGAACATCAACCCATCAGGCAAGATGATAATTTGTAGAAGTATGAGACAAAATTAGTAGCTCAACCTGGAAACATTTTTTGCAAGCCCAAAAAAGCATTAGCTCAGGAAAAGAAAACTGGTCTAATCAACTGTATCAACATTTGATCTTTCAAATTCTTTCCTGCATATGCTCTTTTAGTTTCCTCTTCTCTCATTTAACTATTTAATAATTTGACCAACTGCAGCAGAGAAACCTAGTTATGACAGGACGCTACAAATAAAAAAAAACTTCAAATACAATAAATCCCAGCAACCAGGGTTGACTGAAACTATTAGCTTGATATACATTGCTAAACCATTTTTAGACTCAACAATAACATAAAGATACAATTTTCACATAAAGATACAATGTTCATGAAAAAGTTATATTAATTTGTTATTGTTCATAAAAAGTTTGAATATGTAGGTTACACAGATAATAATGTGAAACTTATCTCTAGTATATTAGTACCCGCAGGAATGCGGGACTTCTTGTCCAGTAATAACCAAACGCAGTAACGAATGTCCAATTTCTTGTTCTGAAGGGCAAAGCTCAGCCCACTTCAAGAAGTCTGAAAATCTCCACAATAAGGGAGCAGGTCCTTCTTCCTTTTGAGAATCCATATATCCTCCCCGATGAGCAGCCAAATAAAGCCATGGAAGTATTTTAACTTACTTTAAACTACCATTTTTGTTGTCCATATGCAAAATCAAGATCCAAAAATGGAACCTTATTCCCTAATGAATAGTGTACAGGTTAAAGTACAGGTCAAGACTAAAGACATACACAAGTTCAAATATTTAAGCTATTTTGTTATACATTAAAAAATATACAGAAATTTAAATGCAAAATACCAAGTTTAACCATGCCTCAAGTAAAAAAAAGTGTGAATCTAAAGGGGAGAGGAAGTCCTACAACTATTACAACTCTGGAGATAGTCCTAACTAGAAAATTTAAAACCTTTACGGTCAACGATTATTTACTGACTGGATTTGAAAATCTACACATATTACATATCAATTACAACTCTGCAGATATTCCTAACTAGAACATATTGTGAAAACAAAAAACAAAAAAACAACTGAATCGACAGAAAGAAATGGGACTGATGGTTTGTCTTTGGTTTTCTTTTAAATCAATTCATTACCAAAACAATTGAATAACGGCCTAGTAAAAACCCAATCAAACTTGAGGAAAAGAAAATGAAAAAGAAACAAATACCACCTTAGGAAGAGAAGGTTATAAGAATCTAAAACATGAAAATTGTAACCACGTGCTTATTCAAGGAAATTAAGGAGACATGTCTGAATGTGCAGTCTTGATTTACTACCTGGTAACATAACATAAACAGATATATGGCAAGTCATCATTCATACATGTACATATGTATCGCATATACACATTTTATAGAGTCACAAGCCAAAGAAGTTATATTTATAAACAAACCTTTAGAAAGGATTCTGAAAGAATTTGAGCAATACTGGCTGCGGCATTGAATGAGTTCTCACAAGGAGATGTGCCTCCTCAAATGATTCTTGTGCTTTAAGGGAAAGCAGCTGTAGCAATTCAATTGGCTGCTTATCAAATGCCTCGAAAATGAAATACCTAAGATGGCTGCTGCTTTGGACGACTGCTATTATCCTCTTGCATAGTCCACGCCCACAACCTTCAGTAAAATTTGTTGCCAGACTCTCCAAAACCTTCATATCAAATATCACGTAAATATAAGGAATAAAGTGCATTAGACAAGTAACAGAGACAAGATGGGATAACTGCTAGAAAAAGAAAGAAGGGGTAGAGTCAGTAGACACCAGTAGCCACTAAGAAGACCATTGAGCTGAATTAAAATTTTCCAGTTGAAAACCTAGTATATACTTTATACACATGAAGAGAATATGAACATAACGAAGAAGAAAACATCGCATGTGTGAGCAAGAGAGAGATAGAGGAGGAAGACGGAAGGGTGGATCAAACAATAACCTGAATTGGGTCAAACTTGATGCTGGTCAGTCAGTATTTGTATGACTGAATTATTGAATGCACCTCTTCGTCAAGCATAATATGGATACTTTCTTACTTGGAGTGACATAGCTGCAAGCTTCAATGCAGCATCCACAAGTACAAATTCAGATGGTACTTTAACTGGAGATAGCTTATGCTGGAGTTGCTTTGCAGCTGCTATTTGTCCAAATTCCAATAAAGAAAGAACAGCCTTTCCAGCTCTGCAGGTCCAACCCTTTCTTCCCACCGTGAAAAAAGACATTCCATTTTAAGTTTGCGTCCTGACACTGCAACTCATTTATAGTATTGAGAGAATTGGAACCATTATCAAGATCAGTGTTTTTTGCGGAGTCCAATGGTGGCCGTCTCAATGGCATGTAACCTTTTGCCCTCCGTTTGTTCTTTGTATTCCCCCTGTGGGTGGTTGGAAAGCTGCCATTAATACTTGGTTCTTGTGATATGCCAGGCGTGTTCCGTGGATCATGTTCTCAATAGTTTCTGTTCTTAAATGTACCAATATGATTGTCCATTTTTGTTATTATGCTTGCAGTTCGGTCAATAATACTGGAGCAATTTTTAAGAGCAGGGTCACGCTGGAACTGCTTAAAGTGAAGTCTCCTTCACTCTAACATGCGCTTTGATCTACCGCCAAGAGGCCACCTTTAGTCTCGATTCCCGGAAAGCGGGGTGAATTGATTACCCCCATCATAAAGATTTAAACAAAGATTTAAAAATGAAATTAAACCTTTGTATATACGTACAGGACTCGCCAGGGTTATCATCCCATTAACATTGTAGAGAAAGCAGCAAGAGCTCATGAAGCTCCCTAGCTGGAAGATCCTTTTCCAAAGCTTCTGCATGTTTGAGGGAAAAAATAACCAGCCTGGAAACCAATTCATAGAAACAAGACACCATAAATGAATTTTAGTAACAAGTGTTTCAAATACAATGAGAAACTACCTGTAAAGCAGGGAAGGAATATCTGGAACAAGTTTGGCAATGGGCCCCATAAAGCAATTCTCTCTTCTGGAACGTCCCAAAGAAACTCCTTCCACTCAGCTACCATGACTCAGCCTAAAGTGGTAACAGTAGAAAAAATAATAATAATGAGAGAGGAGAGAGAGAGAGATATATATATCTATATATATATGGTTATGACAGTACAATGATGCAATTACCATACTCACTTGATGTCATGAGGTTAAACATTTGACCCAGGGAATCAACAGTATAACATAAAGTTTTATAGAAAATATAACCAAGGATATACCTCGACCAACATTCCCCAAAGCACTCCACTCCGGTCAGCAACATAATCAATGACGTCTTCCAACGATAAATCTTCAAAACTTTCTTCTATGAAACTATATTCTCAGGAGAACTAACAAAGAATTAGAACACTAACTTTTGTGAGCCAATAAAAACTGGCCTCTACTTATCACAATTTCCACAAATAGTAACAGGCAAATCTCCATGAGGTTATCTCATATGCTCTCTTAACCTTTTTTATATATTTTAAAGTAATGTCTGCAGTAGATGGGTTTGGAAGTAAAATATTGTCAAAGAGGATATCTATTTGGACATTAAAAATAGGAATCAGATTTAAGGTGCCAGCCTCTTAAGTTCCTTTCCTTTCAATGTCTTTGATGAAGGATATAGGAAACTTAACACTCTCTACCAAGATTCAAACGTACCTGAGTTTCAGTTACAATGAACAGAGATTGCCAAGGTCCACCCACTGGCTCTAAGTGTCTGCCAGTTGCGTGCGTGCTCCCAATGCCTATTATCCTCAAGCGGTTTGCAAGTGCAACATCACTAAGGTCTCGCTTACGCGGTTGTAAAATGGCACCCTGGCGTAATAATGGCTCAGCCGAAAATTTTGCCCAAAAAAGAAGCCGTCGGTAGTATGGCGGCTGGAGATCCTCAGCACCAACATCAGTTGCAGCAAGCAGTTGTACAAGCATCTTTTTTAATAAGAGTGGCACCTCAAAAGCATTGTGCATAGCAGCGTAATGCGGTGGAGATGCATTGCGTACCAATCTGCACTTCTCTTCCTACATTTGACTGAAGCGGGTTGATTCGATTTAAAAACCGCAGAAACGCACCCACATAGCTGATTGCCTACCGATGGCGCATGTGAAAATGCCGGAGGTGGGAGAAAGAAAGGTAAAAATCTGAAACCTGTCCAAGTGTTATCACGTTTATCATTTCCACAGACCGTGGTAAATGAACACTAATGCTTAAATTAACTGCTATTCCTCAAATGTTTCGTAAAACCCTTTTGTTGATTTTTATAACAGTCCCCCCATAGCCATATTTCGTATCTAGACACACCGATCGGTCCACCACCAACTCGCAATCTCTATGATGTAAAGGGAACACAATTGTGGGAAGAGCATTCGAAGATAGGACATGTTACCAACAGCAACAGCTCAACCTAACAGTTGGTAAAACCACCAAGTTTTTCACACACGCAAATCCCTAAAAACTATCCACTCTGGCTTGCTGCACATTGGAGAAGATATGAATGTCTAAAACTGCCAGCTGTAGCAACAGGCATGTATCCAATAAAAAGACTCAATACCAGCAGTGTAGATTCCCTTTGTTTTTTTTTTTTTTTTTTTTTTGGGGAAGATAAAACAGCAGTTAGATTCTTAGAAGCAAGCAACCTGATGTAAGCAGTCACTCAACATAGTTTAAAAAGGAATTCTCTGAATTCATATATAAGAACTCAAGATGAAAGGAGGTGGGTTTAACTTACTGTCACAAACCTGGAGAGCACGGTATGAAGAAAGGTAAGAGAGAAGGAGGGAAGGAACATTTCAAATGCTCCTTCACAAAGGCAGAAACAAAGTGTGCTCACAAAGCACTGCAACCCATCTTGACAGCAAAAGAGGCCTTCATCAGAATCACTTGAAACAGTGATACTTTCACCAAGTGGTACATTCCTTCACTTTAGAAAGGGTCCTGGAATCAAATATGTGTGCACCAAAAGGAGAGGAAAAAAAAAAAAAAAAAAAAAAAAAAAAAAAAAAAAAAAAAAAAAAAAAAAAAAAAAAAAAAAAAAAAAAAAAAAAAAAAAAAAAAAAAAAAAAAAAAAAAAAAAAAAAAAAAAAAAAAAAAAAAAAAAAAAAAAAAAAAAAAAAAAAAAAAAAAAAAAAAAAAAAAAAAAAAAAAAAAAAAAAAAAAAAAAAAAAAAAAAAAAAAAAAAAAAAAAAAAAAAAAAAAAAAAAAAAAAAAAAAAAAAAAAAAAAAAAAAAAAAAAAAAAAAAAAAAAAAAAAAAAAAAAAAAAAAAAAAAAAAAAAAAAAAAAAAAAAAAAAAAAAAAAAAAAAAAAAAAAAAAAAAAAAAAAAAAAAAAAAAAAAAAAAAAAAAAAAAAAAAAAAAAAAGACCAACCAAACCGTAGAGAAGAAATATTGCAACAAATCTGGGCTTTTTCCTTTTTGGTTAAATATTAATATCCTATTTTCTCTTCAATATTGGTAGCTTGAGACAGATTTTCTATGTCGTGGGAGAATGCTCGGTTGGTGTAGATGACAATGGCAAGGGGAAGGTAATGGTGAGGTTTTGCAGGATATTAATTGAGAGGAGAGAAAATGATAAGAAAACAAAAGGAGGAAAGATAATTTAGTGATTTTCGGGATTATCATAACTAATAAATAAAAATGAAATTTACTTGGCATTAGAGATTTAATTTAATTTTAAGTAATTAATGAAACATACTCTCACCCATTCAATCCATTCTAATCTAATGGTTGAAAGCTTGTGTCAAAAACATAGTGCCACGGATCCGCCCCCTATATATATATATATATATATATATTGAATTTATACATATATGTATGTATATGTACATACAGGATCTAAAATGAATGTCCACAAGAGTGGGGAGTCTCTTCCCAACCATCCTGGGGTCCATAATCTCATGCTCACAATTGACCAAGGAATTTGGTGGTCAACTACGGCTGGATCAAGAACCCATGGACTTTAATTCCCAAAAGTAAAATACTGGTTGGAATTTTAACTAAGTTTGAATGTCAATTATTGAATTTTGATCCAATGGTTAGTGACCAAGTATATTCATGGTCGACAGTGACCAAGAGATCAAAACTCTACATGTGTTCTACATGTGTATATATACATATATATAGAAATTTTCTTTGTTCAGATTGTCTAACATGTTATATTGCAAGACTGCGAGTCTGGACCATTGATTAGGTAGACTACTGTTAAAATGTGTGGTCCAACTTCACTGGCAACATAACATGCCTTGAAAAACAAAAGTGGTAGCAACAAAGAATCTAGATAGATGAATGAAACAGCTTACGAATTCTTGGCCTGGCCTCTTGTACTTTGAACCAAGTCGAGATTGCAGATTTCGAATTATCTCCAAAAAGTGAGCCATCTCACGAAGCCTTCTTGAGTTTGAGATTTCATCTTGTACCTTTTGTGGTACAACTGGTGGAAGCAAAAGCATCTGGGTTCTAGCATATTCATATGCATCTGTCTTATGTTCTAGCAACCAATACTTACGAATCATTTTGGTTGAAAAGCAAGTGGCCATGCAAGAAGCCTGAAAAAATAATGAACAAAGTAAGTTCTGCAATCTTAAGTATAAAAATAACTGTAGACGATACATGTATTGTGCTCTTGCTCCCCATAGTCCTATGTGGAAAGCACAAATTGTTATCTAATATAAAAAATAAAAATAAAAAATAACAACAACCAGTGCAAAAGGTGCACAAATATACAAAGCATAAACCATTCTTCCAGTTAATGACCGAAGTCCACAAAGCAATCTTGGTGCATCCACAAGAACATCCATTACATTCAATGCAATTTGGTAAATGAATTTACCTTGATGCAGCAGAAATCTCATTATCATTGCCAACTTTATGAATCATCAGATAAACAGCAGCAAAGAGCAATCTTAACACACCTTCTTCGGCGAAATTGACACCCACAGCATTTCTAATGATCTGTTCAACACACAAAAATGAGAGAAATACATCCAAGATAAAGGAATAAGAGATGCTTTTTTATTTGGTTATAAGAATAGAGAGATTTGTTCTGATTATTTCACCAAAAAAAAAAAAAAAAAAAAAAAAAAAAAAATAATAATGTATTGGTTATCACTTCAGTTGTCAGCCAAGGAGATTACTAGAGCTTTTTAATACAATTTTTTTAAAGTCAAGTGTAATGAGGCATACTCAAAACATTTCCCCCTTTAGCAGGTCTCAGTTTTGGATGGTTCTACTTTTTCATGTGTCTTTAACAGGCATCAGCATAATTAACCTATCTTAGTTTCAATACCCCCACTATATCATAAAATTATAGTTGTGTTCACTTATAAGCATTTAACTGCCTGAAAAACAAGATATTTTGCTTATTGGAGGGAACTTTTGTACTGAGGATTCCTGGGATGCTGTTCTGTCTGTTAGTTTAGGTTTTCTCTTTGGGTTCTTAGTTTGGATGCGTTTGAGGCAGGCTCAGATCATTCCAATATTTTTTTATATATATAAAAGAAACATAATTTTATTGCCAAAAAGAATGGACAAACAGAACATCAAGCAGAGGTGCACGCGTTTAGAGAAATGCCAGAGCTCAAAAGACAAAAATAAGCACAATGTTCGAAAGACAACTTTTATATATATCCGGAGAATACCATCCTAGTTTCCTTAATTGGAAAATTTCAGATTAGTTAACATATATCGTTATCTCTACAAGAGAAAAAGTTCTGTAAAGATGATATTAACAAAGTTTTTCAACTTCAAAAGCATGATTCAAAAATGCACTCCAGTTAATTAACAGAGCTGTACACACAATTTGAATTATAAGGATTCATTACCAACAACATAACAGACCAGTAGAAACTTTTTTCTTATAGGAAACAAAAATTCATTAAAGAGATGAAATAGTACAAAACAATGGACAGAGTGTCAACCATAAGCAAGCACCAACCACACTGCAGAAGATCAGTTCCGATACTAGGCAACAACAATGTAGCAACAACAAAATATAGAATCATACCGCTCTATCTCATCAAATTTCAAGTAGTCTAATGCCAACTGAAGCCGACGCATACGAGATATTTTCAGGTTCCACCCTGACATTGCATTGATTGATCAGAATTTATGTCAACATGCCTTGAGATGCAGAAACTCTACAAAATTTCAAGCATCCAACATATTTCTATACAAAAAGAACAAAAAACAGAACTAATATTTTTTTATAAAGTGTTTCAAGTCACCGTATTTGTATTTTGGTCTTTCTACTATTAATGCATGTTTAGCGCGTCCTATTAAAGCATATCTATAATAACTGCTCCCTAGTAAAGACACATAAAAAGTAGAACCATCCCTCAAGTGATAAGACAGCTTTCCCCACTTGCGGGTGCTCCATTTTTCAAAACTATTGAGAACCTTGTTTAAGTGGCTCATTCCAGCCTTACTGGAATTGGCACACACACTGCCTTAGCGATTCACCAATGTTGCTCAACTTATAAGTGCAAGTCTGACCCCACATCTTTTTGACATTAAGCACTTTATCTCAAAGGAAATTCAGATCTGGGATTAGATTTTCAGTAACTTTAGCTCTTCATGCACTCTTTCATGGTTATTGGGTTAGTTGTCCTGACATTCACCATTCAACTTCTGGTTTCATGTGCTCTAATGGGCCCCAACCTAATTTCTCAGAGTTCAAAGAAACAATTCATTGTCTCTGATTGGAGTGTTGAGTCTCAATATCACTCGCTTTTCAATTCTCAAGTTTGTTGAGACTGTTTGGATTGTGCACCTTCTTCCCCAGCTTCATATGCCTACTTCGATGCCGCTCAGCACTACAGATGGCTTCCAATCCTGTTTTCCATGCTTGCACCAAACACATTGAGCTTGATTATCACATCAGTCATTAGCATGTACGCTCTGGAAGTTATCATGTTCATTCAGTTTGTTCCTTCCACAGCTTAGATTGTGTATTTCTTCACTAAAGCACCACAAGCACTGATATATGCTTTGTTGTTCCAACCTCATCTTCCCCAGACGTTGAGTCTGTTGGGGAGTATTAAGTAGCTTCTCCAGTTGTCTCTTAATGTGTTTTTCATTCAGTTCTTGTACTTTCCTTTTCCACTTCTTTGTAAGCTATTCCTTAGGCCTTACGGTTTGGAACTATTTATTAGGCCTTTAAATTTTCCACTACCATTCAATCAGACCTTTATATTTCCTGTAATTAGTATGGATACCTCAGTTGAGATAAATACAATCCCTCAAAATCTTCAAATCCCTATATTATCATTGAACTTAAAATTCAAATACCCCTAAGTCCATTTGGGAGGCGTAATTTCAAACCTAGGGATCCAATAAAATATTATATAGGAAATTTCTAGGTTGGACTATCACAATGCATAAATTTTTAGATTTGTATGAAACAAAAAAGAATAAAACTCATCAGATCCTTGGTTTGTATTGCATATAGTAATTTCAAATATATTGTATTGATTATTTCAAATATACTGTATTTGATTATTTCAAATAAATTATATCTTAGTATTTTAACTTTCTTCTAACTAATCTAGGATTATTGTCAAACCCAAATCCTTTCTTTCAAACAAACATACCTGATAAGTCGAGGGAGAGAAGGAACTAGATTAGTTAGAACTCTCCCTGCTTCCCTTTTCCTGCAATCTCTCCCTTCCTCCAACAAATCCAACACTTCTACTTTTACCGCCATTTCCTTCATTTCCTTTTTTTACATCTCCAAAAAACTCCTTGTCATTCTTTTCTTTTTCTGTTATCCATTTCAAATTCCTCATAACATTGTAACCTTCCCAACCTTAAGTCTTCTCACTAGCCCACCATTCTTTAAAGCATCTTTTGAACGAATGATGTTCCAGCCACATATTTTCAAATAAACCATACCTAATAAGCCAAGGGAGAGAAGGAGGTTGTGGGGCGAATTAGCCGGGATGTACGTGCTGTGCGGGCCAAAATGGTTCATTGGAGGGGATTTTAACGTAATGAGATTTACCATAGAAAATTTTAGTGGAGGATGGGCAACGAGGAGCATGCGGATTCTTAATGACTTCAAGCCTAGTTAACAGTCATGCAAAAATAAATGAAATAGGGGAAAATGTACTGCATTGTAATTGTATTTAACCATTAAGCTGGCCCGAGCAACAGATTCTATCTATAACATGAAATGTAGTTCCAGCAGTCTTATGGACACCAAATCATTAAGGATATGAAGATAAGAAAAAAAAAATTATCTTAACCAAATATTGATATTAATTATATACTAATCAATGGGATGCTAAAATAATGCAGAGCACTAAATTCTTACCATTTTCCAAACATAAGCGATCTGCCTCTTCAGCACTTTCGTACAGAAGGACTCTGTCCAAAATTTCAACACTCCAAGGTGACCAAGGCTGCTTAGATTCCTTTATTTCCCTTGCGTTTTTGACTGGATATCCAATGCCTGAATTGATACACAACTGCCGACATCCAATAACTTCAACAGGAAGAAAATTTGATGAGATTGATACAGAAGGAAGCACCACTGAAAGACCACCTTCTGTCACCAAATAAAAACATCCCTGGAATGTGCAACCCACTGCCTCTCCAATAAAGGATTCTTCCTTCCCTTGGAGATGAACCATTTCACACCCACTATTCAAAAAGTTGTCATCATGAACTGCAGGCTCAGCATGCAGATTGAGATGAACGATCTGAGAACCCCTCGGGTCCTTCAGATTGTGGTTCTTAATAAGCCGAGTAATTCCTAATGGAGAAAAACAGATAGAATCATCCTCACTAAATCTATAAGTGGGAAGAAAGATCTTGCGCATGAGGTGTGATTTCTTTTCAGAGTCATAGCACTTCTGATCAGTTACTTTTGATGAAGCAGAAAAACCACTCAAGCATGAGCTGCCCTTCCCTTCTTGTTTAAGCACATTATTTCCACAATCATCCAGGAAAGAAGATCTCTCATTCTTCATGGATGGAATAATAGATTTCTGTGAAGCAGATATGTTAGAATATACTCTTTGGTGGCCTATATCAGAACCACCCACCTCCCAACCAGCCAACATGCCTAGTCCTAGATGTTGACCATGTGGAAGTAATTTCTCATTTGTATAATACTTGTCTGGTATATAGTCACCAGCAGAAATCACATATATTACACCATAATCATCAACAGCAGCTATTAGGGAGGTATGTGAAGCAGCAATTAACCTCTTAAATATTCTCCTACCAGAATAATCACCACGTTGCAAAACTGGTTTGTAATCAACTCCATCAACTTGCAAACTAGGTCTCTCAGAACCCACAGACAATGTTTCTTGCTTCTGAAAATCCAGCTGAGGGTAGAGTCCTAGAGTCTCTAAAATATCTAGATGTGCAACATACTCACCTGACATTACTGCATAAAAACAATTAAGCCAGATGCATTTAGACAAACAAGAAGGTTGTCAGAAAAGTGAAAGTCTGTCCATTCTACCACTGAGCGAATTTTTGGACCTTCGTCAAGCTTCACTGAGGAAACCCACTGAATTCCCCAACGGTCTAACCTAGCAACAAGAAGTACATTTTTTTTGTTGCTTCTTTCACTTTCATCACTAGCAGGATCAGTCTGTGTGAAAATGAATCCAATAAAGTAATGTGAATTGCTTGAGAACACTCTGGAGCATTTGTATGAAGTGTTCATTCCAACACCAAAAATATTAGACAAAATCTCAGACTTGAAATGTTGACCAGATGAAGTCAAATGCAAGTTTACAGATTTATCACTCTCTGACGTGTGACCTCTTTCCTGCCTGCACTCCATACTCGGTACGGAACCAGTGTTAGAAAGGAAGTCCAGAATCGGTAAATTACTATTAAATAAAGCAAATGAAACAACCTTTGCAGAGCAAGGAAACAATGACTTTTCCGGGAACCTGGTCAACATGCTACCATTATTTTCAACATTTTCAACTTTCGTCAGAAAAGATTGCAACCATCTCTTAGAAGCAACACTGTTTCCATTGGCTCTGTTTAAATCAATATTTCCAGTGGCTTCACAACTCAAGCTGCTAGGTTCCTCAATCCCCATATTATCAACTAAAGAGACAGAGGGGCCCCACTCCACCCACCTGCCTTCCAGTGCGTTTCTGGTTCCTGCAACGTTTCCAGTGGATTCAACAAAAGCATGGACCATCACACCTTGCTTGCCAGATACAAACAAAATTTCACTAAACAAAGCATCCTTGTGCTGATTATAAGTATCCTCACAGATACCCCAAGCCAGAGAGTTAACATCACCAACAAAAGGGTAAGTTTTGGATTTTGAAATTTCTCTTTGAAAAGTGAAATCATTATCAAAATCTCGTGTTGATCCAGAGGTACATGGCATATCACCCCTTCCTGAATCTGACCCGCCAGGCGCTGTCAAGTCTTGTGAGCAGAAAGCAGATGAACCTGGACTCTGAAGACTTTCATCAGAGTTACTCTCCAAATTATCACTAGCTGTAGAGTCCCCTGCAAAACAAACAAAAAAAGTGTGATAATACAAATTAAACAATCTATGGCAACACAATAAAGTTATGAAAATTCACCTGTAATTAGAGGAATCAACAAAGCTTCACACTGATACGAAAGCAATAATAATAGCTGTCTTGTCGGAGAAATAAAAGCTTCACGAAATTCTGACAGGTTTAGCTGGGCCTGAGAAGAGCCCCATTTGTGCAGCTGCAGTATAGCAGGTCCTTTATCACCCAAAGACAAATCCATTGCAATCCTCTAAGTAAACAAAAAATCAGAAAATAAGTATTAAGAAATGTATGATAATACTGTTGCCGTAAGTTCGTAGCTGCAATTATGAACAGAGAAAAAGCAGGGACAGAATTAGGATACCAAATCTATTGAATAGGCAGAGCAATAGGAAGAATACAAAGATGGAGAAAGATTCTTTAATGTCTACAGGATAATTAAATTTTGGGTACGCACACTATGGTAACTTATCATTCAAAGATGATAGGGGAGAAATGAAAAGGAAAGAAAAACAAACGAATAGGAAATTTCCTACTGCAAGAAGATAATGCATGAACAAGAATGTTTTCCTCTGAGATTGTATGTGTAACTTCTGAGAAAAGCTCGATTGAACTGAATCCTAAACCCAGATAAAGCCTGTTACCTGTCGCCGATCCGATTACTGATTCATAGGATTAACCAGAAGAGAAGGAAGTTAGGACCGGCTGAAAGAAGGACAGCGGGGAAAGTTTTGGACATAAATTTCTTTATTCATCTTCATATATATATATATATATATATATATATATATACCGCAACAAATGGTTGGACCCAAGATTATGCAAAAACCTCATCAGAAGGTCTTCTTTTCCATTTCTATTATTCCTAATTACTATGGTTTAATCTTCAGAATCTATATAGAGCGTTTTCCTATTGTTTGGAGCAAACCATTTTCTTGGCACCCAAACAGAATAAACAGCAACAAAGTTTGAAATCCAAACTAAATACTAAGAAATTATAGGTTCAAATTCCAATCTGAGTGATAGAAAAGGTTCGAGAAAGAACCAGAAGCTTGTACGGATTGCTTAATTAGCGAACGCCACCATCTCTGCGACTCGAAAATTCACTATCGCTTTCTCTAGGTCATTCGAGCTCTACAATTGGAGGTGAAATCTTCAGTTTCCCATATAGGACACTGGACATGGAGGTTTTGGAGCTTACGGGGGGAGCGAGCAAACGCCAAAGAGGGTACAGAGAGGATCTGCTGTGCCCAAATTGGTCTCCCCTCTATGTCCTTGTTGTATAAAATGTTGCCACGCGTCACTCGATTTAACGAACTCGGGGTGTGTTTGGTAGGCCTCACTAGATGGGATTAGGTTAAATAACACCTGAAACCCATGTTTGGTAACAAAGGGGGACAACTTAAATGAGATTATATAGCCCAACGGTACCAAAAAAACCCTCACTCGCTGGCCCAATACAACGATGCTGAATATGGCTCGCAAAATAGTGAGCTCGCAGAACAGCGAGGCTGAAACCAGCACCGTCTGGGAGAAAATCAACCACCACCAATTCGACTAACCACCACCATCAATTCAAACCCAATGGAACCACACAGTGGCGGTCTCTCCTAAAAATATAAATTATTTGTTTTCTTATGAAGATGGAACCATAAACACAAACTCAATTCCTAGTAGATCCAAACCAGAGAAAAAGAGAGAAAGCCAAGAGATAGGAAGAAAATTAAGATGATTTTGTTGATGAATCCCTACCACCTTTCCAACTTTGTTTGCTCCTTGTTTTGTATCTTGCGGCTCAGGCTGTTTTTGGTCCCAAGCTTTTGTTGGGCTCCAGTGACCTTGTTCTGCTTTTCATGCCTTCTCAAGTATATCTAAAGAGACAGAGAGGGAGATGAGGGAAATGGCACGAAAGAAATAAAATATGAAAAAGAAAGGGAAGAGAGAGGGAGAGAAAAGTGAACTTGGAAGAAGAAAAGGAGGAAAAGATTGAAGAAAGAAGGAGAAAGACAGAGCCAGAGAGAGAGGAAGACAGATGGGAACAGCTCGAGAGGTTGAAAAATCATATCTTGATCGAAGCAAATGGTGTTTGAAATCGCCCAGCGATGGAGATTTTGGGTAAAAACCGGAGAATTTCTTGCTTTGTCTGGGATGTGAGGCTGATAGAGGACAACGTGCTGGTTCTTTTGATACCCAAGCCGTCGCTTGGGGTGGCTGGAGGAGGAGATGGCGGCCCAAAAACTGTTCAGATGAACAGTAACAAAAGGGAGGGGTTGTTGTTCTCGAATGGGGAGGGGCTGTTGTTCTCGAACAGTAACAAAAACTTAATGGAACGTTAAAAAAACTGACGGAACGGGTAACGTGAGACGGTTTTTAAAAGGTTGGAGGGTACTTTGAGACGTTTGCAAACACATGTGGTAATATGAGATAAGTTTAAAAGCACAAGGGGCATGTACATAATTAAGCCAAGTTTTAATGACGACACCGTTAATATATTTGTTCTTACAATGTAATGTTCTCCCTAACTTGAATGCAATAACATTTTTTCTATAATAAAAAAACATTATTTCTTAATAATAAAATTAGAAAAATGGCCAATGGGGTCTTCTCTTGCAAAAAAACTTAGAGCCGTTTGTTAATGTTTTTAAGGCCTCCTTTTAATTTTTTGTTTTCATTTTCTACTAAAAACGAGTTTGGTATGTCGTTTTCATCACTATTGGAATTCATTTTCTGAAAACAAATTCAATACAAAAACTGAAAACACCAAATTTTCATTTTCATTTTTTTTTAAATCTGATTTATCATTTTTTAATTTTCTTTTTAATCATTTTTCTTTTTTCATTTTATTTCTTGCACTTCATTATTTTATTTTGTTACACTAGTTTATATTAATTTTATGATAAAACCATCATATATTATTCAATCTCATATTTATTTTAAACTAAAGAAAATAGAATTTTATTATCTAGGTTTTTCTAACATTAGAACTTTTTTATATTTTAATTATACATTTTTCATTGTTTATAATAATTTTAGCCTTTATTTTAAAAAAAAAAAAGAACAAAAATTAGCAAACATATACTTGAAAAATAACTCACATTTTATTATTCTCAATTTTTCGTACCACAGACATTTTTATTGTTTTTATTTTCTAAATTTGTTTTCCAATTAATCTATCACACGCAATTTTAAATCCTGAATCGTTTTCTCGTTTTCATTCCAAGAAAACATTCTTCGTAAATGTTACCGAACGAGCCCTTAGGTGTCTTTCAGTATCATTTTTAAGGGTCGTTTTCTGTTTTCAAACTCATAAAACATATGGATATTGTAGGGGACTTTTTCTTCCTGCAGCTATAATGGGCTAGGCTGCTGTAAAGGGCAAACTGAGGAGACTGTCCCCTTTGTTTGGGTTCGAAAATTAAGCCCCAAAAATACTTCGAAAGGGCAGCAAAGCCTTAGGAAATATTTTGGCTATCTTCACCAACCAGAATAATGGTAACTTACAGATGGTTTGGCATGCTTACAGATAATCCTTTTAGCTCAGCGTGAGTGGCATGTGGCATAGGAGCAAAATCAACATGAGTTTAGCCCGAAGAGAGAATTTAGGCTTGCTTTATGAGAAAAGAAAGTGTTAAGGTAAGGAAGGAGATGTTTTGTGAGGGATTTCGCTAGGAAAGGGAAAATGAAGAGCAGAGTTCTTCTGGCAGCTGCTAGAAGAACAAAATGGAGAAGGAGATGAACAGTGAATGAGGTTGTTGGGTTTTTGCAAGTTAGAGAGAAGGTCTGCTCTCTGAATCTGAGTTGCTCTTGTTAGGTAGGAGAAACCTCAATTTATAGCCGCTGGAAACCACCATTTTTCAAGAAACCCTAATGGCTTCTACCCATTTTGGCTAAGCTTTTTCCTCATTTCTCCTCTTCTTCTTCAACTTCCCTATCTTGGCAAAAATTGCCTCTGTCTATTTGCACGAATTCAGGAAATTTAGGAGCTCAATGCCCCCTTTCCCGCAGCTGTTCAGTAGGAACTTCCATTCTTGACTACTGTTTTTTCTTCTTTCCTTCCCCCTTCTTTGGCCAAATCTGATGAAGGAAAGGAAGTGAAAATATATGCTGGTCCAAAGAGTACTTCTAATAGCTTTCAGGCTAGTATTCCTTGGTTCTTTGAGCGTCTCTGGCTTGGAACTTGCTCCCTGCATGTGATGGAACCTCTCAGCAGCTTTGCTCAATGAATCTGCCAACCTTCCTCATGTGGCTTCTATTTTTTCAAAAGGGTTGAGGCTTTTGTGGGTTATTTTTTGGAGTTTTATATGGGCCAAGGTGGTTCCCTAAGCAAATGGGTTTTTTGTTAAACATTGGGCTTTTTGTTTGTATTAATAGGCTGCTTTGCTTGGGCTATTCGGCTATTTTCTCTCTTATGCTTACCTATATGTTTGGGCCTAAGAAATGGGCTTGAGTCTCAAGGCTCCCAAGCAACCCGAGACTTTCCATTTCCCGGCCCATTAATGGGTCTCATGTTGATTTATTACCGTCCATACCACAACCTACTCAAGCAAGCCCCAGTGTTTGAGTGGCTTGGGCCCACTTAGGCTTGTAGTGTGGTTGGGTGTAAGATAACGATTTCGTGCTTGGCATGGCATGTCACTTGACATGTTTTAATTTATCGTCCTGCGATGTTTAATTTTGGCATGGGCTTGTAGACCCGGTATATTTTATCTCAACCCTTAGCGAATTTATTTATTTAGCGTGGCACATGAACTGTAATTCGCATGTGATGGATTTTTGTGTACTCTTTTTTATGCTTTTTCTAAATGAACTATCGTTTCGGGCTGATAATTTATTTGGGCCCAATCATGAATTTTTTGGGTCTCAACAGATATCTATTCGGTGGGTTGTTTTTCGAAAACACAAAAAAATGACTTTTGAAAATGAATTTGAAATTATGCCTTGGAGACAGAAAATGTCCAAATTACGTGTTAGAATTTGTGTTTTTAGTAAACCATATTCATTGAAGTCATATCCTTGGCTTGAATCAAACCCCCACCATCACAGCCTCCATCATCAAACCCACCACCACCACCACGACCGTCAGACCACCTCCATCGACACTGTCATCGCCCAACCTCATTGTCACCCTCTAAAACCCAGAATTGCATACAAACTCTCCAAATAATTGTTGTTTTCTCACCCTTCAATCCATGGTGCCCTAGCCCATTGTCCAATGTAGATTTTGCATAACAAAATTGTGATTGGAAAAGGAAGGCTTCATATTTTTTTACATGAGTCCAAGAGTCCCAACATCACCACCACTCAAACTCAGCCAAGGGTGGTCCTATGCACAGGGCAGGCTCGGTGCCTACCCAAAAAAAAAAAAATAAGCCAATCCCAAAATTTAAATAAAATAAAAGCAAACCCTACACTTATGTTTCCTATCCAGGTGGTCCCATATCTTCTCTCTCCTTCTCTTTTGGCTATTAGACTTCTTGTTTCCCTCTCTCTCTCTCTCTCTCTCTCTCTCTTTGCTACTCGATAGCAACAAGTTTCTCCCTATTTTTTCTTTTTGGGTTAAATTCTCCCTCTATTTGTTGGGCAACTTGGCGATAACATTTCTCCTCTCCTTTTGTCAACAACAAATATTATTCTCATTCTCTCATTTGCTATATATCTTCAATTATAGTTTTAAATTTAAACTAAGTATTCTAGGGTTTAATTAGGGATGAATTATAATTTTGGGATTTTGTTGAAATTAATTAGGGCTTTGATTAGGGATGAATTATTCTAAGGCTTTGATTTGGGATTTTGTTAAAATTAAGTATTCTAGGGTTTAATTATGGATGAATTATAATTTTTGATTTGGTATTGTTGATATGCTATTATGAGAATTTGTTTGATTTTTTGTTGGTATGTTTGATTAAAATTCTTTCTACATAATGTTCATAGGCTATCTTTTATTATGTCGAATCACAATCGGAATCCCAAGAGAACAAAGAATTGTTGTCTTTTTTTAAAGAAAAAGAATGATGAGCCATCATCTAGTACATTGTCTTCTAGCACTTCTTTATCTACTCCAATATGTGATGAGCAAAATCTTCATGAGTCTCCCATTGTCGAGCCTCCAGTTGAAAGAGTTGAGTCACAAAGAGTCGATGATGATCATGATTTTAATATCAATTATCTTGAGCGTGATCCAAACTTACGTCGTCTAATCTGCAAATATCCGAGGAATGAACAAGATAATGTGTGAAGAACATATATTCTTTTAGGACCATGTCAACCCAAGTTAGAAGATTATCCACGCCAGTTAGAAGGGTGGGACTTTCGTCGATTTAATAAAGGTGGTTTGACCAATTCACTTGGTTTGAGTATTTAGTTGCTAAGAATAAGGTATTTTGTTTTCCTTGCTTCCTTTTTGACATGAATTAGTCACACCCAACCTTTATTGTTGATGGGTATTAAAAATTGAAAAGAATTGTCTTGAATCAATGTGTATTTCAACATCATGTAGGGAAGCTAAATTCATCACATCATCTTGCCATACAAAAGTGGATTAGCTTATAAAACTCATTTCTTCATATTGAAAAAGTGATAGATAAGCAATCAAATCAACAAGTGTTGGACAATCGGTTGTGACTTACGACCACAATAGAGAGCATTAAGTATCTAACAAATCAAGCATTGGCTTTTCGAGGCCACGATGAATCCGTTAACTCATCTAATCAGGGCAATTTCATTAAAATAGTAAAGTCTTTTGCAAGAATAAATATAGAAGTTAAGAAAGTTATCCTAGATAAGGCTCGTCAAAATGCTCAGTACAAAAACAAATCTTGCATTTTTGCTACCAAGGTAAGGATGACAATTTGTAGAGAACTTGAGAAGAACAAATTTTGTATTATTGATGAATCACTTGATGAATCCGATAAAAAACAAATGGCTATTATTCTAAGATTTGTTGATTGTGATGGATTTATTTGTGAGCGCTTTTTCGATATTGTGAGTGTTGTAGACACTAATCCCTTGACTCTTAAAAATGAGAAATGCAAAGTACTTGGTAATAACAACATTCTAGTGAAGAACATGCGGTCAAGGGTATGACAGTGCTAGTAATATGTGGGATTCATGAAATGGATTACGAGCATTGTTTCTTCAAGATCATCTATATGCATATTATGTGCAATGCTTTGCTCATTACTTGCAATTAGCATTAAATGGCACAGCTAAAGATATGAAAGTTGTATGGAGATTTTGTTAATGTTGACTAACATTGTGAATTTTGTTAATGCTTCTGCTAAGCGCCATAATGAGTTAAACTTAATTTGAAAAGCTGAACTCAAGGAGCCATTGGATTCTAGGGAACTTGAGACAGGTAGAGGACTTCATCAAGCTCGTACTTTGAAACAAGATGGAGTCACTTGTTAGGGCTCTCATTTTTCCTTTGTTACAAGTTTATGAGTTTATTTAAAGAGACCAAATTACTTCTTCTAGAAATCAGTGATCATGAACCTAACCAACAGTTTCGTGACGATACAGAGAGTAACTATATTGCTATGATGTCTTTTGAGTTTGCGTTTGCACTGGTTTTGATGGATAAAATTATGGGATTGACCAATTTTGTTTGTCAAGCATTTCAGACTAAAACTCAAGACATTGTAAGTGCTTTAAATTTTATTGAAAACACAAAAATGCAGCTTCAAGATATGAAGGAACATGGTTGGGATGATTTATTCATGAGTGTAGTATTATTTTATGAACTACATGGTGTTGATGTTCCTGAAATAGGGTTTAGGGCAAAAAGATGGGTGCTCATAGTATCATTTTGTAAACCCTAAACCCTAATATGGGTGCTCATTATATGACGGGTACACGTCATTCTTGTCAACAAAATATGTTATTACAATTGAGCATGCCTATAGCGTTGATGTATTTTATGATGTTATAGATTGCATGTTGAGGGAGTTAAATGATAGATTTCTGGATCAAACAGTTGAACTTCTTACTCTTAGCTCATCATTGGATCCTCGCAATTCCTTCAAGTCATTCAAAATTGAGCATATACATAACCTTGCCAAGAAATTCTATCTTGCTAATTTCCTTCCACATGAGTTGAAAGCTTTAGAAACAGAGCTCAAGTTTTTCAAAATGATATACATTGTCTTCCTTGTTTTAAGGAAATCACTATTCTTCCTCAATTATGTCAACAATTAGTATAAAAAACTTTAGCATTAAACTACATTTTCCTTGACAAGTTGATTTAATTGACTCTTCATGTTTCTACAGCAACAACAGAACGAGCTTTCTCATGTATGAGAATTATTAAGAATCAACTTCGAAGCACCATAGCTGATGAATTTTTTGCTGATTATATGATCCTCCACATTGAAAGAGAGTTTGCTAATAATATCGATATTGCATCTATAATTGAGGAATTTAAGAGCTCCAAGCTTCGCAAGTTTAAATTTTAGATTAAAATAGTGTTGTTTTGTATTGCATTGTATTTACTTTTGGATTTAATTTTAGCTTTTGTATTTATCGAACTTTTATATATGGATAGAGATCCATTTGAAAGTAAGGCTCATTATGTCCCTCATCACTAGGTGTATCTTTTTATGTTTATTAATGAATTTCACTCGTACTGTCGAGTTTAGTATGTAAGTTTTGCCCAACTGGCATTTGAATCCTGGAACTGCCATTGACTCAGCCGATACCAACAACACCACAATCCTAATTGAATCACCACCAAACAATCAATCGAACATCATTGCAACCTAGTAGAAAGCAATTAGCACCAACAAGAGAGAGAGAAAGAGAGAGAGAGGTTTGACAGAGAAAATCGGCACTAGCAAAAGAGAGAGAATTCAACTAAAAAAAAGAGCGAGAGCGGGGGTGTAATATCCCGCCCCAAAAAATTTATTTGATATCCTACTTTTAAAGTAATTGACAATTTTACCCTTAGGGTTTCTTAGTGGTTTAGGGCTGACTTTTGTTCGGGAATGGTTTGGGAAAATTTCTTAGCTCCATTTTCATAGTGCGTGAGCTCATGAGTTCATAGACACGTAGTGGGCCCTAATCGGAGTTGAAACGAGAAAGTTACGATCTACAGAAGTGTATGGGCAAAACTGTAATTTTTGTAGGTTAAGTGTTAAAAGTCAGATTTTTCTTCCGCTCCCTCATTTCTCTTTCCTCCCTCCCGAACCTCTCTCCCTTGCGTGTCTCTCCCTCTCGACACAGTCACTGTGTCGTTTACCTAACCCACCCCTCAATCGAACCCTAAAATTCCAAGAACAACTGAATTTTTGGACCGAAATTGACCTAAAACTCTCCCTCGACGCTGGCTGGTTTTTGGGCATTTTCCTGCGACTCCGGTCGCCGATTTCATAAAGTAAGGTATGGATCTTCATCCTTTTTCCACGTTCTATCAATTTATGTAGTTGGTTTGGGTTGTTTTCGTGGTTTGAAGAGTTGATCTAGACACCCAATTTTTGGGATTAGGGCAAAAAAGGTATTTTAGTCATTCGTGCTCTACACCTGCCAGGTGTTGGATGCGCACGAGGTTTGAAACGAATTCCAAAGTGGAATTTGGGTCAAGTCCTATCAACTTGGTATTAGAGCATTAGGTTAAATTCTTGTAGACTTCGCACTTTGTGTGCTTTCTTGTATTGATGGATTCTTGTTTCTTGTAGCAGTGTCATGGGCCCTAAACGTGGTGGTACTCGTAGGGGACTCGCCAGTCATCTAGTTATGCAATCATGATGCTGGTCCCGAACTGGAGGAACAACCCTTTCTTAGTCCAAATTAGGAACCTTTTGAGCAGCCCCCTTGGAAGATCTGATAGGGACGATGCCCATGGCACCCACCCAGGCCGTTGACCCCCATCTACAGCAGACTGTGGAGTTATTGACTCAGGATTTTTCTAGTGCTGAGTGTACCAAAGATCTAGCTATGACGTTTGCTATCAAGCTATAAGGATCGGGGCGGTTGACTTTGATGGGAGTGTTGACTCGACTGCCATAAAAGATTAGATAGAGAATGTGGAAAAGATTATGGAAGTAATGGAAGTACCACAAGAACGTATGGTGGTTTTGGTTGTATTTTTTCTTTGCAAGAGTACACAATACTAGTGGGAATTAGTGAGATATTGGTATCAGGATCCATCAGCAATCACATGGCAGATATTCTGGACTGCGTTTGATGCGCAGTTTTATCCACTTGTGTATCAGAACATGAAGATGAAGGAGTTTCTGTAGATTGAGCAGGGTAGCATGACTATGATGGAGTATGAAAAGAAGTTTATTGAGTTGTTTAAATATTGCACACCTATTGTGGTAGATGAGAAGAAGAAATGTTAGTTTTTTTACAAGTAGTTTAAGGCTAGCTATACGCGACATTATGGTCGGTCAACGCATTGTGGACTATGGTGTACTTGTGGTGTCTGCTTCTTTAGTTGAGAGTAGCTAGATGGCGGTGTGGGCACATGGTGATACACGTCAACGTCAGTTTGACTCGGGTGGCCCTAGTTAGAGGTCATCCAAAATAGGTAGCTTCAACTCAAGACATTCTAGCAGTGGTGGTTATGTAGGTTTTAGGGCATGAGCCAATTCTAGTAGTGGATCTATCCAGAGTTTCAGTTCTAGGCCTTGTTCTCGTAGAGGTATGGCGAGAGGCTCTAGGAGAATCAGCAGATAGTAAACAATGGTAAAATTTGTCTAGTATGTGGATTGTGCAACTGGTATCATAAGGAACCTTGCCAGCATGGTACCATTGGGTGTTACTTCACAATGAAGCGACTACTTCAGGATCAGCTTACATGGGTGATGCACAGAGAAGAGCTCAGACTGTTGGAGCCTCATCCAATAGTGGGACACAGGCTACTGTAGCTGGTAGAGAGAGTACTCAATAGAGAAAACGTGGCGGTCGTTCCAAAGCTACAGGCAGGGTATATACTATGACTCAACAAGAGGCGTAGGCAATGCTAGAAAACCCTTACAGGAAATTAAAAGACTGGTAGCATACCCATAATGACAATTCTATAGCTCATTTCATGAGTTGCTAAGAAATGTCAGGGCTATGGAGAATCGATCTCAAAGGAAAGTCGATCATGACAATGACTTAGTAAGCTTGATAGTAGGGTATTTATTTTCTTGCGAAAACTACAAGGGCCAAAATAAGATTCTCCATTTTCGGGTAACAAGTCTCTACATTGAGGAGAGCTTTTGACATGTACAATACTGAATGTTGGGCCCCCAGCTCTTCTCGAATGAAAGCCCAACTGACTGCTTAGTTGGACTCTGCCAGGTAGGTGAATAGGTCTTCTCCTATTTGTCCTTATGTCTTCTCTTCAAGGCCTTGATGAATGAATGCATTTGTCGGTAGATCTCAAAAGGAATTGGTTGAGAGCAATTGCTATACTCGTTAGAATTTGGATCTCCTTTATGGTGACAGGTGACTTCATGTTTATGATGACCTTGATTTGATTTGGGTGAGCCTCGATCCCCATTTTGGGACTAAGTATCCCAAAAATTGGCCATATGAGACTCCAAATGTACACTTGTTCGGATTCAACTTCATGTGCTATTCTCGGAGCAAGCCGAAGGCTTTAGCAAGGTTCTTAATGTGATTTGCTAGCTGAGGAGCTTTGACTAGCATGTCGTCGACATAGACTTCCATAGTTTTGTCGATCTGCTGTTTGAAAATTTTGTTCATAAGCTTTTGGTAGGTTGCTCCGGCATTCTTCTGCCTAAAAGGCATGACTTTGTAGTAGTATGTTCCCTTTTCAATGATGAATGAGGTATTTGGTTTATCATATTCGTGCATCATGATTTGATTGTAGCCAGAATAGGCATCCATGAAGCTGAGTAACTGATTACTGAAAGTTGAATCTACGAGTTAATCAATTCTTAACAGTAGAAAGTTGTCTTTTGGGCATGCCTTGTTGAGATTGGTGTAGTCGATGCAAACTCTCCACTTACCTTTGTCTATCTTTAAAACTAGAAAAAAGTTGGCCAGCCATTCTAAGTAGGAGACTTCTTCAATGAAGTCGGTAGCTAGAAGTTTGTCAATCTTAACTTCAATGATTTTGACTCACTTGGGAGAGAAGTTATGTCTCTTTTGCGCAACTTGCTTGTTGGCCAGGTTGACATGCAGTCTGTGACAAATGGATCTGTGGGTCAATTCCAAGCATATCAGACAGTAACCATGCGAACACGTCTTTGTTGTTCTGGAGGAAGGTGGTCAGCTCCACCTGCTCTTCTGTGCTTAGGAGCGAGCTGGTCCGCTCTTTTCGGGCATCCATCCTTATTCAAGAGAGACATCCGGAAGGATTCCTTCGTCTTAGTCCTGACTCTTTGATTGCTATTAGGGGGTAACTATTCCCTTTCCTTTTTTGTCTGCTCGACTATCATGAATGGGATCTACTTTCTCCCCTACTTGTTCTGTGCGGCTTATCAGTATGAACTATGCTTGTTTGCTCCTTTTCAACCCTAAGGTTGAGCATTTTCTTGCCATCGAATGATAATTGTTGATCTACCCTATACCGCATCCAGAGATTATGTAACAAATTTTATGATGAGTAGAAGAGGTGATGACATTGATCTTGTTAATTCATGGCTTGCCTAGGATTCCATTGTAGGGAGAGACTTCGTCAATGATCATAAAGGTTTGCGAGCTAATCACCAGTGGCAATCTGAATGTTGATGACAAGGGCATCATTGTGCGGCATATCAAGGTCGATCAAGTCTTTCCTCTAGAAGTGAGTCACGAGATCATCTTCAATTGATAGAAGGCCGATTCAAACTTGGGAGATAATAGTGGCCTGTTTAATTTTCCTATACTTTTCTTTGCTGTTCAACCCGGACTCCTCGGAGTAGGCCAGGATCGTGTTAATCCTTTTGACCTTTTAGGGCAGTTTCTTGGTTCCATCGCGGTCCTCGACCTTCTTTGCTATGAATTCTGTGTAGTGGCCTTCTCTCACCACTTCATTGAGGTGCTTTTTCCAAGCAAAGCAGCCATTTGTGCCTGTGTGTCCTATAGAAAGCACAATACCTGCTGATATCCCTCTTGGTTGGATCTCCCTTCAAGGGTAGTGGTCTCTTTACCCAGAGGTTGTCCTTTACTTGGGCTAAAATGTGATGTATCGAGATTGAGAACTTGGTGTATTTCTCATCTGCTAGAGCATCCCCTTGGGGTTGCAACTTGTGCTTGCCATTGTTCTTAGTGTTGATCCTATCATTCCTCTGATCTGCCTATTTCATTAGTTGATCAGTCTACTTAGTAGGCTTTTTCGCAATGATTTGATCGTCATACCAGAGTTTGCCTACTTGGTTGCCACTAGTGAATTCATAGCATTTCACAGTCATGAAGATCTCTACCGAAGTCTGGATGGGAGCGAAAGTCAGCTTGCAGTACAAGTCGTGCTTGGCTAGCAAGCCTTTCTTGAAGGCAGAGGATGCGATTTGGTCATTACATCCTACAATGTTTGCCTTTTCTACATTGAATCACTTGATGTAGTCACAAAGGGATTCATCGTGCTTCTTGCGCAGGTTGAAGAGGTGGTCATGGTTCTTTTTAATCATCCGGTGAGAAGTGTACTCCTTTGTGAAGAAAAGTGCTAGCTCTCGGAAGCTACTGATCGACCCATACGACAAGGCGTGAAACCAATCCTAGGCTACCCCTACAAGGTCATCGCATACACCTTGCACATTAGCACATCTTTGGATTTGTAGAGGAACATAGCGCTCTTGAAATGCTTGAGATGGCTCTCGAGATCAAAATCCTTTTAAATGGCATGAAAGATGGCATTGAGAACCGCTTTGGAGGAGTAGCTTGCTCGATCTTACTAGTGAACGAAGAAGAGTTCACTTGGTCTATCTCCTTGCACAGAGCATCCTCAGAATCTCCTCCAATTCTCAAGTCTAGAAGTCGGTCGTTAACGAACTTCTTGACATCATCTACTTGTAGGGCATGTGGTTCACGTCGGTGTTTCCCATGATGCAGGAGCCGCAGATCAACTTCTTCGTTGATTTTTGGGAGTCGATCTCCTCAGTTGTCCTGGCAGTGCGACGTATTAGTAGACTGCACTTACGAGGGATTTTACATGGCTTGTCCACATGAGTCGATTCTTTCGGAGCTGGTCAAGGCTCGCAGATGCTTATTACATGCCTGCATGTTGAACAACATGTTCTTGTCATTCTCATTGCCTGCTTGGTTCTACTCTACCTGCTTGGGACCTCTCAAACTGTCGGCCGATGCATTCATCCATCTCTTTCTCTTCAAGGCCTAGGTTTTGAACCAAATCAATCTTGTTGAGGAGCTGTCTAACCAAGTTGTTTTGGTTGTCTACTTTTTGAGTCAACTGTCAACTCTAAGACTGAGGTCTACTTGGCCATGTGGATCAGGAGGAGAGAATTGTGTAGAGCCCAATAGCACACAGGCTAAGGTTTCATCAGTGGTGTACACAGGAGCATATGTTGAGCGCGGCAGCAAAGGAAGGAAACGTTGTAAATTTTCCACAACGGATCCAAAATTGATGGCGGCGCCAAGATGGTCGTGATCGGCAACGTCAGGATGACCTACAACGGCACCATCATGGTGATGAACATCAAATCTAGCTATGTGGTCGTGTGACGAGTGGCTGATGGAGCAAAGGCTAGTCCTTGCGGTTGCAAGGTCATGCTTACCGTGAGGCCACGAAGAGGCTCAATAGCACACGTTGGAAAGGTGCTCTCAACTGCGGGACCGAGATGAGAAACAACTGTGGTGGCAATTGTGGTGTAGAGAGGTTGAACCATGGCTTCGGCAGCTAAAAGTGGTAGCTGCCTTGAACCCGCAATGTCGTGGCGGCCCGGGTTCGTCTTGGATTGGGTTGTCTCGACTGCCCTGCCTCTAGTTCATGTGCTTCCAACCATTGTTGTTTGGAAGGCTTCTGTTGAATGATGAATAGGAGGAAATGGATTCCTTTGATTCAAGAACACTCGTTGAGCATAACTTGTGCTCTCAATGAATGCACCAAATATGTTTGAGCAAATTTCCGCACAGGGAATATTCACGTGTAGATTTTTCGCCCTTTGAGCTTCCTTCTCTTTTTTCCTCCTCGGTTCATGTAAGACAAATCTGGTATCACATACCACACTAAGGGATTGTTGGCCAAAGACCCTCTGATGCCTAAGTTAGTTCGATTGGACCTTGATAAAGATACGACAATAACTAAAGTGGACATAGTTTTCTTTCACAGGGAAAGTTGGGTGGCCAGAGCCGTGTGTGGTAGCCGCAGCTGTGTGGGAGAGAGAAGAGAGAGAGAGAGTGGCCGCAAGAGAGAGAGTTGCTAGGGTTTTTTAGAGTTACCTTGAATGCCTTGTGTAGTCATATATTTATAGTGCTCTTGCCATCTAGGGTTTTTCAAAGAATAATTACTACAAGGAAGGAATTATTCTTTTCCTTAAATGGAGAGATTGAGTCAATTAGGGATTTTAATACAAATCAAATTCCTAATTGATGATGATATCTCTATTTTTGGTCTAAATAATTATCCAATTAAATGGAGATAATTATTGACCTAAGCGATATTCTTTTTGTCCATGTGGCACCTCATGATTGGTTGTCGGAATATTTGTTCACACAAATGCTACCACAAATTAATATGTACATGATATTATCCCACATGTATACACACTAGAATGTTATCGGGCTGAAACATCTAAATTAGATACCGAGAATTGCCAAATTCAGAACCACCACCTAACCGATTGATGTCAATTTACCCAAAGTCTGTTGAACTGATCAAGTCGTTGAAACGGTTTGGTGACGAAATGACAGAGAGAGAGCGACGACAAAGGGGCCACCATCAAGCAACACTCAATAGGCACCACATGATCAATCGAACCATCATTGTCGGTGAGAACAGAAAGCTTAAGTTAAGGGATATGGCCAATCGCATTGAATTTCAATCATCCATATCGTCTATCCTTTTAGATATTCCTTCAAAGATCAATTCTGCAAAAATATCACTTTAGTCTTAATCCATTTGACCATTGAATTAATGGATTTCATTTTAGTGCTTTCTTGAAACATCGTGTTCGTCTATTTATTGGTCACAATTAGATGCCTTAGTGATGTTCAATTTCTCTTATTTTTTTGGAAGGATGATCTATAAATGAAGACTAGAAAAATAGATGTTTAGATCGCTAAAATACAATTCGTAGTAACCTCAAAGAGTGTCCCTCAAATGAAATATTTCATGGGTCTCTCAATATAGGGGGGAGGGGGGCCTGGAAAGTTTATGAATATAGTTATTGTTAATAAATATCATAATAGCAGTTGTTACCACAATGGTGATGTGTTCTTCTTTTAAGTTCGTGTAGGAGTTTGAGGAATCCCCTTTATGCTAATTTTTGAAATATTTTCACCTTTTATTACTGTCGTTTCTGTTTGGTTCGATCAATGGTTTAATGCATCACAAACTGCTTAAATTTCTCAGTTTGGTGGTTTAAATTCCCATGCCTAATACACACACATGAAATACAAGTACACGTATAAGAGGAAGTCTATACAATACTAATGAAGTTTCTTGCATCATCAACCATTTCATCTCAATATAATTGGAAACTCTTTGATTCCTCGTTAATACTTTGTCTCAACAACCCACAATGCACTTCCGATTCAAGATGGATTAATGATAGAAGAAAACCTTTTTAAATAAAAAAATAAAAAAATACAAGTGATATTGGGGAGGGGCAATCGAACCTAGGAACTCAGAGTAAAAGGGTGAATTCTATTAACTACTTGAGCTTCAATCCCTCAACAATAAAATACTGTATTTTTTTTATACAAGCAATATTGGGCTAGAGGCCCCTAGAACCAAAGATGCACGGTTAAATACTCTTAAACACATGACTAAAAAACATGCCCCTTGCAAATAAAACATTATTTTGAATTTAAAAAAGATGCAAACACATGAGCTACAAGTCCCTTCATATTACAATTAATTTGTTAAATTTAAACATTTTATTATAAAATTTGCAATAAAAGACTAGTCTAAAATGACTAACAAACTCAACCAATTGTGTATGGTGATACCACAATAGGACTCCTTACTGTCTGTTCTCCATTTTCTTCAACCCAACCCAAACAAGTTCCCCTTATGAAACTCTCTTATACTCTACCCCTGTATATTGTGAAGTGACATTGTATGATATCTTCTCATTTTTCCTTTCAAACACTAAAATCTCTGGTCTTACTACAACTACTATATTTTTGGTGTTTTAACCACTACCTTGTACCTTGTAGAATCTTTTCCTACATTTGTAACAATCCTTTCAAAATTCCTAACTTTTGGTTTACTATTCCCGTATAACAGAATAAACGATGGGTACTTAAGATTCTTGGATGGATTGGCACAACTATAATTATTTGACCTAGTAATTTCCAAAATCTGCTTTGAGTTGAGATACGAGCGCAATAGATTCACATAATCTTGCAAAGTTGCATCATAAAGCAGACCAGGATCAAGTGCTTTATTTGGATTGATGACACCAGATCCCAAGGCTAAAGGGTTAGCTTGTCTATAGCTTTTACCATCAAGAATTCGATTATAGCTATTATCAAATAGGTTTTCAGTGGTTACAATAGCAGATCTTATGGCAGTAGGGCTTCAATTTGAATGTGTAGTGACACCAGTAACATGGGCAGTAGCAGGAGATGTTCCGGAAAGTATATAGTAGTCACTATACAAGGACATATTGGATCTTATTCCAGCTACTGATATATTTGGATTCCAGGCTCCCAATATTAAGGACCCTGGTGCCCTTATGTCTGGCTTCACAATACATGCAAAACCATATGAAGGGCCTCTTGAAGAGGACTTCATAACCATAAGTGCACGTTTCGATGTGGTAATGGTATTATGAAATGTCAATGTCGCTTGAGGAGTATTAAAACTTTTTATATACCGCATTAACAAATTTCCATTTGTATCAAGGACATTCGATATCAATATAGCTCCTGCAACACTTGAGTTGGTTATATTAGATATTTGTTCATGGATTTTTCCAGCATCACAAATAATGATGCCATAATGAGCTTCATATAACAATTTAGGTGAATCACAATTCACCAGGGGACACTTGTAGATTAAGAACATGTTTTTCAATGAGTCATTGCCAGGATATGTTGACAACCCTTACCCATTTTCAAGTGACAAGAATCATGTAAACCATTGACCAATAGACCTTGCAGTAACATGTATGACCCATGGATAACCATTAAAAATGACGGCATGGTTTGGACCTTTATTTCCAGCTGAAGAAGAAACTATTATACCTTTCTCCATGGCAGAAAATGAACCTATTGCTAAGGGACTATCAAATTATGTAACTTCCTCAGTGCTTAATGCAAGGCAAATTACATTGATGCCATCTGCAATTGCACTATCTATTGTTGGAAGTTTGAATGAAATTCAAGAACATTTGTCCCACATTGGTAGAAAGTAGAAAGAGTGAGGTCTTTATAAGTGTGGAAGTCTCATACTTAGTAAATGAAAGTGGGCCAAGTGGAAGCCAATTAGGCTTCAAAAACAATTTGGATTTCACTATATAATATTTAATGGTAAAAAAGATGGGCCTTGGGCACTTCACCTGTAGAACTTCAAGCATCGAGAAGGGGTGAAATTACTGTCTTTAGGATATTGCATCAAATTTGCAAGCCTCTATCTCGAATCCAAGTCAATTTCATTTGTTGTTTATATACTGCATTATGTATTATAGTTTGTTATAAATTCTATTTAGTTGATTCATACATATATATATATATATATACATTGTTAATACATAATTATTTTAAACAGTCACTAATTGTTGTTTCCAACATCTATACCAGGCAAAACATATGAGGTGTGGGATCCTTCATCCCATATGACTTTGTACACCGCTAGCCTTGCGCTTGGAGCAATGCCTTTGGTTATTCCTTCAGCATAACCAAAATAAGAAACTCCATTTACAAAATTACCTGCTGCTATAGATGACACCCCTTCCATGTCTGATTGTACCTCAAGCGGAGTTCATGCTAATTGTAATGCTTTTGTTGTCATGTATGAGAGCATCATTGAAGTACTTTGCTCCAATGAGCTTAAATTACACATGGAGGAATTAAATTCCTGCCCTTCTTCACAAGATCCATTCCATTTGCTTGGAATATAATTAGGCATGCCATCATCCTTGAAACTTGGACTTTCAGGCAATATACCAGAATCTACAACCCCAATGATAACATCTTTGCCATAATCTGAGA